AACCCTAACCCTAACCCTAACCCTAACCCTAACCCTAACCCTAACCCTAACCCCTAACCCCTACCCCCTACCCCTCCGCTCCAGCAACTGTGTAGTGCTATGTTTTGCCCGAGTTGGAAACCTCAACTTCGCAGACAAGGGCAGGGTTTCATATCCTAAGAAAAGGCAAAAGCCGTCATTTTTTACTTTTGACGATATGTTTGGCAGCCGAACCTGGTGGCTGCAGGGCTGGCCATCTTCCCATTTCTTCAATCGATCTATGCCATGTTGTAGCGAGCGCGACAATCGCGGTTAACAATGACATGTACAGCACAGGACAGTAGATTTGGCGAAGCGCACTGGACTGTTCGGTGCTGCTGGGTTTATTGGCCGCAGACACCGCTGCCACAACCCGTGGCTCGATTGCTGACACAAATGTAAATCACGCCGTTGTTGCAGTCGGTTGCCTTCAACTCGGAGCTCCAGCCCTTCTTGATGCGGGCCGCTGCGAATCCGCCGATATCACCACTCTCCCCATTTTTTAGTGTGTTCGTGTCGTAATTGGCCCAAGACAAACAAATGTTGTCACCATCGTAAACGTGGCAAATTGAGCGGAGCTTCCAGTTGTCACGGCCATCGGTGAAAGCATTGTTGACCTCGTCATTGATAAAGGCCCCCAAAGTTGCTGTGCCGATCGATTGAACGGCTCCAGAAATGCCATGAGCTGTGTTGCAAGCAGCCCATTGCGCGGTGGAAAGTCTTTCACAATCTTTCCAGTCGCGTGTTGCCAGGATAGACGAGTTGCCCACATTTGTGAGATACTGGGCAAACGGCTCCAAGGACTCATCCTCGAGGTGATTGATGAGGACGAAATCGTGGCCTATGACAGGGTCCTGGAAGACACCGATGCGCTCCCCGTCAGAAAAGACGTCGAAAGGTTATACGGGAACAGCAGCTCGAGCTACAGGAATCGCAAAGCGCAAAAAGAGGCAGAGCAAGCCCAGCAACAGCGTCCCCAGCAGCTTGTTGAGGGTTTTGTGGAAGCTCAGCTGAGCTTCGTACTGGGCTCTGAGCCTATCGAGTTCCGGCTGGTCGTTGCTTTTGGTTGTCATAGCTTGACGTTGTATGTTTGGTGTCTTGAAAGTTGCTCCAAACTGCTTTGGTACGTCGGAATGGGTTCACGTCCAACTTCTACTGTATATATACGCCTCTGACTTCGTTGGGGTTGCGCCAGCGACCAGATAGGGAGTTCACTCGGGGATGCATGGATCCATTCACGCACAAAACGAGGTTTGTTCCAGCCGCCGCTCGTTAAGGCTCTCAGATTATCTTAGGTCACCTGATTGCTAGTCGGTTCAACAGCGCCGACACTAACTTACTTTTAGTATGCGTACCTTTTAGCCAACTTCATGCACGTGCCGAAAACACAGAACAGACTTCTTTTGCTTTGATTCGGCTACCGTGCTGTCTCGGATGCCTCTAATACGCTGCCGTGAAGTCTCGGAATGCATTCATGGGATTGCGGAACAGTCATCGCCGACCACGAAAAATTGAGAGGTGCACAGCCACGCTTGAATTCACTCTTGAGTGGCTGGTGATTTGAGAGAATTGCTCCTATGGTAGACAAGCCTGAGGCTACACGAAGCCAGGTACCAGGTGTGAGCGCTAGACACGAAGGGTACGACTGACGGATGCAGGGTCGGTAGAATGGTCCTAGCCGAGGCGCTAAGTCTTTTTGGAGTACCGAAACAGGTGCCGACCCCGCTCCCGCACCACTAGCACCGCAAAATTGAGCCGCTACTGTACCCTGGCTGCACGGTATGGGAGCGTTCTAGCGTCTTGATAAGTTGCCCGGCGTTCTGGCGGTCCAAGGAAGCTTTCCATGCAGAGACTCTTCCTTGCCGCCGGCCAGTCCCTGTTCTGCCGAACTTCCTTGACTATTTGCTCGCTTCTGATAAGAGCGTTGACAATGCTGTCGACCAACTCTTTCGACACATTCTGACACATCCGTTCACAGATCAGCCAAGACCCGACATGGATGCACTCGTACAACATTACAAGCAGAAGGCCGACCGCAAAGAAGACCGGCTTGGTCTGAATGTCATCGAATCCACTCGTCCTATTGATGGCTACGGAGCTGCCGAGCTCACTCGGGAGCAAGATGACCAGCTGACGGTGGAGGAGGAGGATCTTCGAGGTGATGCAGACCGGGCATTCCAGAGCCTGCCCAGCTACTTTGACGGGCCACCTCGCGTGTTGCCGCATCGCCTTGAGAAGCCCGTCATGATCCCTCAACGAAGGCAGGGGAATCGTCTGCGAGGATTTCAGTTGCTATACGCACCTGTTTTGGCCGAGAGCGGTGTCAGCGAGCAGCAGTTCATCACGTTCCTCAGCAGGCTCAATGTTGCTATTGGTTTCGACGATAAGATCAAGATCTTCAACTTCGCCATGGATATTGGAACCATCGCGTGCAGCTCATGGGAGCTCCTCGTCGCCACCATCGGAACTCAAGCACTGACCACGACCGCTGCACACGTCAAGAGTCGCGCTCGAAGCGAAGCTTACGTGGCGCATGCCAACCAAAGCTTCTTCCACTTGCGCGGTCTTCATGCTCAGATTGTGCCTGTTTCCAGCGTATACGCGACAACATCGACGCCTCCTGGCGATCAAGTTGCAACTCAACAAAGCATGTTTCAGTTTTCGCTGGGATCGCCCAATGTTCTACCGGAGAGCCACCCCAACGCGAAGGGTGGCTTGTTAAACCTCAACAAACGACCCATTGAATACGATCCGTTTGACTACGGTTCCGGCTATGTTAAGATCACGCCCGACCAATACTCGCGCTTACAACCCTCACAGTACAAAGAACCTGCTACGTCTCTCCTTGAGCGGACGGCAGAGAAAGTTGAAAAGTACAACATCTGGCAAGATCGCCTTCCCGCCAAGAAGAACGCCAGGAGAAACGACAGGCGACAGAAAACCATTGAAGATACCCGGAGACAGGGGGGTCCAGTAGCCGTTTCGCGGTACTTGGAGGAAGAGGAGCAGAAACAACGCATGGAGATCGACAAAAAGAAGGGCAAGCTGGGCAGATTCTTGGACCGCAACAAGGTCATCCTCATCGTGACCAACCTTGCCGACCGTGATCGAGCTCAAATGCAGACAAATCTTGCTGACAGCCGCCGCTAAATGTCATTTCCCACCTCTGTCATTTACATGCCTCTTTCCTTCTCAGCGAGCGTCCCGTTTTGGTCGCCGGCGCAACCGATCACATCTTCTGCTCTGCAGTAGCACATATGTCAGATCGAACAAGCGCTCTGAAGCGATACAAGTGACGGTCATGAGGTCTTTGTGCGGGAGTGATCTGTGTGCAGGAAAGGGCTGTTTGTTTGCACAAAGCTCGCTGCGTCGGCATCGCCAGCTTGCAAGATTGGCGATTTATTCGTTCACGATTGAAGCATTTGACGGTCTCTCGTTGCTTTCCGATCCCAGGAGCGCACACTTCGCGTGACCTGTCACCGCGTTCCACGAGCTGGAATAGCTAGCCGAAATGGTTCGTCGAAGGCGGCACCAGAGGCCTGCCAAGTGTCTTGCTCGCTCGACGGGCTGTCTTTTCGCACAGGAAAACGGAATAGAATGTTCCCAAGATAGTGGAATGCATGGTGATTTCACGTTTCTGATCACCTTCACACGGAGCTCACGAGCTACACGGGCAATGACAAGCACAGCAAAGATCGTGCCCTCTTCCGATCTCGACTTGCAAGGTTGTGACATTCGACGATGGAGTCCAGAACGGCGATCATCGTCGCAGTGTGCTACGAGAGGTAGCCAATGCCATCTCGTCCAATTCTGCGTGCTGGGTTGAGCTCGAGTGTGATGGCACAGAGTTACTTGCTGCAGGAGTAGAAAAGAGCTCGGATCCGGCTGCAAGAGCGTCAATGAAAAGAGGAAGTCTCGTGCCACCATCTGCGCCAAGAGTCGGTTCGCGCTGTGAGAAGAATCAAAGAGTTTTGCGGGAGGGTTGACAGGGTTAGCACATGGGACGCAGCAAGACAAGAAAGCTAAGCTATAGCGCTTGGGCGTTCACTTACAGTTCGGATCGCATCAAGTTCGTCGCCGAATTCATCTGCGACGGCTTTGAGCCAGAGAGATCGGAAAGCTTGCTGACGACGCTCCTTTTCACCCTGCGACTCGCGCGACTTGGACGTTGCCTTCGAGTTTGCAGGCTTCCGTGTGGAGGCGGGGGACGTCTTGGCATCAACGATGCGCTGGAGATGAGAGGGCAATTGTGGCGCTCGCGGCTCTAGTGCGGCTAGCGAGCGTGCTTTATACTTGTTCGAGGTGGTAGCAGTGCTTGCGATTGATGTGGTTAAATCTGGCTCTGGTGTGAGCCTGAAAGTATGTCGTTTTCGGTGAGATGCATCGGCTGGAATTTGCGTCGTATCTGCTTCGCTCGTCACGCGACTTTTAGCTTTACGCCTACGGTTCGAAAATGGCGGGTTGCTTCCATCGAGTGCGGAAAATTCTTCGTCGCTTGTATCAGACGAGGCTGCCAAGGAGGAGGAGGAGGAGGTAGAAGAAGAAGAAGAGGAGGAGGACGACGATGACGCTGACGAACCGGATGACGAAGAGGAGGATGACGATGATGATGACGATGAAGATGAAGATGCAGAAGAAGATCTGCGTCTAGTTTTGATGGGGCCGATCTGTCGAGATTGGTCGTGCGTTCCCTCCGAGTCACTGTCGCTCGACGATGAAGACGAGTCGGAAGATGAAGAAGAAGAGTCGTAGTCGGAAGAGACTGCGAGGGTTCTCGTCTTTCTTTGGCGCCTTCGCCTTGGTGCTGCTGATGAGTCGCCCGCTTTTCTTTTGGCCGCCGCCATCTTACGAGAAATCCTAGCAGCTAACTCGAAGAATATGGCCGTGTCGATCGAAGAAGGAGCGTGGCAATGGACATGTAGTATCGGTCGAGGCTCCCGAAGTGGAGCAGCACATGAAACTTTTCGGAAATTTGGCAAGAGGACCACCGAGATCCGAGCGAGGCTGCTCGAGTTTCATTCTCGTGCGATTGTTGAGACGCGTCTCGTGCCAGCGCGTTTGGAAGTACCTCGTTTACGCGATGGACGCGAGCTCGTCGTGTAAATGAGGTTCGCGTCAAAGCATGCCTTTTGGAAGTTGGGATTTTCGGCGCGCAACAGTGTGAGAGTGACACGGCGCAGAGAGTGTTGATTGGAGGGTCAGAACGAGGACGAGGCAGGTGCGCTGTGTGATGTTCTTGCTGCAAAGATGCAGAGCTTGCGCCGTTGTTTGTGCGTGATTTCAGGCACTGGCTCGCGACTCAGTCTCTCTGGTCGTCCTCGTCCTGAGACCCCTTTCCTTTCCTGTCACCATCAGCGATCCTGCATCTCCCTTTCGTTCGCCTGCTTCCCTCAGTCATAGCAAGCATATCACGCAAGCACATCACAGACATTGCCGGAGCCACACATACTCCTCTCGAACGTCGTAACGAGCTTCAGACGAGCCCATCATGGTAAGTGACTCTTCGCTTGATGCCTTAGACGGACTTCGATGGCGACACTGACACCTGCACGGTACTACTTTCTCCGTGATCTGCGACAGGCTGATTCACAGAATAACACAAACCGCAAGCGTCGTCGCTCTCAGCAGCTGCAGCAGCGAGACGATCCCTTCGATGCCTCCTCGCCTCTTCCAGGCCCGTCAACGGCCACCACACCCGCCGGTCGGTCGTCACCACCGCCTTCCTCTCTTCCCCCTTCGAGTCCTCCCGCCGCGTTCTCCGACTTCACCGACGGCGAGCTTGACGATGCAGACGTCGTCGACGAAGAGCAAGAGGCAAGGCAGCTGGGTGATCACTTTCAGGCCAACGCTGACTCGGACGACGAGGGCGAAGACCTTTTCGGCGAGAACATGGACAACGATTACACCGAAAATGCCGCACTAGACCGATACGATACCACGCTCGGCATCGATGATGAGAATGAATACGACCAGATGGACGCCAATGCCCGTCGTCTTGCTGAACTCCGAATGGGTCGACGCGACCGTACCGAGGCTGCAAACCGCGGCAGCCGTTCGCGTGCTCCCGAGTTCCTTCACAGCGACGATGGCGCCAGCGATGCCGACGATGGTGTTGCTATTCTCAATCGTCGCAGACGCCGACACTACGACGAGGCGGCTGCCGGTGCCGACGCCGCCGCTTTCGACGACCTGCCGCTCGATCAGATCGGCGATGTCAAGACGGACAGCATCGCTAGCTGGGTCGCCACGGAAAACGTTCGCCGAGCCATTGTTCGTGAATTCCGCAACTTCCTCGTCACCTACGTCGACGAGAACGGTGTGAGTGTGTATGGTCAACGCATCAAGACGCTCGGCGAGACCAATGCAGAGTCCCTCGAAGTTTCCTTCCTTCATCTCGTCGATTCCAAGGCGATTCTTGCGTACTTTCTAGCCAACTCACCCGCCAGCATGCTACCCATCTTTGACGAAGTTGCTTTCGACGTCATCATGCTCTACTACCCCTCCTACGACCGCATCCACTCCGAGGTGCACGTCCGTATCGCCGATCTGCCCACCTCGTCTACCTTGCGCGATCTGCGCCAGGGACACCTCAATTCGCTCGTTCGCGTCAGCGGTGTCGTGACTCGTCGCAGCGGAGTCTTCCCGCAGCTCAAATACGTCAAGTTCGACTGTCTCCGCTGTGGCGCTGTCCTGGGCCCTTTCTGGCAGGACGCGAACCAAGAGATCAAGCTCAGCTACTGCTCCAACTGCGAGCAGCGTGGGCCCTTCCGCATCAACTCGGAGCAGACCGTTTACCGCAACTACCAAAAGATGACGCTGCAAGAGTCGCCTGGGAGCGTTCCTCCCGGTCGTCTGCCACGTCATCGCGAGGTGATCTTGCTCTGGGATCTCATCGACTCGGCCAAACCGGGCGAGGAGGTCGAGATCACGGGTGTCTACCGCAACAATTTCGACGCCTCACTCAACACCAAGAATGGCTTCCCCGTCTTTGCCACCGTCCTCGAAGCCAACCACATTGCAAAGCGTGACGATGCTTACTCGGCATTCCGCTTGACCGAGGAAGATGAACGTCAGATCAAGGCGTTGGCAAAGGACGAGCGCATCGGCAAGCGCATCATCAAGAGCATTGCACCTTCCATCTACGGCCACGAAGACATCAAGACTGCCATCGCGCTCAGCTTGTTCGGTGGTGTACCCAAGGACATTGGCGGCAAGCATCGCATCCGTGGAGATATCAACGTCTTGCTGCTCGGTGACCCCGGTACAGCCAAGTCGCAATTCCTAAAGTACGTTGAGAAGACGGCTTCGCGTGCCGTCTTTACCACGGGACAAGGTGCTTCCGCCGTCGGTCTGACGGCGTCGGTACGCAAGGATCCCGTGACGCGCGAGTGGACGCTCGAAGGAGGAGCGCTGGTGCTGGCTGACAAGGGTGTCTGTCTCATCGACGAATTTGACAAGATGAACGACGCCGACCGAACCTCGATCCACGAAGCCATGGAGCAGCAGCAGATCAGTATCTCGAAAGCCGGCATCGTCACCACATTGCAAGCTCGATGTGCCATCGTCGCTGCGGCTAACCCGATTCGCGGCCGTTACAACCCCACAATTCCCTTCAGCCAGAACGTCGAGCTCACCGAGCCGATCCTGTCGCGTTTCGATGCGCTCTGTGTGGTCAAGGACACGGTGGATCCGGTCAAGGACGACATGCTTGCGCGTTTCGTCGTCGGCTCGCATCTGCGATCCCACCCCAAGTTTGACGAGGAGACAGACGAGCAGCTGGTCGCTACGTCGCTTGATGCCGATATCTTGCCGCAAGACCTGCTCAAGAAGTACATCATGTACGCACGCGACCACGTGCGACCTTCGCTCAATGCTCTGGACCAGGACCGTATCTCGCGTCTGTACGCTGATCTGCGTCGCGAGTCGATCTCCACGGGCAGTTTCCCCATCACGGTGCGTCACTTGGAGAGCATGATCCGCATGGCCGAGGCTTCTGCCAAGATGCACCTGCGAGACTATGTGCGAACGGATGACATCGACGTGGCCATCCGTGCCACCGTCGAGTCGTTCGTTTCGGCCCAAAAGATGAGCGTCAAGAAGACGCTCGAGAGGGGCTTCCGCAAGTACCTGCACCAGAGTCGCGACCACGACGAGCTGCTCTCTTTCCTCCTGGGCTCGATCGTCAAGGACCGCATGCGATTCGTTCAACTTTCGAACGGCGCACGCCGCGAACGTGCAGCGCCATCGAGCACGGTCGTGACGGTGCCCGTGTCGGAGCTCGAGACGCGCGCCAAGGAGGTGGATGTGTTTGACATCCGACCTTACCTCGGATCGAAGCTGTTCCATGCAAACGGCTACACTTTCAACCCGACGGACAGATCGATCACCAAGACATTCGGAGCTGGTCGATCCGGTCTACCGGGAGGTGCTGCCATGGCCGCCGCCATGGCAGCGTAAAGGTGGCTATGACCCATCCACTTCTCGCATCTGGGCTCTTCCGCTCTGCAGTGTTTTTTTTTCCCGGATTGATACCTTTTCTCGTCATTGCGGCAGTACATTTTCACCGTTTGTAATCTCAGTCTTGTATGTTCCTTCCGTTCTACCTATAGCTACACAACACGATTCAATCAAACAAACTGTTTAAGAATTTCTAAGGGAAACCAGAGGAGTAGCACGTAGGGACAGAATTGTGTTGAGGCAAGAAGCGACTACTTGGATCGCTTGTACACCTTGTCAAGGAAAGAGCGGAAGACGTCGCGACGAAGGCCTTGCGACTCGGGAAGGTTGTTGATGAGCGTGTTGATCTGCTCGTAGGACTCGGCCTCGTACTTTTGGAAACGGTTGCGAAGGTCAATGTTGGGCTGGTTAAAGACGTCCTTGACGCGCTTCTCGCATTCGGGGTTCTTTTTGCCGTAGTTTTGATCGAGGATCTGACGCTGTTCTGGGGTGGCATTCTGAAGGGCGACGTTGATGTTCCAAGAGCACTTGTTGTCGAAGATGTCTGTGCCGATCTTGCCGATCTGCTCGGGGGTGCCGTAGCAGTCGAGGAAGTCGTCTTGAACCTGGAAGTACTCGCCCATAGGAAGGAGGATGTCAAGAGCCTGCTTGTAGAGTGCCTCGTCGGTGACGCCGGCCATGCGCATGGCAAGGGCGACGGGGAGGTAGAAGGAGTAGAAAGCGGTCTTGTAGACGACGATGAGGTGGTGCTTTGTGAGAGAGAACTTGGAAAGATCGACCGAGTCTTCGGGAGCAGTGATGAGATCGATGAGCTGACCAAGCTCCGTCTGGAAGGTGACGTCGTGGAAGAGCTCGAGGAGCATGCCGTAGTAGGGTTCGGCGCGGAAGTGCTTTTTGAGCAAAAAGTAGATGGCGGCTTCGAGCATAAAGGCGTCGTTGATGGCGATGTTACCGACACCCTCGACGCGGTACCAGCATGGCTGACCCCTGCGAGTGACACTTGCATCCATCATGTCATCGGCTACGAGGAAATAGGCCTGCAGAAGCTCGATGCACCAGCCGAGGATGGCAGCTTTGAGGTATTCGGGCTCGGTGAGCTCGCGCGAGAGTTTGCCGGTAGCAGCATCGGTGCAGAGCAAAATCTCCACGGTGTCGACGACAGAGAGACCACGGTTGAGCTTACCGCCGGGAGTGTTGTAGTCGAGGTTGCGACGGAACCAGTCGATGGCCTCGGCGGGCATGTTTTCCGAGGCGAGGTAAGCGGTGAGCTCCTCGACCAAGAGGGGGAAAACGGCCTCGAAGCGCTTGCGCTTCTGGATCTTGAGCTGTGCCTTGTCGGCAAGAGCCTGTGCATCTACGCTGGACATGTTGACTGTGTTTGAAGGTGGCGGATTGGTACAGAAGAAGTGAGTGAAGAGAAGTGATTGAACTTGTAAGAAGAAGAAAGCGTTTCGCTCGACCGTGACCGGCGTGTTGGTCTTTGGTTGCGCACGCGAGAAAAGTGGTCTGATCTCTTCAACACGCTCTCCAGGACAAATCGGCATTCCGTGACAAAAAGGCTGTTAAGTTGGATGCTACGCTCGACGTGGGTCAGGGTTCACTTTTGCAGGTTGGACTGACTTATGCGGATACGACGTGGAGAACAACACTCTGTGCTCAGCCAACACCATCGCAGTACTGCACTCTCTACCTTCTCGCCAGGCCGACGTTGGCTCGCCACAGAGATCACCTTTGCATTGTGTAGACTGACGGCGGACTATGGCGACCCCGCACGTCCTCTACTACTGCTCTTGCAACCAGGTTCACGGCAACGTCGCCTCCACCTCTTCGCTAGCATCTCCGCCGCCCGGTCTACCTGCCCGTTCAACCGCCTCGCGATACGCATTTCAGCCGCTCGAGTCGCTCTACTTTTGCGACGAATGCGATCGGATCAGATGCAATCGCTGCGTCACCGTCGATATCTCGAGCTACTACTGTCCAAATTGTCTCTTTGAAGTGCCAGGAGCCAGCGTCAAGGCTGAAAAGAACCGATGTTCACGCAACTGCTTCGAGTGCCCTTGCTGCCAGCACACGCTCTCGGTCGTAGCCAGTGACCTCAACAACTCTGCCGCTCGCAGTCTCGATCCTACCGATCCAGCTGCAAGCCAGGGCGAGCCACCCTACTATCTCGCCTGCTCCGTCTGTCGTTGGGATTCCAAGTCCGTGGGTCTCGTTTTCGAGAAACCCACCGGTCTCAGTCTGCAGCTGCAGAGGTCGGAAGAGAATGCAGCCGACGTGCTCGAGTTCGATCGGATCAAGGATCACTTTGATCCATACCTCAAGACGCAAACCCAAGCGGCCATCACCTCTGCCGCGGTTGGTTCAGGCAGCTCCTCCCGTACCCGTCCTCTGCCCGCTTCGTCTTCCTCCGCAGCGGCGGTAGCCCCCTCTGCTACCAAACCCGCAACTTCGAGCCGCAGCGCAAGAGCCGCGGCCGCACGCAACGCCGCCACTGCCGCGCTTCAGTCGTCCAAGCTGTTGCGCGATCTTCCACACCTAGCGCACCCGAGGCACCCCGCACATTCCGCACGCTCGGCTCCCACTGAGCCAGACGAGCTCAAACCGTATCGTGCTCTGAATCCGTGGCAACCTCCTCGAGATGACCGCAGCCGTTCCGGTGCACAGTCTGTGCCATCCATCGGTGTCGTTGCCAAACGCGAAAAACATCGAAGAGACTACATAGCTCGCATCCAGTCGAGCTCCAGCCAGCCTTTCGCTTCACTTGACGACAAGATCACATCCCTCGAGCAACGATGGTCTTCGGTCTCGATAGCCGATCAGCCAGTACGTGTGGCGGAGCTCAGACCGACCAGAGTCGCGCTCAAGTCCAAAATCTCCAAGAGATGCCCCGCTTGTCGACACATCGTCATTAAACCAGATATTAAGGCAGCCTCGAATCGATTCAAGATCAAGCTCGTTGCCCTCAACTTTTTGCCCGAGTTTCAGATCAGTCTGGCCAATCAACAACCCCATCTCGACCCTCTGCGCTTTCGTTCCGCCGGCACTGCGGGTTCAAACACGGTCGGCGCAGGCTTGACAGCGAGCGCCTTGAGACGAAGACCTGCGTCGGTGCTGCCGTCGGCCACAGACCCCGTCGGCATCACTTCGTCTATCTTGACCTCGTCGCAGGACATCGACGTCAACAATCTAGTCGCTGGCCAGACGTACAGCTACCAGATCGCCGTGACCAACCCCTTGGATGATCCAGTGCAGGTCGAAATGAGCTTCGTGCGCTTCGTCGATCCGTCTCTCGGCGGGGGCGCTGCAGCGGTGCCGCCTCTGCCCGAATCAAAATACATTTTTTCCTCGCAGCCTTCCTCAGGCACCTCATCGGCTCATCCGACGCAAGTCACAGCTGGCGAGCAGCCACAACGGTTGAGTCGGCGTCCGCGGTTCGGATGGCAGGCGTATCCGTCGGCAACAACCATTCCACTTAATGCATTCAACGAAGTCTGGGACCTTGAAGATGCTGAAGATATCTACAGCAAAAGCGAGTTTCAAGTGCAGTCTCAGTCCACGGATGAAGCTTCACCACATCGTCATGCCGTCAAAACCGCCGTCATCGAGGATGTTGAACGAGCCGCTAGCGAGCCGGCGTGGGTGATTCAAGAGCATGAAGACGACGACGACGCAGGCAGAGCATCTCGCACCGTAGGACGAGGACGCAAGCCGTTCATTCAAAAGGGCCACACCACCACTTTCTACCTCGACCTCGTCCTCTCGGCTACTGCAACCCCAGGCCCTGTAGAGCTGGCCATGCATGTCACCTATCGCTATACCGGTACTGCTTCCACGAGCGACCAGGCATCGGGTGGCCAGATGACAGGCTCAGTCGGTAAAGACTTTTCTTTCTGGACCTCAATCACACTCGGCACGGTCCCCCGAGACCAGTAGGGTATGTTTGTCACCTTGAATTGCAATATTGAGAGTGTTGAAGACATGATTCTTGGAGCAACGCTTTTCGTTGACCGTGGTCGTACCAACCCGCCAAGCTGAGAACGAAGCTCATCAGACTGACGTCAACCAAGATCGATGGTCCCCGTTGAGGAGAGCCAGCTTTCAGACCGTTGTCTTAAGTTGTGCTTCCACCGGAACTCTTTGGTCGACGGCTTCAGCTGCCTTTGCTTCTTGCCGAGCCATGTGTACGAGGATGGTTCGGAACGATGCAGCCAGTCCCCAGTCTAGCTTGCGAAGTAGCGAGGCAAAGCGAAGCAGTATTTGTGAGGTCCTCACACTTCTGGCTCGGCCCGAATCAGGCAGGAATGGCGTCTCTTTGCTTCCGCGCATCTTTGACGGAGTCGTCGGCCCCGACCCTTTCATTTCGTTCTCCACCTCACCTCCCGCATCCGAAGAGCCCTCTGACGCAATTTGAGCTGTCGTGCTCGCGTCTTTGCGTGCTGTGCGAAGTTCACCGATACCTGCGACCCGGACGATCAGATGCGAGGCGGCGTTCCAACGACGCGGCTTGCCGTCCAGCGTTGACCGATATGCGCCCATGGACCAGGCTTCTACTACCCGAGAGGACACGGTTGAATCCGAGATCGAACTCGAATTCGAGCCATTAGTGCCTTCGCTGGACCGCTCGTGCCAATCGTCGGCGCTCTCCGTGCCTTGTGAGACATCGCTGCCCGATCGGACGAGGTCAATGTAGCCGCTCTCTTCGACAGTGCGCAGCGCGGCCGGGGAAAGATACGGCAGAGCTTCTGCTTGCGACCTGCTCAGCTTGAGAATGTCGTCCGCAGACCCATTGCGTGCCTTTAGCAGCTCGCTCGCGGCGTGATCGAGGGGCCCGTTTCGATGCAGCGCTGTAACGGGTTCATGTTGATGTGGCCTCAATTTGTCGTATGCCCACAGAATCAGGGCGGCGTGGAAGAGGCTGACGATGCAGACGTGACTCTGTAGCACGACTGCGTCTGGCCGCATTGCTTCGAAACAATTACGAACGAGGTCGTAGACCTGAGCAGAAGCCAGAAGCATCCCTCGCATGGCGACGTGATTCTTGGGATCGACCACCCAGCGTCGCAGCTCTGCCACCGCGTCCGTGCGTCTTGCGGTGCCCGCCCTTCCGGCCGCATCCTTGAGCCGATCGAAAAAGGCGGGAGGACCGCTAAAATGCATCTTAGATAGGAAGCGCAGAAGCTGAACGTCGATGCTCAATGCAATGTTGGAATGCCTAGCAAGGTTGCCTGAACGATTCGACGTGCTCGAGCCGGTCAAAGACGCCGTCGCATACGAGGCTGCCTCGGCGAGTCCCTGTAGCGCGTTAGCCGCAGCAGCGTCGATAGCAACCGTGCCGGAAGCGGCGTCGACGACGTGATTCTCGCCGAGCGTGACCTGTTCGGCATGGGCAAAGGCTTCCATCCCAAACAGCACTGAGCGCTTGCTGGTGTCCCAGCGGATCCGGTATAGAGTGACGGAAAGAATGTATGCCTCGAGACGGTTGAGGCGCAAAGGAATGTCTTCGTGTCTTGGAGGGTCGAGCAATTTCCTGAGAACGTCAATGAAGGAAGCTTTTGGCGTCGACTGGGTGTGTTGCGGAATACGAAGGTACCACTCTCGAGCCGATTTGGCATTCCAGAGCTGCTCATCGCACGGAAAGGGTGAGGTGACTTCGGTGTACAGCAACATGGGCGAGATATCCATGTAAAGGCCGTAGAGCTGATCGTAGAGAAAGACAAACCACGCGAGTCGGATCCGGCTCTCGCGGTCGATCCACGCTCTCCATCGCCTTTCTAAAAGCTGTTCATCGATGCTTTCCAAGGGTTGCTCGGAGAAATCGAGTCGGAGACCAGGCATGTTGAGGAGGCCTGTGCGACGGATCGCGGTCATGATACCGCCTCGATTGCGCTCAGCCAGCTTGTAAAGACGCTTGTTGCCAGAGCCGATGCCAAACATCTGCTGCAAAAGCCAGGCCTGATTGATGCTGACGTCGAGAAATCCACGCTGGTCGGCCTCGTATGCGCTCATCGTACCGATACGTGTAGATTCGGAAAATGCGGGGCCGAGGGTGTTGACCCGCTTCTGCAAACGTGTGAGGCTTGAAGTGCGAGCACCACGAGCTTGCATCTCCGAGACGTAGAAGACAAGACCCTTTGTGATCAGAATCAGCAATAGCACTGGGCTTGCTGTCTCGGGGTCAAAGGAGGCGGCATGGAGGATCGGAGTGTACGGGTGCACTTTCTTGAAGTAGAGGGAAAGGAGGATCTCGAGCTCGGAGGTTAAGAGGAATCGATCGGCGTTTCCATTGAACGAGTAGACAGACCACGGGTGTTTGCACGAGTGGCGAAGGTATTCTAGTAGATTCAAACGTGCCTTCCCAGTAATCTGGTAGGCAGGATCAGATGTCTCGCTATGACGTGCGTGTGCGGTCGGTGAGCTGCGATTCTTGCTTCGGGACGCTGTGGCTTCATCGCCCGGGTATTCTTCTATCAAGACGAGGGGAATGTGGCGATTGGAGCCTTGTTCGGAGAAGGATTCGCTCGACTCAAAGTTGCGCTGAGCACTTTGATCATCCATGTCGTCTTCCATCTCGACAGCAAGGATGTAGTCTGAAATCTCGAGAGTGGGCGGTTGACGCCGAGTCGGGCGAAAATCTTGAGGCCACTCGCCATCGTCGTCAGGGTTGCGCCCCGTCCGTGCAGCAGCGCTGGTAGATGGACCGCCGGTGCCGTTTGCTTGATCGATAGCGGTGTTGGCCAGGTTGATCAGGCCGAGCGACTCGAAGGGGTCTGCTTCGCCACCATAGCCCTTAGCCCGTTCAAACAACTTTTCGTTGGCACGAGAGAGGGAATCCGGTGGCTTGGGGCCAATATCATCGAGGGCGGCGGCAAAGTCCTCCTCGAAAGTAGAAGGCATAGCTCCAGATAGAACCGAAGCATCCGTGAGGCTGGCAGCGCCATCATCAAAGATCCAGTCAAGCCCAGTGAGATTCTTGTAATTGAGCGAATCCCATCCGAGCCTTCCGCCGTCCTGCTGTCCGAAGACTTGGGTGTTCCAGTCATCAAAGGAGAAGGAGATGCCGCTTGAGCCGTACAGAGCCGAGTCTGGAAGGTACTCTGCATCCATACCACTTGTGCGGGTAGCCAAAGAGACGTCGAGAGCGGCCAGCTGCTGCTGCTGAAGGGCTTGCTCTGTAAGAGGCTGCACAGGCTGTTGCACCGGCTGGACAGCACCGCCTGCAAGTCCGTTTGTCTGAGCAAAACAGCCATTTGCGATGACTTGGGGATGAACATGAGCAGTCTCGCTCGGCGACTGCTGCGAAGCACCTCGAGGCGAAAGGTAGGTTCCAGTTTCGACGTATTGGAGCGTCGCCGGCGCTTGATCCACCGGTGAGGAGGTCGAATCGGATCGCTTGATCTTTTTCGGCATGGGCCCATTGTCGCTTGTTGCATGGCCTCGTTTGTGTCTTGCTAGCACGTCACTTCTTCGGAACGTCTTCTGACAGCCCGGTGCATCGCAAATGAAGATGCGTGGGGCTTCGTCGGCCTCAGTTGAATGGTGCGTAGATTGGATGTGACGTTTGAGATGCTCTGTACGCGCGTACGCCTTTCCGCAGTGGCTGCATGTGAAACGCATCGTGCGTGTTTGAGGATGCTGCTGTTGTACGATCGACTGACCATGAATGGCTTCGGCCTACCGCTCCTATGGGTCGCATAACCCGTCACAGGTATTGCAACTCTGCGTTGTTTGCCGGTGTATCGAAGGCTACCATCAAAGAAAGCTACACCAAGGAGATGAGCATCGCGCAGATCCGTGTCGCGAGAGGGAGTACGCGGTAGGGGTTTGCGTAATCTCTTACCTGGTGTAGATGACGCAAGGGACAGCTATTCGATTTGTATGATTCTAAAGCAAGACTGTCAGGTGTGTTTGTCGTGTTTCGATCAAGCTCCCTCCAGTTTCCATCGGCGAGACCCTGGCCCCAGAAATCCGGGGCACCTCAGCGCCCACGCTGCAGCTCCTCGTGTTCCTGGCAATGTGGGAGAGGCAAGGCGCTCTAACATTCGTCTCTCCCACACACTCAGTCGGCCAGCCTCCCACATCTTTCCCCGCGGTGCAATGTCAAAGGTCACGCGGCCCGGATTTGGCACACAAATTGATTGCGAGGGGAACTCGCGCACCCTCAGAACGAGTCTCCAGCTGTTCTTGCCCGTTTCTCAGCCGCCGATGTGAGCGTCTCGACTCTGTTGTCTGCTGAATGTCTCCAAACACAATGATCGTCTTGTCTACTTACGACTGAACTCCAGACTTTAGGCACAAGTTTGTCAGAAGCAGCGGACTAGCGCCTTCCATTACAAGATGGGGCTGTTTCAAACTCGGATTGCTGCTCATCAAGCACTCATCATACACAAATTTGCTCGGAATAAAACCCGTGAAAAAGAAGGACTAGAAATGCAGATTTGGGTTTTGCGCCTAGCAGTGATTGTCCATGTACTCCTTGATGGCTCCTGTGAATCCGTCCTGGTCGACGGTGAAGCCAAGACCCAGAGCGTACGAGTTGTCGAATTCACGAGGCCAGCTCGAGACGATACGTTGGCACGTGTCATCGTGCTCAAACTTGATGAGACTGACGGCGTCATCGCCGCGCACTTTACGAAGAGCCTCGATGATCTCGTGGATCGAGACAGTGAAGCCAGGAAGCTGCACAGAGCGCGACCATCGGGTGATCTTATCCGAGCTCGAGTCGATGACGTTCTTGGCACGTGCAAGGTTCTCGAGCGTCGTCGATGGCTTGGCAACCCACACCTCGACATTCTTGAGCACGGGGTCTTCAACCGAAGAGCCGACAGGGCAGATAGCCTCGACGCCGTTCAACGGTTCACGAACGATGCCTGAGACGAAGGCAGACGTGGCTCGAGAGGGAACACCGGGGCGGGGGACAATGGTGGGAAGCTTGACGGAAAGACCATCGACAAAGCCCTTGCGAGTGTATTCGGTCACAAGGTACTCGCCCATGAGTTTGGCCATTCCGTATGCACCTTCGGGCTGGCAAGCAGTCGAGGGTAGCACGACGTGAGGCAGCGGGCCACCGTAGGTGGCTACAGAGGATGTGAAGACGAACTTGATCGGCTCGCCCTGCGAGTTGCGCGAGTGACGTGCCTTCTCGAGCAGGGCGCGCGTCGAATCGATGTTGACCTTCATGCCGAGGTCCCAGTTCTCCTCGCTTCCCAAGCTCATGATGCCGTGCATCGAGTAGATGACATCCGGCTTGCCGAATTCGGTCTCAAAGAGAGCGTCGAGGCTTGCGGGATCAGAGAGGTCGGCCTTCTTGCAGATGACCTTGGCAGCAAGGCCCTTTGTCGATTTAGGCTCGACAATGTCGGCGAGGATGAAGCTGAAAGAGGTTTGCGGCTCTCGCTGCACGATGCGTGCCGGCAGCAGGCCGCCGAGCCATCCACCGCCTCCGGTGATGAGGATAGTCTGTTCCTGAATCGTCATGATGTTGGCTACGTTGATGTAGGATCTTGGATATGTGTTCGTCGAAATGGAGGGATCGATGGAAGATGCACTCCCTCACTTTTATTATAAACGTCTCGGCGTTCGCATGTCACACAGACTTGCCCGAGTGCATGTCGCTACATTCAGGGTCGAGGTTTGGAGCAGTGCGGTGGGAGTCTCTACCACGCAGCCCGATGCTTGTGGGAGGACGAACAGCGCTTGGCAAATGTTTGGTGATTGATCCATGCGGCTCAAGGCCCCCTTGGCCCCCTTGTTGATCCTCGCTGTTCCTTGTCGACGTGGGCAAGGCCAAGTGGCGTCCTTGTGGGGGTGGGAGGGTGGTGGACAAGACGCGCGCGGAAAGGGTCTCGAGGCAACATATCAGCCTGCCGCCAGAAATTGGCCGAAATTCGGCAGGCGTCGCAGCCACGCGGCAAGACGACAACTTGGACGGCGAGGAGCCCCACACGCGAATGGGGCAAGCAAACTGAAGATGGATGCTGCTCGACAGGTCAGGTCGGATCGAACATCGTGGCTGATTCTTTCAATTGAAAATCGCCTGAATCAGTGGCTAGCCTTGACAAGTGTGTCAACGACAACTTGAGCAGATCGCACATGTTCTCGACGCGCGGGAAGGAAGCGCTGCAAGAGATATCTCTGGTGGCGGCGGCAAGTCCGACGTTTGTGTGGGAGTACTGTAGTGTGGTTCCTTGCATTACTTACTCCGACAGGACAATCAATCGGATTCCCCGCACTCGGTGTTTGTACACCCCACACGTCAACAAAATCCCGAGTCGATAGTCGATGGTGCTTCCTCTTCTCCCACCACCATCCTGTGCATCGCCTACTCCTTGGTACAGCGTTATCCCAACTCCACCCCCACACAGGGACCATACGACTCTTGCCCTTACCACCTCCAGGAACCGGCTGCAGCAGTCACAAGCATGACGAGGTACTCAGCTCCTGCATGACTTACCCCACACTCTCGGCGTGGCTCCAGTCGAATCGGTCTTGCTCGTGCCGACTGCTGCATGCACGGCGCACCTGATCGTTGTCAGTCATCCATCTTTGCCTCTCATCTGCTGCAGCAATGTCCTCGAGCTGTTGTCATTGCATGAATCGAGCACATAAGTACCGTCCCCGGAAGACCTTCTCGCAGCCACTTTCTTCCCCTCCATTCCTCGCATCCCAATCTCGGCAGACCCACAAGACTTCTGGCCTCCCATGTTGTTCAAGCGCGACAAAAACGACCAAGTCGCCCACTCCACCTACGACGCCGACATGCGTCCCCCTTCGCTCGCCATCGATGAACGTCACCCCACCCTCACTCAGGCCGAAGAGGAGGAAGAGGAAAGGCGACTCGTTCGCAAGATCGACATGCGACTCGTCCCTTGCGTGTGGGTCATGTACCTCTTCTCCTACCTCGATCGCAGCAACATCGGTAACGCTTACACGGGTGGCATGGGCACTGACCTCAAGATGTCAGCCAACCACTACAGTATCGTGCTCCTCGTCTTCTTTGCTACGTACGTTCCTTTCGAGGTCCCCTCTAACATGTTGCTCACGCGAGTGAGGCCAAGCATCTACCTGCCCGCTATCATGTTCCTCTGGGGTGGTCTCTCCATCGCCTTCGCCGGCGCCAAGAACTGGCAAACCGTCGCTGCTCTTCGAGTCGTGCTCGGCATCCTCGAGGCGGGCTTTTCGCCAGGTGTCCTCTTCATCCTCTCGAGCTGGTACAAGCGCGGCGAATTGGCAAGAAGATACTGTCTCTACTATTCTGCCGTTCCTCTCGCTGGAATGTTTGGCGGCCTCATCGCTGGTGGCCTAATTCAGAAGCTCAAGAACGCTGGAGGCCTTGCGGCATGGCGCTGGCTATTCGTGGTAGAAGGTGCTGCTACGTGCCTAGTCGCGATCATCGCCGTCTTCATCCTCCCCGACTTCCCGGCCACCACCAAGTGGCTCTCACCTCGCGAACGCTTTTTGGCTGAAAGGCGTCTCGCCCAAGATTCGCTCGGCAGTGCTCAGGGCGGCAAGGAGGACGTCTCGCACAAGCAGGCAGCTGCCATGGCCTTCACCGACTGGAGAACCTGGGGATTCGTCGTACTCTACATGATGGGCACAGGCTCGCAGACCATCCAATATTTCGTCCCGGAACTGGTGAAGAGCATGGGTTACACTGGCTTCCACGTCCAGTATATGACGGCTCCGATCTACGCTGTCGCTTTGTTCGCCATTGTCTCGTTCTGTTTCTCGTCGGACTACTTCCGCGATCGCGCGTACCACACCGCTGTGGCATCCACCATTGCAGTCGTCGCCTTCGCTTGCATGCTCGGTGTCCTCGACCACGTTGGCAGGTACGTCCTGCTCTGCCTCGGTGTAGCAGGTGTCTACGCCGCCTGTCCTCTCATCAGCATTTGGGTGTCGAATGCCATCCCGCACCCCTCCGAGAAACGTGCCGTGGTGCAGGCCTTCGTCAACGGCATGGGCAACTCGGCAAGTATCTACGGCTCGTACCTCTTCAACAAGGGCGACAAGAACTTCAACCGAAAGGGCTTCGGTGTCACCATGGCTTTCATGCTCATCGCCGCCCTCCTATCCCTCGTCATGCGCGTCCTGCTGGTCAGGTACCCGTACCCCGAGATTCAGCACGTCCGCGAGACGGATACCGACTCGGCCAATGCTGCCGGATCTGGCTACGGTGGTGACCAAGACGACCTCAAGACCAAGGCATAGACTCGATGAGACTCTCTCCGGAACACTTTGCGCAATGTTTGTTGCCTTCGCACCTTTGTAATGATTGTCACGTGGAAAGGATTCTCAATGATGAAATACGCCGCTCGTGTCAAGATTGTGAGATCGACTTGCAGAACTCGTTTGCCGTACAAAAGCAGATCACTCGCGAGAACACCGATTCTCTGACTCTGCCACAGACGCATTCAGAGCAGTTTGCGCAAGGAAAAGAATCATATTATAAAGTTAAGCCTGTCCGTTGGCAGGGTGTGGTGTGCGGAATCGTGTGGACCGCTTGCGGCGGGCCTGAAAGCTGACAGCCTGATCGTCGCTATCGTCCTCTTCTTCAAACCCAAGCGTGGCTCCCGAACCGGAAAGTAGAGCGTGCTTTGCAGAGATGGAATCAAGGCCATCTTGGGCAGCACCTTCCTCTTCGGCATCGGCGAACTGCGACTCTTCCGTCGCAGCGGTACCGTCTTTTGCCTTTAGATCCTTCCCTTCCGGTTGCACACCCCCAACATCTGAGCGCGTCGCTTGCGTCTCTGCGGCGGATGGAGCTCGCGACGATTCGTTCGAGCCGTGTTGCAGATGCGAAGCGGATCGAGATACGCTTGCTGAGCTGGTAGGAGTTGGTTCGGCTTCCAGCCTTGTGCTCCCTAAAGGATCTGACACGGCAGCTTGGGCTATACCCAGCTCAGTGAGGTTGGCCTTTCGTAGCGCGTCTGCTTCGCTAGAAAGGGAAGCACCCATGGCGAATGTCTGACAATCTGGCGCGGCGATCTCGTCGGCGGGGATACTGGCATCGGCTGCGACTCGGTGGTCCGGCATGCCGGACGACCCGGAAGGCGACAAGATATGCTGATAGGGTGGTTTGAAGACATTGTAGCCGCCCTCCACGGAAGGTGTGAGAATGTCATTGGAACTAACGCTTCCGCTTGACTCTTTGCGCGCGTGAGCCTCTGGGAGGAAGGCTGATTGGCCGATGTGCTGGTTTTGCTCGTCGCCATCGCGCACCGTCCAGCCATTGCCAGAATTGATGAGCATTGGCCCGCGATTTGCGCTGTGTGCACCGTGGAGGTCATCCGAGAGATCGTCGTCCGAGAGCTCGAGCTCGAGTTCAAGATCGACATCATCGTTCTCGTATTCAGCAACTTCGAGCGGCGTGTCGAAGTGACGACGACGGCCGAAGTGATCGAAAGCGAAAGGCCCGACAGCATCTGATCCCGTCAAGGGCGACGATGGTTGACTTAGGGCGCTGAACGCACTTCGAGCAAGGCTGGCGCTTTCCGATGGGTCCGCAAGCACCTCAGTGGAGAGACTCGGTGCGCCAGCGAAACCACCGCTGCTGGTGCTGCCGAGCACGGGTGCACTCGTCGGTGTGCCCGATTCGGGACGAGCGCCAGCTTGTTGAACCGCACCGAGGGTGTCGACAGAGAGCGGACCCACAGGGGGGACCGAAGATGCGAGGGCCGGCCTCACGCTGCTCGCAGTACTTCCGATACTTCCGCTCCGTTTCGACAGACTTGCGCCCCCCAGAGTCGAAGAGAAAGGCGGTGCATCCCTCGATCCTCGGGTGCTGGGTCTTGAAGTGCTGCGATTGCGATCGTCGGCGCCGTTCATGAGCCAGTTGCCTCGCAAAAAGTCGCCGAGGCGGTGGCGTCCCGATACGCGCGAGGCCTGCGAGATGCTCAGCGTCGAAGACCTACCTTCCGAGTCGATTGACCGACGCGGCGATGCTGCACGCTGCGGTTGCGAGTCGTTGCCGGTGGAATCCTGGCGACTGCTCGCACGGTGAAGCGAGGACATGCGAGGCGAAGACGTGTGGAGTGAGGGTGAGGCCGAAGTGGCACTGACACGACGAGCGGCGCCGTGAGTGTCAGACGAAGTGCGCTGCGGAATCTCGGGACCAAGGTCCGGTCGCAGCCCAGAGCTGCTTGTCGACTGTGCCGAAGCTCGACGGTGAGATGCGAGGGTAGGTGGCCCCATAGCGCCATTGTCTGCACCGTCGACCAGCACAGGGGGAGGCAGCATAGGTGAAAGGTTGGTAGCTTGCTCGGGTGCTTCGGTTTCGCATCCTCCAAAGGCCTGAGGAGATGTCTGAGGCGGAGAGACAGTTTGATGCGCGATGGGTTGAACCGGCGTATGGGTGTCCTTGATCTTGGGAGAGTCCGATGCGATAGAGTCTGACTCGTCACGGTGAGCTGCGGTTAAGGCACGCAGAGCGGAGACCCCGTCGCGCCGACCGACTGAGCCGGCGCTCTTTTGTCGCGTAAAGAAGATGTGGCCCTTGAGAGGCGTTCGCGGTGTTCGGACCGACGAGGTAGAGGGTGCGGATTGACTCGACGAGTCGAACGGCGTGACGGGCATCGAATCTGCCTTTTCTGTACCTACAGCGCGACCAGGTTGAGGCGAGCTGGTCCCTGAATCTGTTCGCATGTCAGCATGCACGGATGACGCTGCGGACGAATTGTTGATAGACTTGCTGCGTCGTCTACCGCCAGCGAAAGAGTCTAGCAGCTTGGATTGCCACCGCTTCACGCGCTGCTTGAGTTTGGAGAAGCCGGTCAGAGCATCCTCGACGTCTGCGTGCGAGATCTCGACGAATGGCATATGCTGAGGATCGGTCTCTGAGAGCCAGGCTGGGGCGTCTTGGAGACCGCGAGTGACCCATGGATGCTTCTTGACGTCCTCTAGTGTGATGCGCTTTGCTGGATCCTTCTCGAGCAAGCGGTCCAACAGGTCCCGAAGTTGCTTGGCGTCGTCGCTCAAGCTCGCAAGATCGGCGTCCGGACATAGCTCCGAAGGACTCGCTGGCTGAGCATCGGCCTCTTCGTCGGTCCACTGCGAACGCGACTGCCACCTCGGTTTTCTCGGACCAACGCGTACGCGATCTGCTCCCATAAAGGTGGGTATGGAGTAGTCGGTGCTCGGTATGACGGCAAACAACGCGTACTCGGATTCGGCGGTAAAAGCGGTGTTCCCGAACAAGAGACAGTAGAGCGTGATGCCGAGTGCCCACACATCGATGGCTTTGGTGACTTTGGGCCGTGCAGGTGGCGTCGCGACCTTAGCGTTGGCAGTGTCGGCTAGCGAAGTCGCCGTTGCGCTCTGGAATGGATCGACAGACGGAGAGGCTGAGGAAAAGGAGGACATGCAGAGCTCTGGCGCAAAGAACGCTGGACTGCCAGCGGTCTTGGCTAGCTCTCGGTCGTCGGCGAGACTGGGGTCGGACGCCGAGGATGCGGAAGCGGATGCAGAGGCGGCGTGATCGTTGGCGATCATCATAGCGTAGCTGAAGTGGGAGACGCCGAAATCTGAAATTTTGACTCTATGGTCCTTGTCCCAGAGTAAGTTGGCAGGCTTGATGTCGCGGTGGATAATGCCTTGATAGTGGAGATACTCGAGTCCACAGACGACGTCGCGAAGGACTTGACGTGCCTCGTCTACGGTGAGTGCGGGATGGCCCTGATCGTCTTTCCACACCACTTCGCCTCCCTCCATGTGCTCGAGGACCATGAAGATCTTCTTGCTTTGCGGATCGTCGATAACCTCTTTGAGCTGGACGACATTGTCGTGGCTGCACTTTTTCATGATGGCAATCTCTCGCCTCACCTTTTGATCGGTGGTCCACAAAAGCGCCTTTCGAGCTTTCTCGCGCTCCTTTTCGCGACGACGCTCGACATCCCTGTCCGAGGGTTGCCTGCGTGAGAGACCGAAAGCAGAAGCGCTCGGCGATTTTGGGATATGGGGCAAAGGTGCAAATTGAGTTGAGGGGGTGGTCGGGACGCCCTTTACGGTGGTGGATGCGGAGCCGCTGACGTCTTCCTGCGGCGAGTCGGTTCCCCGGTCTGCGTCCTGAGCATCCGAGTTGGACGGGAGTCCGGACAACGTCGGTGCGTCGAGATCGACTGCGGATAGGCGCGACTGATCCTTTGTGCGGTGGTTGCGATTGAGCAAGCCGAGACCTGCGCCGAGACGCTTGCGTGCTTCCCTCTCGACGATTTTGACGGCTACGCGTTCGCCAGTCTCGAGGTCTCGGGCGAGACGCACCTTGCCGTGGACACCACGACCGAGCTCTCCCTCTATGAGGTACTGATTGACCATACGGCGGCCGCTGGTGTGGGTCTGAATGTCAAGGCGGTTGGTCTCGAGCACGTGCGGAGTGCGTTGGGAGCGTGTAGAGCCAAACAGGTTGGGCGAGGTGCGACCCGAGTCTGAAGGCGAGTTGTACGTGCTGGCGCTGGCGGAGGCGACCTGGCTGGTGGGTGCGGCACGCGGCGGAGACGAACCGGAAGGCAGGTTAAGTCTGCCAGCTGCCAGCTGCTGATGCATGTGCTGATTGAGAAGCTGTTGTTGGATCTGTTGTGCGTAAATGTGAAGCTCGCTCATGGCAGAGCGCGCTGGTGTCGAAGATCCAGAGACTACCGATGGCGAGACAGAGGCGGAACTGCTGGAAGGATCTTGAGTGCTGAGGTGACCTGGTGAGGTGCTTGCGGGAGAGGGCTTGTTGCGGTTTGCATCGTGACTGGGCGCGATCAAGACGGGGTGGGCAAGGTCCTTGGAGTCGGCAGGAAGTGCGGGCGAGCTGTACAGCTGAGGCGGCGATAGTGGCGCGCCTGCGTCGAGGAGAGGTGCAGGACTTCCGCTTGCGGATTCCGGACCTAGGGCGCCCAAGACGTGACCGGCCATGGCGAGACTGAGAGGCTTGTATGCAGGGCTCGTGGCAGATGCGCTGCTATCGCTACTAGCACCATCGGGAGTTGCTCCATCCAGTGGAGCAGATTGAAGAGCTTCGAGCTGCGCATGAACAGATTGATGCTTGATGGTGTCGGAAGTGTCGGTGGTGATGTTGGCGGACGTAGCGGACGAGGTCGATGGCGTAGCTGCTGCAGCCATCGAGGCCTCTCCTGGCGTCTGCAAGGACATGCTGACGAGCGAACAAGCCGACGCGAAAGAAATCTGCGCCGAGGCGGACGAGACTGAAAAGAGTTCAAGGAGAGGGCAGCATTGTCTATTTTGGACAAAACACGTTCGGTATGAATGCTACCGTGTGCTGTGATATATGCTACCGTACGCCGTGGTTGTTGATACGTGGGTGTCGACGCTGAAGCGCGAGCGATATCAGGGGTTCAGCGATCGCCGTCGGACGTCTGTAAGTGATCGAACAAAGACTGGACGGGATTCGACACGGAAAGGGTGCGATGTAAGACCTCGACGAGAATGGGCAAGCGAACGGTGACGAGGGCCCCTAGAGCAGTGTCGCCTTGACCGAGAATGGTGATGGAGGTGTAGACCGAACCGACACTGAAGCTGATGATCAAAAGAGGCGAAGTATACGATGATTGTCGTGTTCGAGCGAGACGTCGATGGCAAGGTAAGCTGGAAGAGCTGCGATCTGGTGGAGCATGCGAGCAGCCAGCCAACTTAGCTAGGCAGAGCGAATTGGCCGCGACCGTGCAAAAAGAAAGGGTGCAGCAGCTGCAGCTCTGTTAGCGATGCAAAGAACTCAGGGTCGTAGCCACACTTCCAATTTGTTACTGGAGCCGACTGTGTAGCGGATCACTCTGAGATTTGGATTTGGATTTGGATTTGGATTTCGAAACAGCCGAGGTGCTAACATTGTAGGTGACTGAGCGAACGGACAGCACCTCGCCAGTCTCGACGCCCGAGCCCTGGCCCAGATCTCGAGCTCGCTGCACAGTTACACTCGACGCGCATGTGCACTTCCAGCTCAACCTCGAAATTCACGCTTGTGGGTCTTTCTCGTGAGTGGCAGTTGTCACAAACATTCAACGAGAACAGAACTGGCTGCCTCAACACAACGAACAGGTCTACGCACAGACTCGGTCCCAAAGTCGTGCATGCAGTGTACCAACGCTCGGATCTGTCGGCACCACGCGAACCCGACACAAGCTTTGGGGTCGTTGTATCAAATACAGTGAGTAGATGAAGTGTCCCACAGCCCCACTCTGTGCACGCAAACCTTGGCACTCTTGTTTGTCTCGCGGATCTCGCCTGTACCAGCCGAGCTTGACTGTTTACCGGCTCGTCCGGGAATACCTTCCGAGCCTGTCTGCCATAACACAAAGGAACGATGCAAGAATTGCACGTCAGCATATCACTGAAGAGCGGACTACTCTCAAAGATGGCAGGACTCGACCTTTTCGTATGAGACCTGAATCGCGACAAATCACTCTTAGAGTAGAGCATCGGTTGCAGCAGGTTTCCTTCGGCTGTACCAAAAAAACAAAAATCATCTGAAACCACGACTGCAATCGGCAAGCCTTTACACGAAATCCGTCCCACCTCGGAACTTGGAGTCCGATCTTGACGTGCATTGTGATGAAAACTGGCGTCTCTCTGTGTCTCCTCTCTCCCACTCCCACAAGCCACAACCGGTTTTACGGAAGCTTTCTTCCAATCACATGTCCATTCTGCAGGAAACCGCTAGGGGTGTAGTTGAGCCTGGATCTCAGCTTGGCAGCACATCGGAGGGCAGCCTCGTTTGGAAGCTAAGTTCATTCAGTTGCCATGTGCGACACCTCCTTTTTGCCCGTGGATTTCGCCGGCCCTTGCTGTCAAATCGGATTCGATTTAGTCTCATTTGTCCCCGATTCGGATCCATCATCCCGTTCGATCCCGTCACCACAACTAAGACGATAGAGGTGACAAGATTCGTTGCCTTGTTGTCTCTCTTACAGCTGCCAAGATACGTCGAACGTGTTCGTCTGTCCAACAAGTCTTTGGAGAAACTTGGTCCTTGCAATCGTTGTCGTCATCGCGGCCGCCGTCGTTGTCGATAGCTGGATTTGTCAGCTCACTCGGAACTCGGTCTTGAACCTGATTGCAACCGTAAATTTTTCGTTTCGAAAATTTCCCGGGCAGACACACAAAGTGGCGGCTGTCGCGAGTTCGAAAAGGGTCGCACCTCCACCCTGTCTGAGAGCAAAGAGCAACACACACAGCGTGGTCATCCACATTCGTCGACAGCATCCACCACCTCCATTCTCTTTCCGTCCGTTCAACCTACTGAGCCTTCTCGAACCGCCTTCCAAATGAATCCCGCCGAGATCGTACGCGCCATCCGCGCCCAGGCAGCTTCAGATCACAGACCCAATGTCGACAACCAAAATGCCGTCGCTGGCCTTATGGCTTACAAGCTCTCCCAGCACCGCGATGAAATCCTTCGATCCATGAGCGCTGGTCCCTCCTCCGCTGCCTCTTCGTCTTCTACATCGCCACCGCCTGGATGCCCCATGCACGCCGGCGGCAGCAGCGCATCGGCGTCGGCAGCGCCGCCCGCTGCGCCAAAGCCTTCCCCACCCAAAATGGTGGCTTCCTCCGGCGGACAGTGCCCCATCCCTCACGAGGATCGTGACAAGTACCTCGCTTCCAAATCTGCCCAGGCCTCCGCCTCTTCCGCAGATTCCATGGCCTCTTCCTCGTCCGCATCCACTTCGTCATCCAAGCCGTGGTCCTCGACGCTCAACCCTCTCAACATGATGCCAAGCCTCGGTCAAGGTCAGGCACCAGAGCAACAGACGGTGCTCTCCACAGAAAGGGTCGTCTCGTCTATCCCTCGCTCTCGCTCATCCGCTGCACCCGGTGCGTCGCCTTACGACAAACCTTCGGCGTGTCCCGTCAAGCATGACGATAGCGTACCTTCAGAAGAACAATCGGAAAAGTGGGAATATCCTTCACCGCAGCAGTTCTACAACGCCCTCGTCCGCAAGGGATGGGAAACGCCAGAAGAGCACGTCGAGACCATGGTTCTTGTCCACAACTTCCTCAACGAACAGGCTTGGCTCGAGGTGCTCGAGTGGGAGAAGCTCGCCGGTGCCGATTCGTCGCGAGCCGAACTCGCTCGCTTCCAGGGCAAACCAGGAACGCTCACCCCCAAAGCCCGCCTGTTCGGCTGGATGGCGAGCATCATGCCCAACACCTTCAGTTCCGAACCTCCCTTTGATCGTCACGACTGGATCGTAAGAAGACCTGATCAGGACGGCAAGGAGGTCCGCTACGTGATCGATTACTACAGCGTGCCCGACGACCCGGAAAAGGACGACCCCGAATTTGTGCTCGACGTTCGACCAGCCTTGGATTCGATGGAAAGCCTCAGCGTCCGACTTCAGAAGGGTTTCCAAGAATGGAAGGAAGGCCAGGGCTTCTTCTCGGCCTTCGCTGCGGAAAATCAGCCCAAGCCAGCGGCGACAGCTTCTGCTTAGATCTTTTCAACCATCGATGTGTTACTATCTCTTGTAATCTAGCTGCATTTTGCATTGTCCTGCACCTCCACTCAAACATCACTTCTTGGTGCGTTTCCAAGTCCCGCATCCTTGCACGATGATCTTTCGCGTGCAATGGCCAAATCATATCGACTCACTCCTGCGTTTCAGCCTGCTCGAGCTTGCCCCGCTGAGAATCCAGGTACAGCCAAGCAGCGTAGTCTGCGACGAGCCCTGAAAACACGATCCAACCAAAAGTGGTGTTGGAGCAGAATTTGCGCCAACAGTCCGGTCGATCGTCGAGCTTCACCGTCCGAATTTGCCATGCCAGGTGGCTAGCAGCGCCAGCAAGAGCGACGCCGAAGAACGGGTGGTGGTGCGCCAACGTGTCGAGCATCGGAGAACCAGCGCTGACAGTGTCGAGCATCGAGGGCGAAAAGACGAGATCGCCGACACAAGAGCTTTGTGCTGGTTTTAAAATGTCGGCTGCTGACTGTGCGGCGCTGAGAGTAGGAGGAACCGCCAAGGACGCGCTGTAACCGAACAGCCCGATCGTGCCTGCCGAGAAGGCCGATAGCATTGGCTTGGTCTTGTCTCCGAACAACAAAGCGGTCGACTTGACCCCGGCATGCACATCGTCGGTCTTGTCCTGGTGTGCATAGATGGTGTCGTAGACCAGCGTCCACAGGATGGAGCCTGTGTAGAGAGGCAGCACCACGGCCCAGTCAACCGCGCCTGCCACCGCAGACCATCCGAGCATGGCACCCCAATTGAACGCAAACCCCAGCACCAGCTGCGGCCAGTACGTCACGCGCTTCATCAGGGGATACAAGACGACGACGCCAAGGGAGCTTGCACCCAGCAGAATGCTGTACAAGTTCAAGTTGACAAGCACGGCAAGGCCAGCACTGAGCTGTACGCCCAGAAAGCACAACGCCTGGAATTGCGTGATGTCGCCCGCGGCGAGCGGGCGGCTCTTGGTGCGTTCGACCATGCGATCCATCTTGACGTCCCACATGTCGTTGATCGTGCATCCAGCGCCGCGCATGACGACAGCACCAACACCGAACAGCAACGTGTAGAACAGCGGCGTCGTGTACGACAGACCCAGAGTGTGAGAGGCCAGCACGATGGACCACGCGCAGGGCCAGTAGAGCAGCCATGTGCCGATGGGCTTGTCGATGCGACTGAGAGCGAGGTACGGCTGAACGCTGAAAGTTTTCCCCGAACCGGCTTCCTTCGTGGGTAGTGTGTTGGTACGACTGCTGCTGCTGTAGTGTCTTGCAGAACCTGGCAAGGAATTATGCACGGTCCGCTTTCGCGCGGAAGTCGAGTAATGACGACGAGCCTCGCTTCCGTTGGCCTTTTTCTTGCGGACCTTGAGTTTGGAACGGTCATCCTGAACGTTGTCCGGCTGTCCATCTCCATCCTTGTCTTCAGCCTCGTGGGAAGGCGTCGCTGTGCGACCGTCCTCGTTCTCGTCTGCCTCGGCTCCCTCGTCTTCGTGAACATCGCCCCTCTTGGAGCGATAGCTGGCCTCTTCCTGCTTGCGAATGATCTTGAGTGCCTTTTTGTTCTGCTTGCCAGCCTTTGTCTCGCCTTGGTCCCATTCGAGATCGTAATCCTCGGCGACTTTTTTGATTGTCTTGCGCAGATCTTTGACCTCTTGGATGAGTTCCTGGTACCGCTCGATGTTGAAGCCTTTTTCAATGTAGAGCTTCTGTTGTCGCCGCGAGGTGGTCTCGTTGAGTACGGCCCGGTAGGAGACCTCACGGTTGTGGATGAGGAACCAGATATAACCACCCAAAATGGTGCCGAGACCGGTGAGGTAGGTGACGGGCTCCATCACGTCCCAGCCAAGCTCGGTGCAGAAGGTGAGGAAAGCGACAGATCCCCACCAAGCGCTGAGGATGAGCACACCGGCAAAGGAGAGACGCTTGGTGCCCGAATGGGCGATGCGATCACATTCGGCCTTGAGATGGACGAGCTTTTCGATCTGCTCCGTCTTGGCGTACAGACTAGCACGAAGGAAGCGCGTGCGGTCCTCGAAAGAGGGGACGGTCACGTAGACATTGCGTTCGCCGATTCGAATGACGAAGGAGCCAATCCGTGCGGCATCGCGCAAGAAGTCTCCGATGCCCGTTGCGGGTGACCAACGCTTGCCGTCCGCAGCGCGAGTATGGAAGGAGATCGGCGGATCGCCGAGCGGATCGACAAAACCCTGACGAAGCAGCATTTCGCGCATTTCGAGCTGCTCCGGGCTGAGATTCACGCGCTTGTCCTTTCGCTCGGGGGACGAGCGCGGTGCAGCAGGCACGCTCACCTTTTCTCCTTTCCCGTCATCTCCGTCTGGGGACTGTGCACGCGACGCTTTTTCCTTGTCATCCTTCATTTGATGCTGGCTTGGCTCTGGACTCGGACCTTCTGCACGGATCAAGTTGGCAATGTAGCTGAGCGGCTGGGCGCTGTGCAGCAGGAAGACGACGCTGTGCGCTGGAGCGTCGGCGTCGTACTCATCCGCCTCGACATCGGACGGCTCGCCATTTTCGGGACCATGCAGATTCGAATGCGGGCGATGATTCACCTGCGAGACAGGCGGACCAGAGGTTTCTGCTGCCTGTTCCCACGGCTCTTTGGAGATGCTTTCGCGCTCGGCATCTGTTACTTTGGCGTCCGATGACTCCTCTTGGCGCTTCGCCCTCGCGCTAGCCGACGAGAGGATGGAAGAGGGAGAATTGGGATCTGAGCTTGGAGGTTGCAGAGGCAGAGTGAGCTTGAACAGACTCGATTTGGTGAAGGCAAGGTAGCCTTGATCCCGTTCCCTGCCCAGCTTGGTATCAGAATGGTGGTTGCTGTTTTCGTTTGCTGGTGGTGCTGAGCTTGGATAGGTCGTCTTAACCCCCGATGGGGATGTGGCGTGGCGCCGCACGCTAGGTAGCGAGGAGTCGAGACCATTCACGAGCGATGATTCTGTTCTGCGTACCGTACGACCGTTGGCCGAGGACGACAATTTCCGCGGTAATGGTATTCGAGAAGGGCCGGCGCACTGTCCGGCGCTCTCGCAGCAGACCAATCGATTGAGCGAGCTCCATCCCGGTCGGATCGAGCGAAGCATGATGCTCGTCGGGTTCAGAGCCTTCGGATGGAACGGCGACCCTCCACCGTATATGGTGGTCAGAGTGATAGAGGCAAAGGAGCCTGTTCGATATCGGTATAGTGTGTGAAGCGTCTCGTGGCGCTCTATCTGCGAGGTCAGCTCGGTCGTCATCACTGCATGAAACACACAAACACACCGACCCGGAGTTTCACGCTCCGCGGCTTGGCCTCTGCATATGACGGTCTAACAGCTGTCACGGAACGAGACGCAGGGTCCACTCGGCTATCCCGAATTCGGTGTCATCTCGGAAGCAGGCGGCAAGCGTCAATCCTACGAAACGCTGAATCATCCTCTCCTCGTTGGCCACATCACAGCTGTGGCTGATTCATCGAGGTCAGGTGCATGGCGAGTCAGTCCACACCTTCAGCTGTGACACCGTGCGCCTTCCTGTCTTCGTCTGCGTGGGATGCGAGGCAGAGTGTTACATGGGCCCGTGCAAGGACAGCCATCCGACGACAGACTTTCGAGATCTCTGTGTATTGTGCTGCGACAATCGCTCATGATGCAGACACAGCTGTAGAGAGGCCCTGTGACGAGCAAGCATCGAGCCATCGTCATGTCCAGCCCGGACGACCTCGATCCTGGAGTCGTCACTATGCCTGTTGACTCGACTGCGAAACTTCTTGCTGGCGAAGCTGGCCAGGATATAAAGTCGGCATCTTCTACAGTGTATACAGTCTGTCGCCACACCATTGCTCTCCTTCCGCACTTTGACCCTTCCACACCGCCAACGCTCACCAACGCTCTTTCGATCAAATCAACAAATCATGTCAGGCCAAGGCGGTACTCAGTCTCCCCCTCTCCAGGGACGCGAGAACGATCCCATGGGTCAGGTAAGCACCGAACACCTCCTCGTCGGTTACAGTGCACAGCAGATAAATCAACTGCAGATTCACTGACTGTCTTCCTCGTATTCCTTCTTCGTCGCCTTCAGTCCGCTCCGGGAAAAGATTCGCACGCCGTTCCAGATGACCAGCAGCGAGGGGGTGTCTTCGGAGACGGAGAGAACAAGGGCGCCGAGAGCGGCCAAGCCGGCGACTCCAACAGCGGTGCTGGCAACCTCAAGAACGTAAGTATCATGGCCCAGTTGTTCATTGCCTTCCGTTCCGAATCCGATCAGTCCAAACGAGATCGTCTAGCTGACCTATCTGCTTCTTTCTCGAAAATTTCCCAAAACAGGCGGTGGACAATGCAAAGCACGCCGCAAGCCAACACGGCAAGTGAGGACGGGACTGCGACGTTTGAATTCGCCCCCGCCTACGAGGCAGCAAAGCGTTCTCAAGCACAAAACAGCTGGCTTGAATTCATGCTGTGATTCCGTCATTCGATATTAGCAATTGCATTCATCTCTTATGACGAAGGCTCGACTGTTGCATGTGACTGGCCGTCGTATCCGTGCGGCTCAGCGCATGCGTCTCCGTGACGGCGTAGCGGGAGGAAGCTGCTGCCAGGTTGGATAAGGGTATGATGAGCCTATCGCGTAGTCCGGAGGCTGATGCGGATGGTAGTAAGCAGGTACGCCGCTCGCATGTACGTTGTGTTGCGGCGGACCAATGGCATGGGTGGGCGGCGGCGCTGAGGTGTGTCCAGTGTGTGAATGCTGCGCTTTTGCCGAGGAATGCTCCGAGTCGTGACCACGAGATCGAGACTTGATGCGGAAGAAGGACAGAAACGAGTTGGTAGCGCCAACAACGATGGAAAAGCAGACGAGCGTGAAGAACATGGTTTTCCAGCTGACCGAATCCACAAAGCCGTTGAGAATCTCGGCGAACGTTTCGGCAGTGACGCGGGCCGTGCCTACGACAGCCGGATCTCGAGCCGAACAGCGCTCCCAATTCTTGCACGCGTTGGCCAGAGCGGGCGCTTGAAGCTCGGTGCCACAGCGATTCGCCGTGTATGCTGCGGCACACGCGGTGATCTCGGACAAGGTGTCCATCTCGTACGATCGTACCTTTTCTGCGACGTCCTTTTGCACCATGCGGACGAAGTTGTAGAGAAGATAGAGAAAGGCCCAGAGGATGGTGGCATTGAAGATGAATTGGGCATAGCCCAAGAGGAGCTCCGGTTTGTCCATGAAATTTGTGGCCGAGCCCGAGGACCCTTGGTGCTGATGCGGCAACGGCGACACCGCATTGGGAAGGATGTAGTTGACGGCGTACTTGGTGATGGACCGGATACGACCTGGTGTGCTCTTTCGCCGACTTGCTGCATCCTCCTCATCCTCATCTTCGTCATCGTCCTTTTCGTCCTCGGTCCCATAGCTCGATCCGTCGTCACCGTCGTTGTCGCCGACATCGTGTTGAGTCCCGTGGCCGTACAGCAAGCTTCTGGAAGCCGGCACAAGGTCGCGGCTTTGCAGATGTGCCAAGCGCTTCCCTTTTCTGCTGAGAACACTGCGCTTTCTACGCACGTGCTGCGATGGCGTTATCTTGGATGTGCTGCTTTGAGCGATGCTGTCAACGTTGGCCATCGATTCGTCGGCCAGCTCCTCGTCTTGGACGACTGCAGCCGGTCGTTGGTTGGCCACCTTGTGCGACGGTGGCGTGAGGCTTGACATCTCGACGTCGGTCATATCGGTATCCATGGCAAGATGAGATGTCGAGACTTGGGGAGCGTTACCTCTTGTGCTGTCGCTATCGAATATGCTAGCTGCTCTCGATCAACAGAAAGGCATTGCGATCCTTCAGTAACAGCGTCGGCCTTTTCCTGTCTACCTGCCGGATCTAGGCTGCTACTTACCTTGAGGCGGACCCGGAGGCGAGGTGTCCATCGGAGCCTCTCTACCGCGTTGCCAAAGCATCATGAGAAGTCAAGCGAGAATGCTGCTCGTCGATTACGATTGATGGTGTCTCGGTGCATTGCAGAGAGAGACGAGAGAGCAACAGAAGGCAACTTTTTTGTGTCTCTCGCCATCAGAAGGTCGCGTGTGTTGAGTGTTGGTCTCGTTGAAAGATGTAACAGTCTAGAAAAATTGCTCCACGAGCTGAGGGTGGACCCTTGATCGCTTGTCCCGCCCTTCCTCACTGCGAAGAGATCACCACGACCAACACCAAGTACCATCGGCTCATCCAGCTCGCACGTAGAGCCGCAATAGCTGCGTTTACAAATCTGCTCGAGCGACACTGCGCTTTCGCGTGTCGCTTTTGCTATCCGTCGAAGGCTTGATACCAAGAGCAGCGATGACCGCATTGAAGCAGTGAAGACACTTGCGATCTTCTCCCAGATACAACCAAACACGACTGGCCGTTAGGCTCGTTGCCACCGTCACGATGTCGCTCAAGCCGCTCACGCCACCGCTGCGCTTTTCGACAGTCGCCTTCGCGTGCACGGATCAGCCGCAGCCTTCTTGGCAGGCCGAAATCGCTGCAGACGATGCAGATCCTCGATCGCATCCGCATCACCGCGAGTCGGTGTATCGTGGAGCTTATCCAAAAGCCAGAAACCTATCTTTTCTCTCGCGACTACATCTACGAACCGTACTCAGCTTGACGCCAAGGCCACTTGACAGCGATATTGGTCTCTCGGAGTGGTCGACATCCGCCAAAGGGCCGTCATCACCATCATCTTTTCCGACTCCGAGCGTAGCTGGCAAGGCATCCAGACTTGGCGTTCAGCTGCTTCATGTACGCTGCGAGAAGCCCAAGGACGAGAGCGGAGGCCTGACTCGCGAAGGTGCTGCTCGAGCTCTGTCGGTGCTGCTGGACAGACGCAACCATCCCATCTATGTTCACTGTTTGGATGGCGTGGAAGTCACCAGCACACTTGTTGCGTGCATGCGCAAAGTGCAGGCGTGGTCCAATCCTGCTATCCTTGCCGAGCTCGGGCGAGCCCTGCGTGACTCGAACTCTTCCGAGTGGACAGAAGTGCCTTCACATCTGTCTTCCTTCCTCAGCAAGTTCGGCCAGCCGGACGGCATACGATTGCCGCCGCGAAATCACATCCCGTCCTGGCTATGGCCACCGCCGAATCCGCTTTCAATCCTGGCGGATCCGTACGCATGGGCAGGTTCATCTCACTCCCATCATCTCACGAATGGCCATGTTCAGCAGATCGCAGCACCTTCGACAAGCGCGCCAAGTACCGACGCTTCCCTTTCAAGGAGCCCTTCTCACACATCAGCGCTCAACGGCTCATCCGATACGAATGGCGGCGCAACATCGCGAACATCTCCAAACCCACCAATGCATTCGCACGTGCGTCGCGATCGCCAGCTGCCCATTTATCATCCCTCCCTGAAGCTTCATTTCGACGTAGACCCTGACCTGCCACCTGAGCCCATTGTCCCGCTTACTGCCGCTTTAGCAGCTTCCGCGACAATAGGATCCTTGCAAAGACCAATGACACCATCTCGTTCCCTGAACATGCATTCGCGCACCTCGTCTCACAACAGCAACGCAAGCCTGCGCACCCCGCCTCACTCGCGCCCCGCAAGTCGCTCAGGGAGACCCCCTGCTAGTGGTCCGCACGCAACGACAAGTAGGTCTGCATCTCTAGCACCAGATAACGACAGAACAGGCACTTTCAGTCTGCCCCGCAGCACAGCAAGCACTGCACGGGGTGCCCATTCATCGGTGATCAGTCCGAGCCCGGTGTCAGAAGCTCTGCATGCCGCCGCCATTGACGTCTCCTCGGTGGCGGCGTTTCTCGAAAGTCAAGTGTCAGACCCAGATACGAATGCCTCCGGTCTCGCTCACCAGTCCACCCAATCGCCCACTCGACGTCCACGGTCCAACCTCGTGCCCGAAACCCGTCTCAAGGTACCACGTGCGAATGGTTCGCTTTTTCAAGGCTCAAGTCCAGACGAGCATGCGTCTACCAACACCACGATCCCGGATGTCGACGCCGACGAGATCGACGTAAGCACGCCTCGAGCCAGACCCACCACGTCCAGCAACTACAACATCGGCATCACAGGTACCATTTTCCACCATGATGATGATATCACGGACAACGAGGCAGATCACTCGGGACCAAGTCGAGCGCAAGCTGTTGGGTTACGTAGCACGGATGCAGCGAGGATTGTAGTCCCGCTGGAACAGCGCCGCAGGCCAACGGCGCTGGACGAGGCTGATGGCGAGCAGACTCCGACCAAAGCGAATGCTTCAGCGCACAGGCAGCCTCTGCAAAGCGCTGGCCCCCGCCTTTCGACCGACCTGGCAACCAGCACCGTGAAGCAAAGTCAATCAGCGTCACTCGACCAGCATTCAAGGGCGACTCTGCGACACGACGAACCGCTACCGGACAATGTGTTCAGCAACCGCAGCTCTATAGAAGAGCACACGGACGATCGACATTCGGAAGATATGGTCCAGTCACCAACCGCCTACGAACTCGATGAGGATGTCTCCGCTCCGTCCTCGAGAAGATTCACGAACTCCTACAACTCTGAAGACGGTCAAACGTATGGAGAGGAGGCAGTCCCTTCAGCGGAACCGGAAGAGTCAGCCAACACAGCTTTGAACGTAGAAGAGGAAGAAGAGGACGGCGTCGAGGAAGAGGAAGAAGAGGAAGAGGCCGAAGAGGACGAAGAGGACGAAGAGGACGAAGAGGACGAAGAGGACGAAGAGGACGAAGAGGACGAGGACGAGGAAGAAGAGGAAGAAGAGGAGGACGAAGATGATGATGACGAGGACGACCTCGCGTTGGAGGCTCTTGATCTGGAAGGCTATTGACTGTTCACTCGCACTGCATAGCGGAAACGCTTTCAAAGGATCAAGCTGATCCAAGACATTGTATTTTCTTGGCAAGCAAGCTTTCGCAACATAGGAGGATGACTTTTACAGCGTAGTATCGTCATCCGTAGTGCTTGCGCTCGTATTGGCAGCGGTCGAGGGCCCATCGACACCTGCCGCTGCCGCTGCCGCATCCTTGCCCTTCTTACCGCCGAGTATCAACTTCTTCGGTTTGGCTTCTGGCCCGCTGCTCCCGCTCGGAGTCATCGGAATCCCTCCAGGCCCGCCACCGCCAAACATGGCCTTCCACGTTGCATGGTCTCTCTTCTGCCTGACCCTTTCGGCCTCCAAAACGCCGCCGGTTTTGCGAAGCACTCTCTTGTCCACGAACCCTGCCAGCTCTTCACTGAACTCGTCGTTGCTCTTGGAAGCCAACATGTCCTTCTGTCTTTGCCGTTCGACAGCCTGTAGAGCTCGTAGACGCTTCTCATGATTGACGGCCTGCGACTTGACTTCCATCATAACGGTGGACAGACCTTCGTGGCCCTCCTCCGGTAGCGGAGGGATGTACTTGCCTCCCTTGCCGGATCCACCACGAAGCTTGACCACCTGCTGGATGTTGCTGAACACCTCCTTGAGCGCGCCGAGATCGTCGCGCAGATCCGAAAGGAGACCTTCCTCGTGGTTGAGAAACTCTTGCTCGTCGACGATGTTCTGCAACTCGGACTCCCACGTCTTCTTCCAACTTGGTTTGACCGTCTGCACGTACCCTTCGAGCTCCAACAGGCCGCTGGTGGCACGATCGACGTCCTCGACGATCTGCTTGACCAGAGCGGGTTTCGGTTTGACTCCGCGTTGAATGACATCGACCCGTAGATCGTCAACAGTATCCTGCAGGTCCTCGATGAGCGTGAGGAGGTCTTGAGACTGGGTATCGAGGCGAGCTTTGCCTGCGACGATGAAATTGCGCTCGGCTGCCACTTTGGTCGAGGCGATGGCTCGCACCGCACCAGATTGCTCGCGGACGGTGGCGAGGATAGACTTGACGTCGCCCTCGAAATCGGTCTGCAATTGACGGGTGACAGCAAACTCGCGGCGAAGGTTCTGCAGTTCCTCGAATTGCGCCTTGAGCTCGTGCGCTATGCGTGAGCCTGCCAATGCGGACGAGGGTGGACCTGCAGCACTGCTTTTGCTGGAGTCGGGAGTCGTAGGCGGGTCTTCGAAATTGTTCGTCCCGGACGCTCGCGTATTGGCACGCTTGAGTTGCGCCACACGCTGGCCAGCCGCTTGAAATTGCGAATCGCTGATCTTGGTGGGTGTTGCATGCGTCGTCAAGAAGGCGTCGTTGTTGACCAGAGACATGCGACGCGCATCGCGGTCACGCTCCGCCAGAGCAGCCTTGAGCTCGCGAATGTCGCGTGAAATGGCGCCGAGCGACAGGTCGAGGTGCTGTTTGACCTGGTCCAGGGGCTCGATGTTGAGCGTGAGCACGCTCCCTTCCTGAATGTCGTCAAGATCCTCAAGCTCGTACGTTATACCGCTGGCGGGGTCTTTGAGATAGATGGTCGGGAAGTCGTCCATACCAGGCGAGTACGCGAAGCGATCGATGAAGAGCATGCGCAATTTTGCGACGCTGATCCCACGTGTCAGAGGATTGGAGGTGTCAAGCTCAATGACAGCTTTACGAGTTTGACGACCGAGCTGCAGAAAGACACTGATCGTCTCTGATGCTATGGTGCTGGACCGGGCGCGCGGAGTTGCCGAAATTGCGGTGCTGGTGGCCGCAGCCGTCGTAGCAGCGCTCTGGCCATCCTTGGATTCGATTGCATGGCCCGAGTCCGACACAGCCGCATGAGCATCCACAAAGGGAAGTGAATCCGTGGAGCTCGCAGCTTGCGAAGTGACCCGGTGAGCGGTCCGGGCGGCAGGAGCAAGTAGGTCCCTCGACTGTGTCGGCGAAGACTCGTGTGCCTCAGCAGATGTCGACTTTCCTGGATTTGTGCCGATAGAATCTTCGGGCGGCGGCGTATTGGCGTCTGGGCCGAAAGAGGCAGAGGTGGGAGTCTTGACTTCCTGAATCGACTCGAATTTGCTGTCGACGGTAGCAGCGCTTCTGGATCGAGGCAGCGCACGTGCGCCACTGATGCTGTTGCTGCTGCTTGACGATCCAAAGTAGTCGGTGGTTTTGGCGAACGTAGAGGGACTTGTGGCGCCTTCCAGTGCGGGACTCGCCTCTGGAAGAGGAGGTCGGACGGTCCGGCGTGCTCCACTGCCTCGTCGCTCGGTTGGTTTGCGTTCTGCGAGCGGACTACCGGCACCGCCGCTGCCTGGAGGGAACATGTTGATGCCCATACCCTGTGTGTAGTTCTGTCCGATGCCCATTTTGTTGAAGGTGTAGGCGCTGAAGCGTTTACTGGCACGACGTTCCAGAGCATCTCGGTTCTTGAGCGCCCTCATGCTCGGGTCATGTTCGGTAAAGTCGGCAGCAGTATCGACGGAGGACTTGGGAGTGTGTCGTGGTGATCGTGTGCTCAATCGTTGCGGTGTCAGGCTGGTGAGCGGGCCAGGCTGGTCGTCGGAGCCTTCATCATCGCGCAAAGCTTCTCCGCCAGCAGCCGACGTCACAACAGCGTCGTTGGCTAGCGCGCGGCTTTCGACGCTCGACATTCGCGGCGTTGCCTGACCTGACTCGGAATCCGGGGCATCGGAGGACGAGAAGGCTGCTTGAGGCAGTGCAGGTGAGGGCTGTTCATCTGAGCCTTTGCCTGCTGATCGATCGCTTGCCATGCGCAAGATACGACTCGGCGGACGCACAATGCCAGCTCGACCGGATGCAGGATTTGCGGGAGCAGTCGTGGACGAGTCGGCATCTCCGCCAGATGGTTGCGTCGATGCGCGATCGAAAGGTGACGCCGCACCCACCGAGCTGGCACGCTGCAGAGAATCTGGGTGTGTTGAGAACGTGCTTGACGAATCTATCTCGGGTTGGGCTTCGGCAGAGGCAGTTGCAGCAGTCTCGCTGAACCCTTGCCGCGAGGCGCGTGGCCCCAGGACACGATTCGATGTCGTCTTCTGCTGCTGCTGCTGTCGTACTGATGGAGGAGTTGATGATGATGGAGTCCCGAGAAGTACGCTGGACCTCTTTGCCCCTTTTGCTGCACGTTGCTGGACGAGGAACTGCTTGTACTCGGCCTGCTTCATCTTGAGACCCTGTAGGAGATTGATGATGATCTCGCGGATACGGGGCAGATGGATTTCGAGCACAGCCGGAGAAGCTTCCTCCGACAAGCAGCGCTCAAGGCAGTCGCGCAGATCATCGGGCACCGAATTGAGATCGCTCATGTCGATGCCGTACGATCCAAAGGCGAGCTTGGCCGAGTTGAAGTCGTTGCCAAGGCGCACATAGATGTCGGAAACGTCCTCTTCGCTACGCTGCCCGACGGACCATTTGGTGAGCGATTCGAGCAACATCTTTGTCGCGACAAGCAAACGTGTCACCGAGGACTCCATGTGGCTAGACGAGAATTTCGCGGCTGCAGGATCCTGCGCGTTGGCGGAAGGAGTCGATGGCGCTGGACTAGGGGCATTCAAAGACGATTGGCTGGGCTGGCGCTCCCGTCGTTCTCGATCTCGCTCCACCTGCCTCTGCCTCTCGCGGGCGCGCATCTCCTCGGGTAGCTGCGCAGGCGAGCGCGCAGGTTGACTCGAGCCACCTGGACTGTTCCATCCTGGCGCAGCACTCGAGCCTGCGCTGTCCTGGTGTGACATGTAGGAGCCGTGACCGCTGGAATCGTATGATGGTGATGTGGGACCTTCTTGCGCATAGACATGTTGAGGATGGCGAATGCGTTCTGCCGTGACAGGGTGGTTCGAACCGGAGCCTGAGCCCGACATTCGATGGTTGCTGCGGTCGCCCGACCCTTTGCGGCCGTTTATGAGGTTGGAAAACATGACGGAGAATGGTCTCAGCCGAACCAGGCGTGTGACACGATGATAGTGCCACGTTGGTTGCTGTCGTCACCAGATCGTCAGCGCGTCCGGGTGTGCGCGACGGCAGCAAGACCTAGCGAGGCAATGCTGTGGTGGACGAGGCGTTGGCGGCGGCTGTGGGGATGTACGAGGACGGTGGTGATCTCACAAAGAGCTCATACTTGATACTCGCGAACTGACATCGGCTAGCTGGACTTGGGCATCGTGCCTTGAGCCGCCGTGGTCCAAGCGTGTTGGTCTCGGCAAGACGATTGAGTTCCCGATCTGCCCGATAAGACTTTGTGAGACGTAGTTACACTGCAATTTTTTGGTCGGATTTTACAGAGAAATTGATATGGAATATGCGGGATGATGATTTTTGAGCCGTCGGTGTTATTCGCGGTGGAGTTTCTTCTCAAAATTTTGGCAGTGATCTGTTCGTCCGCTTCTTCCTTCCTCCTCCATCAACTTGCTCTTCTACACCAGGTCACCACACAACACCTTGCTTGGTCACAGATCATGTCATCAGCGACAGTGAAACCGCCGCCAGAGCTAGAGGTGCTCACCTTTCTCTCGGATCCCAACGCTCAGGTTCGACAGGTTGCGCTCAACAACATCGTAGGCTTCAGCGCAAAGGATAGCCCGCACCGCTCTCTGCTCATCTCAAAGCACAAGAATCGTGATGGCTCACCGCTTCTCGGCCGCGACGGTAAAGAGGTAGACACCGTCGAAGATCTCAAGAGGCTCTGTCAAGATCAGCCCATCACCGCCCACGATGCTTTCAGCGCACTGATCAACATCTCCGACAGCCTCGTCTTGGCACGCAAGATTGGCGACAAAGACTTCCTCGAATTCCTCGTCCGATACATCGCCGACCCGGTCTCTTTGCTCGCCGACCTCGCATGCATGCTTCTGTCCAACCTTACAAAACTGGAATCTATCTGCGCAATCCTGCTCGACCTGCAGGTCCAGGCTCGTCCTTTCTACAGCTTCATGGCATCAGAAGAGATGGAAGGCGCCCTCAACGGCATGGACGTGGAGCCCAATGATCCAGAGTTCGCTGCCAAGAAGGCAAAAGCGGAAGCTTACGCAAAGAAGGTGGCAGAGCAGGCGAAAAAGATGGACGAAAAGGTCCCCGCCATGGCTAGGCTCTTGGATGCTTTCGAGGAGGGCGCCACCGCTGCTTCGCAAGGGAGCGATCTCGAATCCATGAAGCAGCGGGCCAAGGACGCCGCCACCAAAGCCGAGGCAGACGAGCGTCAAGAAGCCGAAAGAGTCGAACGAGGACCAGACGGAAGGCCAAGGATCAAGCGCAAGACCAACTGCAACTTCTTGGCGAGCGTCTTCGCCAACGTCACCGTCCTGCCACGAGGCAGGGATTGGTTCGTCACACCATTGTCTGCGTCTTCGGCTGCCGCGTCAGTCATAGCTCAGGCGGCGCTGGCTCGAGGTGCCGCCGACCAAGGTGTTGCGCCGGCTGCCACAGAATATCCTGTTGCCCGCATCATGGCTTTCACCGAGCATCCCAACTTGATTCGTAGGGGAGGCGTCATCAGCACGCTAAAAAACGTCCTCTTTGTCAAGTCGGCTCACAAGCTCCTTGTGGCACCACCTCCCGTGCGCGACGGTGAAGATGAAATGCTCGCCGGTGCACTTCGTGCCACGACCCGACCACCGTCTTCCGTCGATATCCTGCCGTACCTCTTGCTTCCGCTTTGCGACGGCAAAAAACTCGCCGAGGTCGATCTCGAAGACCAGGAAGAGCTTCCCGAGGAATGCCAAATGCTGCCAGAGGACAAGAAGCGCGAGAAGGACCCCGCGCTGCGACACATGCTTATCGAATCTCTCCTCCTTCTTTGCACCAATATCTATGGCCGACAGTGCTTGCGCGCAAGAGGGGCCTATGTGGTTGTGAGATCAGCGCACCTCGTCGAGGCGGACGAGAAGATTGCCGAGTCAGTGCTCAGATTGGTCAACATTCTCAAGAGGGACGAGTCGGCTGCAACAGCTCAGGACCTGCAAGACGATGCCGAGGCAACTCAGCAGGACGTCGGCGCCGAGGCACAAGAGGATGACGACTCCGATGATGAAGACCTGCAAATCGAAGAGCTCTGATTTTGTATCAGCCAATATTGTCTCGATCGTCCCGACCGGAGCCTTGCATCGGCTGTTCTCTTCCTACAATTGTACTTCTATTCATCAACAGCAGCATGCATAATTCATCACATCATCAGTGCCTCACGAGCGCCGTACCCAAGCAAATGCTGCGCAAGACCGCCCACATCGCTCACCGGCACCCATGCAGAGGTTGCTCAGATACGGACCGTGAGCTCCTGACTGCTGGTGTATCATGAACTGGACGGAGCCAACAGAGTTTGCCAGGCTCATGTCCGCGTCGTCAGCGCTCAAGATGAGGCGAGGCAAAAGAACCTCAGAACGGTCATCTCGGTCATCGGATTCGCCATCAGATCATGAACGCTTAAGCCAGTCCAAGCACACAGGTACAGCTTCGTAATCACTCCGAGGCGTCGTGACTTGTCAACTCGTCACATCGTTGTGTTTTAGCGCCGAGCTTCTTTGAATTATTCAAATAGTATACGCGTTACGCTGAATACTGTCAAAGCTCGACCTCATCGCACTCAGCACGGAGCTCCCCGTCAACCATGTTTACCTTTATTGACCTCGTTCAATCTGGCATGGTCTATACCAGCACTCGATTTCGTCACTTCGAAGCCTCTTCGCTCTCCTCTTCATAACACGCTATCCCCTTTTGCCGTCTCACGAAGTCCAACGAAAGCATGGCCTGCCAAGCGCACGAGATCGTCAGCAGGGACGAACCTTGTTTCGAGCGGCCTGTCTCGAGCGTCCTCGGAAGAATCGGGACGCTCTTGTCGGCCTCGTCTCGGTAGCGATTAAGCTGAATGCGTCATCGATGCAATGCCGGTCTTCATCTTCGTGCATGAAAATCTCAGCACATCAAAGGGCATGAGATTGTTCGCCAGGCTCAGACTGTCGTGGCGGCACCCTGATGGGGACACCATAATCATCACCGCGCTCAAACTCTATTTCCGCTCATGCACGATCACTGGGGTTGCATCCCTTGCAGCAGCAAGACACAATGGGCATGCATGAACTGAAAAGTTCCAAGACAAGGGTACATATACAAGACTTCATTGCGTTTGGCTTTCAACCTTGCGCAGGACTATGTAGGCTCACGTTCGGCGATCTTGAAGTACTATTCGGCCTTGTTGCCATCTGTACGGCTTGCTACGATGGAAGATTCGTCCCCACCAATCCTGATGCAGCGAAGAACACAGAAGATGAGATTGCCCTGATCATTCCGCAGCGTCTGCGCTCGTTTTGCTCGCTGTTTTGCATGCCCAATCATTTCTCATTCATTGATAAAGGACTTCCAAACGCGGTCAGGACTACTCCTTGTTCAGGTCCACAACGGCTCTGCAATTCGCCCTCTTCGTCCAGCACATGCCATGCCACAATGCTGCCTCGCACACCCTCGACGGACAGTGAGGCCTCCTCGTCCTCTTCCCTACCGATTGCTTCGCTGCCGCCTCAACAGTTCACCCCGATCGTGGCGACTTCTGCCTCGGAAGCCTCCGTCCGTAAGCGCGTAGTGCGAGCTTGCGAGGTATGCCGTCGCAAGAAGGTCAAATGTAACGGTCAGAGACCCTGCAGTCAGTGCATTGCCTTTGCGGAAGAGTGCAACTATGTCGACGTCCGAGATCGCTCGGCGTACAGCAGAAGGTATGTCGAATCGTTGGAGGCGAGAATGGTCGCGCTCGAAAGGCGCGTTGATATCCTGTCGGAAAGAGGAACTTGCGATGGCATTTGTCGATCCACATGGCGCCTCGATGCACATAGGCGAGCGAGCGATCCTGGATTCGCCACTGGGTATCGCCAGCAGGCACGCGTGGGAAGCGAAGCGTCGACGACTTTTATCGCACATCTTCTCCCGCAGCAAAGTACGCAAACGCAACTCAGCCTGGGCCGTTGTATCGATCTATCACTGTTATCAGCGGCACGTTTGATTGCGGAAGCAAATGCAGCAATGTGCAAGCCGAGCAACCCGACTACCTCCGGCATGGATGTGTGGCAACAGCACTCGACATCAGCGGTGCTTGCACCCCGTCTTGCGGTCAAACACGAGCTTGACTCGCCTACAGTGCCTCCTCAAATGCCCTCAGACGACGAATTTCAGGCCTTGCTACACTCTTACACCGAGGGGATCTTCCGCTTTATCGCCATCGTGCAACCAGCAGAAGTACAAGCAATCTGGAGCAAGGTGACATCGTCTCCACCTGCAATCACCGCCTACGCTGTCTCGGAAATAGCTTTGCTCTTCGCAGTGATGGCCTGTGGCGTGAAGACTATCATGAACGACAGTCTACCACAGGCGAGCTCAAGCAATGTCACCAGATCGTCAAGGTACAAAATGCGAATCTCTCCGAACAACTTTGAAAGCCAGGCAAGCATGTGGACGCGGGCGATGGACGGCGCAGATCGATTCGAGAACGAAGAAGCCTCGAGGCAATCGCAAGTCTACGCGCTGTTGTCTTTCTGCAATGCCGGCCGAGGAGATCTGATATTAGCCTTCAACAACATTGTCCAGGCTCGAAGCCTTCTGAGTCGATCCACTGTCGGGTCCTCGAATCAACGGATGCAGCAATCACGACTCGGCGCATCGATAGAGATTCTCGACCACGTCATTCGTTCTGGGCTGGGTTCATCAGGGACACAGCTGCAGCATCCTCAGGACCGCCAATTTGATGTGCCGACTCCACCTTCACGCACCGACGTGTTCTGCCTCACGACCGCCTTGCAGCGTCTCGCTGCACTTTGCAGTCCATCAGGCCCAGTCGGACGAACCCTCTGCGACCTGCTCGACCCACAGACTCTTCACGTGCCGATCGATCAGCTCAGAGTGCGCGCTCAGGACCAATATCGATGCTTGTTAGACTGGTACAATAGCCTGCCGCTCGCCCTTCGTGCCGTTCCTAACGAGGCGACTGAACCGACGTCAGCAATTGCAGCCTGTATCGCCTCTGTCTCGCTTCAATTCGAACGTTTGCGGCTGCATATCGCGACCAATCTCTTATCTCGGCGCAACGGAGTCAACGCGATGGACGAAGCAGAGCGCCTCGACTTGGACGGCTGCCTGAATCTTGCAGGTGGCATCATTCGTGCATTCCCCACGATCAGCAAGTATCTTTTCCCTAGCCCGTGGCTGACTCTGTACGCCGAGAGCATCGGGATCTCGGCAGCCTTTATCGTCCTGACGGCTGCCCGCGTTCCTCATTGCAACGTGTTCGGTCTACTCTCCGATGTCGATTCAGCAGTTTCTGCACTGGCACAGCTGCAGCTGGTGATACAGGGGGTTGCCGAAATCCGAGGCAAGCTTGTCGACCTGGCGGAAGCCATACGATCGCGATACGGCCTCGCCGACACGGCCGAGGATCACAAGCGAACTGCAGATGGCACTGACGACCCTCGTCTACTGAACCTCAACGTACGAGGTACAGAATCAAATCACAAGAAGTTCCGATCGGCAACGATGCCTCAGAATAGTCCGGTACACGCTGTCTCGCCCACGCTTCGATGCGAGACGGCACCTCCCTTTCCTCAACACGGTCCAACGTCATCGTCAACAGTCGCTGCTACGGCGATGGGCAACAGTCAGCAGATGTATGGCCGTGAGTCTATTCAGTGGACGGACCAGGCTGGAAGATCCGCGATTACAGGCAGCACTGTGAGCTTCAACCAGATCTGGCCTGCGTCAACTTCGAATTTCGACACGGCTACAAATCAGGAGCAGCAGCAGCAAGGTGAACACACTCGTCCGCAGCATCAACAGTACCACGATCAGACTATCGCTTCTCAAGCTCAGTTGCAACAGGCTCCACTGCATCTCAATCAACAGGAGTTGGCTGGCTTGCTGCTGCAGGATTTCATGATTCCCGAACATCACTCAGAGCATCAAAGCGAATGAGCTACTCAGGCTTCTTTCCGAAATGACTCAAAAGTTGACCTAATCGCGCCATGCAGAAGAATGAACATCGAGAACAAGTGACTGAGATTATCAATTCGTGTACAATTTAGAAACCAAAGTATGACTTTAAAGAGGTGTACCTTTCGATCGTAGCAAGGTGTGTGAACGATAGAATGATGTGGTGAACATTGATCGCGTGGTCGATTAAGAACGCTTCGCTTGACCATCGCTTGCCTGTTCGACTGACGAGGGTGAGCTGGAATTCGCCGATTTCTGCTTGGCACGAGCGAGCTTGTCTTTTAGAGTGTTGAGGTGGTGGGCCTTCCAGTTTCGTAGCGACTGTTGGATGCGTTGCTGGTGGGTTTCGTGAGTCTGCATCAATGTACGTGACCGTTTTTCGGGCTGGACTTGACTTTGACTCGTATCTGCAGGACCGCGCATCGGAGGATGCGTGACGACTGCTTCAGGCGGTACTCGAACTTGGTCGATGGACGGATCTGGTGTCGGAGCCCTCGATGCTGAAGAAACAATGTGACCTTCAGTCTGATCAGTATCGGTCGCCTGTGTTTTTCCTTCATGATGCAGGATTTTGCGAGGCTGAGGTTCCGTGTGAGGCTGAGCTTCGTCCATCGACTCCATGCCATAACCCATCGGACCACTGAAGTTCGTGTTCAAGGAAGCGGATGTGCCAACGTCCTGGGTTCTATCTTGGTTCAAAGCATCAGCCCAGTCTCGGTTCGTATGAACACGCTCCTTCGACAACATGTGTCCTTCGTCCTCGCTAGACTCGGTTCGGACATTGGCTACTTCTTGAGCACATGCGCTCAAGTCCAGTTGCGGATTAGCATTTTGAGGAGAAAGCCGCTTGTCTTCTAGAGAAGTGCTGTCTTTGACCTTGGAAGTTGGCTCCTGCGACCAGCTTTGCCATTCTGTTTGGGATGGTACGACATTGGTTTGCGAATGCGGGTCATCGAAGGGTTGTGTTGCTTTTGGGCTGACAAGCTCAAAATGCAGCCCCTCCGTGAAGGCCGAGTCGGAAGGATTGTTCGACGTCATCATTTGCATCAAGAGCTGATCCACCGCCTGCCTCTGACGCAAGTCCTCATCAAGATAATCGCGGGTATTCCCTGGCAGTTGTGCATCGCTGCTCTCCGCCATCTCCTGGCTCATCAACTGACCGTCGAAGTCATAAAAGATACCTTGGATTTGACCAGCATCGTTCGGCTCGGACAGAGCGACGAAAGCAGAGTTGGATGAGTTCATGCTGTAGTCGATCGGCAGGTTTAGCGGAACGTCGATCGATGCAAATGACCTCTGCGTTGGTGCTGATAGGAGATCGGAATGCGCGAAATCGGAATGTTGAGACGATCCTACATCGGCTTCTTGTCCCTGATATAAGTCGGAAGCGGAGGGAGGAGCTACCGCGCCATTTGTGCCGTGGCTTTGCGTTTCGAAGTACGTGTAGCAGGGCTCTGGCAGCAGCCAGTCGCCTAGATCGACATTATTGGATGCAATGGACGAGTCCATATGGAGATTCACACTCGGTACGGGGTGAGCGAGTGTGGAGAGAGGGTCCTGATTGATAGGATCCAAATTTGGGGAGAGACCGCTGTCCTGCGAGTTGTGCTCTGCTTTCAAATCAGGCTGACCCACCATCTGATCAAGGATCTGTTGGCCCGACCAACTATTACTCGCCTCGATCGCCGAATTGTAAGGAGTGATGAAGGTCGAAATTTCAGAGTGAGTGAGGGGCGTCAGTGGGTGCCCTGCGCTGGCAGGGCTCGGTGTGACTTGACTCGTGGCTGTAGCGCTTTGGTCAGTCGACTCCGACATCTCGTTTCCAAGTGAGAAAGAATATCCCTTCATGACGAGGGAAGCTTGCAGAAAGGCTCGTCGCTCGGGCGGAAGCGCACTCTTGACAGCGTCGAACAAACTACAGTTTGTTCTGACGGGCTCAGTAAGCTGCGGAGGAGCCAATGCTGCGGCTGCGACATCATCAGTGGTGATGGCATGGCCGATCGGCAGAGGGGGTATCGCATGCGGAGCAAGGAAGATACGGGAGTCGCGGAGATGCTGTGGCACTAGCGTGTCAAAACAGCTGTTTGCCGTTGAGGAGCGAGAGGTTTGTCCATCCAGCGACCTTCTCGCCGATCCACGCCTCAAAGCCGAGCCCTGTGTGCGACTTGTGGTTCCTTGCGAGTGAGACCGCGTGATCAGGGTGTCGTTGAGAGCATACAAGGCCGGGTCATCTGCCGAGTAGAGCAGTACGGGTGTGTAGTACTGATCAATGCGCGCGGCTGGAGAGCCTGGGCTCGCTGACGATGCACGACGATGATGACGCGTCGCGTACGGCGATGTTTTGGATCTCGCGCCATCAAGCGAAGCTCTCTTCCTGCCACTGCCGGATCCTGAGCCTGACAGAGGCCCCCTGATGTCACTCGGGGCGAAGTCAGTATCCGTGCGTCTTTCGAGCGTGTGGAAGGCGACGGCGTCTTCCGATTCTCGCGACAAAGCTTTCTTGACGGAGGGCTTGAAACGATACTCGGGATACCTATCTCGATGCTCTGATGCAGCCTGCTGCGCCTTTTCGTAGAAGGCAGCCTTGACCTCCGGAGACTCGTTGCGCCAAAGCTGTCCAATTTCTTTGCTCAGCTGGCGCTGATGGTCAAGTTTGTCGAGGCCAACATCGGACAGAGAAGATGTGTTCTTCTTGCTCTTCAACTCTTTCATCTTGTTGGAGCGATACAGAATGAAGGCATTTGGCGGGCGAGGAATCTTTCTGAGCACCATTGGAGGCTCCGAAGGCAGAAGCGAGCCAATCCGAGATGGCTTCTCCGTCGCGCTTCCCGATAAGCTCTTGGAGCGGGCGCGAGCCTTTGGACGAGGCTTGGAGGGCCCAGCACTGCCAAGCCCATGAGCCTTTGAGCTGAACGCTTCCATATCTAGCAACGAGCGTGTCGTGAAACCCTCCCTGTGACGGACGAGTGGGATTGGTCGTAATTCCAGAAAATGTCGTCATGAGAGATCGAAGTAGTAGCCGAGACGAGCGAAGCGTGCAAGTCGAGCAGGCAGTGTCCAACGAAGAGATGCAGCCGTCAATGCGAGAGTGTAGCTAGTCCAGTAGATAGAGAAAGGAGAGTGATCGAGAGAAGGCCGGGCTATGAGCTGTGTAGGCAGCAGAGAGGCAGTAAAAAGAGAGACGAGTCTCTTTAAAGCGGAAGAGGACCAGATTGGGGAATGATTTGCTTCATTGAGCTCGAATGCTGCGCGGAACAGCTCCCCTATAGCACTACAGCGCTGTTGTCGGGAAGTGAAGCTCTTGTGGCGGATAGTTGGTGACTTGCGGAAGCGCGGAAATGAGATTGTGCGGAACAGCTGACGTCGCAAGAGTCAATCAAAGGCTTGAAGATCGCGGAGCGGGTGGGTGAGCGGTAGCTGCACGAGCAAAGTCTAATTTGAGGGGTCGTGCAACTGGCAGATGAGACAGTGGGTATTGTCCGCCGATCCGTCTGGCCCCCCACTTTGGTGCTGTGACGATAGAAAGAGGGAAGAGCTGCAGCTTTCGTCGCAGTTTGCGCCACAGACGACGCACTCGTTCGCGTTCGGAAGAGGCAAAGTAGGAGAATCTTCGACCTTTGATGTCGGTGGTTGATGAAGGAAGGTGAAGGTGCTCACAACTCCTACATCGTCGTTTGACAAGTCGAAGAAGGATCAACGGCGACACTGGCCGATAGGCATACGTGCCGAGACAGATCGACACATCCTTGAAGCTGTCAAGGCGCTTTCGCCTAGAGTGGCCATCAGCAACACACGTGAGTGTGTGACGAACAAAGGAAAGGGTCCAAGCTCTATGCAGATGAAGCATAACGTGCATGAGCGGCGCAAAGCACGAGTCGCCATGCCAGTCCATGTGCTCTGTTGCCGTTGAACAAAGGGAAGCTAGAGAGAGGCGCAGTGGGCCGTCCCTTCCGGCTGCTCACCAGCTTCCTCCTGCAGAGACACGAGAGCATCCGGAAAGTGCTTGTCTGCTCTGCCAAATCATGATTGAGTCTTTCCAGAATCTCCCCCGCTCAGCATCAGCCTCGATGCTCGATCGTCATAGCGACAGTGATCTCAGGGTCTATCGCGGCGACACAGTAGCAAGTGCTGTCAGCCTCACCTCAAAGGGATTGAGTTTTCAAGTGTCGAGAAGTGGAGAGGTCTAACAAGCACCGAAAATGGCCGGTGTTGGTCTCGCGCACTGCTGACAGCCGTATTCCCGTTGCAGTTCACGCGTCGCGCATAGTGTGCGAAGCCCCACCGAGGTGAATCTTATGGCTCAGCAATTTCCGCCAGCTGAGAAGCACACTCCACAGCAGATCGGCAGTCACACCTTCGACTGTAGACCCTGGAGGAGCAGTATCAGCAACGCAGCAAAGTTGGAATAGGTTCTGTCCGGCCTTCTCACACCGCCTTTCCTACAACGACCTCGACCGCTACATCGCCCGAGTCCTTCGTCTACTATTCGGCATCGCGCCGAACACTTGACACCATGGCGCCCGTATCAACAGAAACGCTGACGCAGCCGTCGGCGGGCCCGTCGTCCAACAAGCGCAAGATGGACCAACACCACACCTCGGCCTTTACAGACACGCTCAAAAAGCTCAAGGAGGAAGCCGACTCGAACCAAGAGGTGGACGACCAGGCGCTTTGGCCGCGTCCCTACCTCGAGCCCCTCGACATTGACAATGATGCTGTCACCTTCCAACAGATCGATATCGAGGAGCATCAAGCAGTCGGTCAGCCACCCGCCATTCGCATGTACGGCGTCACGCATGAAGGTCACTCGGTATGCGCTCACATTCACGGTTTTCTGCCCTACTTCTACATCCATGCTCCACGCGGATTCACCGCCAACACTTGCAATGACTTTACCAACCATCTCAACGTCCTCTTTGGTGGGCGCACCGTCCACAAGTCCGAGATCGTCAGCAAAAAGAGTCTCATGGGCTACGCTGGACAGGAGAACGTCGCTTTCATCAAGCTCACCATCTCGGATCTGCGCAGCGTTCCCAGGATCCGCGGATCCTTCGAGCGCGGCGAGATCGGCTTCCGTGACCTTTTCACTCCAGGCGAGGCGAGCCTCACCTACGAGAACATCGCATACACATTACGCTTCATGATCGATCTCAAGATTGTCGGCATGAACTGGATTCGCGTCCAAGCCGCCAACTACAGGCTGCGACCGGAAAGCCAGAGAGTGTCGCTCTGCCAGATCGAACTCGACTGCAGCTGCGACGCCATCCACTCGCATGCTCCCGACGACGATTGGTCCAAGATCGCTCCTCTCCGCATCCTCAGCTTCGATATCGAGTGTGCAGGCCGCAAGGGCGTCTTCCCAGAGCCCTCGGTCGATCCCGTCATCCAAATCGCCAACATGGTCACACGGCAAGGCGAATCGACGCCCTTTGTCAAGAACGTCTTCACGCTCAACACCTGCTCTCACATCGTCGGAAGTCAAGTCCTTTCGTTCAACAAGGAGATCGACATGCTCGAGGCCTGGACCAAATTCGTTCAAGAGGTCGACCCGGATGTCGTCATCGGCTACAACATTGCCAACTTTGATTTCCCCTACTTGCTCGATCGAGCCAAAGCGCTCAAGTCGACCAAGTTTGCCTACCTCGGCCGTGAACGAGGCGTCCGTACCGAAGCAAAAGATACCCATTTTTCCTCCAAAGCATACGGTACTCGAGACTCGAAAAATACCGAGCTCCAAGGTCGCCTCCAGCTCGACATGCTTCAGGTCATGCAGCGTGACTACAAGCTTCGATCCTATTCGCTCAATTCGGTTTCCTTCGAGTTTCTAGGCGAACAAAAGGAGGATGTGCATCACTCGCTCATCACCGAGCTCCAGAATGCTGGCCCAGAATCGCGTCGACGACTCGCCGTCTACTGTCTCAAGGACGCTTACTTGCCGCAGCGACTCATGGACAAGCTCATGTGCTTCATCAACTACATCGAGATGGCCAGAGTCACTGGCGTTCCCTTCAACTACCTGCTTTCCCGTGGTCAGCAGATCAAGGTCGTGTCTCAACTCTTCCGCAAAGCCAACGAGGACAACTACCTCGTTCCCGCCTACAAGGGCGAGGGCAACGAAGATCAGTACGAAGGTGCTACCGTTCTCGAGCCCAAGGCAGGCTACTACGACCGACCTATCGCCACACTCGATTTCGCTTCGCTGTATCCGTCGGTCATGATGGCCCACAATCTTTGCTACACCACGTTGCTCGACAAGAAGACCATCGACCGACTCGAACTCAAGCAGGATGACGACTACGTCATCACCCCGAACAACAACTGCTTTGCCACCAAAAAGCTGCGCAAGGGCCTCTTGCCTACCGTCCTCGAGAATCTGCTCGCCGCACGTAAGCGTGCCAAAGCCGACCTGAAGAAGGAGACAGATCCCTTCAAACGTGCCGTGCTCGACGGTCGTCAGCTTGCTCTAAAGATCAGCGCAAACTCGGTGTACGGATTCACCGGTGCAACGATCGGCAAGCTGCCTTGTCTCGAAATCTCGATGAGCACAACAGCCTATGGTCGACAGATGATCGAACAGACCAAGTCGTACGTCGAGAAGCACTACACCATCGCCAATGGCTACGAACACGATGCAGAGATTGTATACGGTGACACGGATTCCGTCATGATCAAGTTTGGCGTTCCTGATCTGCAGAAGGCGATGGAGTTGGGTGCCGAAGCGGCAGGCCTCGTATCCAAAACTTTCGTCGACCCCATCAAGCTCGAGTTCGAGAAGGTCTACTTCCCTTACCTCTTGATCAGCAAGAAGCGTTACGCAGGTCTCTACTGGACACGACCGGAAAAGTACGACAAGATGGACACAAAGGGTATCGAGACGGTACGACGTGACAACTGCCGCCTCGTCCAGACGGTCATCGACACCTGCCTCCGAAAGATGCTCATCGACCGCGACGTCAAGGGAGCGGAAGAGTATGCCAAGAACATCATCTCGGACCTGCTGCAGAACAAGGTCGACATGTCGCAGCTCGTCATCACCAAGGCGCTGGCAAAGGCGGACTACGCAGCCAAGCAGGCGCACGTCGAGCTGGCGGAACGCATGCGAAAGCGTGATGCCGGTTCCGCACCGGCGTTGGGCGATCGTGTCGCCTACGTCATCGTCAAAGCCGCTAAAGGTGCTGCTGCCTACGAGCGGTCCGAGGATCCGATCTACGTGCTGGACCACAACATCCCCATCGATACGCGCTACTACCTCGAGAACCAGCTGGCCAAGCCGCTCCTGCGTATCTTTGAACCCATCATGGGTCCCAAAGCGAGCACCATGCTCAACGGCGAACACACGCGTGTGGTCCAAGTGGCGACGTCCAACGTCGGTGCTCTGATGAAGTTTGCCGTCAAGACGGTCCAGTGCCTGGGCTGTCGAACACCGTTGAAGGATCAGAACATGCCCGTGTGCAAGAATTGCCGGCCGAAAGTGGCTCAGCTGTACCACGAGAAGCTGGCGCGTGCATCGGCGCTCGAGGTCGAGTTTGCTAGGCTGTGGACGTGCTGTCAGAGGTGTCAGGGTAGTTTGGCGCAGGATGTGCTGTGTACGAACAAGGATTGTCCCATCTTCTTCAAGAGGAAGAGGGCGCAGAAGGATGTTGAGGATGCGGTGCAGGTTGTTCAGCGGTTCGACACCGCGTGGTGATCACGTAAAGCGGAATCTTTGTCTCACACACTTTGCTCGAGTTCTATCGTCGCAATCATGAACCGCATCAATGTTTGCATTCCAAGATTCACAGCAGCGTGCACGTCCGATCACAACTTGGCGCCGTCCTTCCTGAGGAAAGTAGCAGCGACGTTCTTCCTCTGAATCTTACCCGTCGCCGTTTTGGGGATGGCGTCGGTGATCCAGATTCTCTCTGGGATCTTGAACTTGGTCAGTTTGCCCTGCATGGCAGCCTGGATCTCCTTTTCGCCCAAACTCTCCTTGCCCTTGTGAAGGATGACTACCGCACCCACTTTTTCGCCGTACAGCTTGTCGGGCATGGCGAACGACACGGCTTCCTTGACGCCTTCGACGGCGAGGAGGGCGGCGTCGACCTCGAGCGGCGAGATCTTTTCACCGGATCGGTTGATGAGCTCCTTGATCCTGCCGACGAGTTCGACGTAGCCGTCGGCGTCTTTGCGACCCTGGTCGCCGGTTCGGAAGAAACCTTTGTTCTCGGCTGTGGTGACGAAAGATTCGGCGTTCGCCTTGGGATTGTTGAGGTAGCCTTTGGTGACGTTGGCTCCGCGAACGCAGACTTCGCCGATGGTGCCTTGCTTGACCTCGTTGCCTTGCTCGTCCAGGATGCGGATCTCGACGCCGTGACCGATTCCGACGGTGCCAGGCTTGCGTTTGGCAGGTGGCAGAGGGTTCGACGTCATCTGGTGCGCAGCTTCGGTCATGGCGTATGCCTCGAGCACGGGCGCGTTGAAGGTCTTCTCAATCTGGTGGAATGTCGCGGGCGACAAAGCGGAAGAACACGATCGGATGAATCTCAGCTTAGGCACCGGGTTGGGGAGCGGAGAGTTGAGCAGCATCTGGTGGATCGTGGGCACCGCCGTGTACCAGTTGCACCCGTTGCTGGACAGCTCGTTCCAGAAAACGCTGGCGGAGAACTTGGGCGGGATGACAGCGCTGCCTCCAGAGAGAAGAGTAGCGAGAAGACCGCACAGCAGGCCGTGCACGTGGAAGAGCGGCATGACGAGGTAGGTGCGGTCGGCGGGAGTGAGGCTGTAGGTAGTGATGATATTGCCCATGGTGGTGTACAGGTTCTTGTGGGTGAGCGGTACACCCTTGGGCCTGCCAGTGGTTCCACTGGTGTGCAGGACCAGAGCGACGTCTTCGTCCTGCGGCTTGCGGATCTGACTCTTCTTGCCGACCTTGGTGCCATCGCCGCGTACCAACGAGACGCTTCCGGCACCGCTCGGGTCGAAGACGATCTCGACAACATCGACCTTTCCGGCCTTTTTTGCGGCCTCGATGGCAGGGTGACCCGCTTTGATCGCACCTTTGGGCAAGAGCAGCAGCTGCGACTTGGTGTCTTGCAGATAAAACTCGACTTCGCCCTGGGAGTAGTTGGGGTTGAGCGGCGCAGCTACGAGCCTCTCTGCACCCGTTGCCAAGAAGGCGAGGGTGAACTCGATACCGTTGACGAGCGAAGAGCTGACAGCACTTCCCGGGGCTAGATCGAACGAGGCCAGCTGAGATTGAAGGTCGAGCACGAGCTCGTGGAGTCGAGCGTAGCTAAAAGTGAAAGGAGTCGGAGACGAGGTCGGAAGGATGATGGCGGCTGTGGTGGCCTCCAAGCCCGCCTTAGGGGCAAATACTGACATGAGATTGGCCATGGTGAAGATTGGGGTGATGACAAGGATAGAGAGGGGGAACGTCGGAACGATGGTGGGTGGGGGCACAGAAACGATGCAGCGAAGGTGGAGTATCTGATCAGTCACACGATTCGCCGCCTTGCTCCGTGCAGCGATCCCTGCAACCAGGAAACCGGCGTACTATCGGCTATGCAAACAATCTCACATTTCGACATTTTTTCGCATTTTTGGAACGAGCCGAGTGTCTGCCCGACAGGTCGAAGCGGAACACTGACTTTCTTCATCGTCGACAAGCCGCACGCACCGAACGACACGCGATACACAAAGTGATGTGATATGTTTTGATTTGGCGATTGGTCACTACAGCTTGGGAGCCTGTGTCGCCTCTGGGGCAGGACCTCCCTGTTCGCAAATGCGGCGCATGTCAGCAAGGGCCTCGACCAGGCACTTTGCAAAGTGCGTCGTAGCACCGTTCTTGGATTCGATACCGAATTTGAGCAGCTGAGCACCGGCCAGGTAGTTGATTCCGTACGATTCGGTCGGGTAGCCCGTACCAAAACCGGTTCCTGCGAATCGATCACCAGCACTCAAGCCACTCGTGCTCAAGCGCCACGACTGGGACTCGCCAAAGAGCGGGTCCGAGAATATAGCGGGTGTTTCGCCATCTTCGGCCCGCAGCAGCAGTCGCAATCCAGTCATGTGTCGGTCGATGCCCTTGCCCGTCGAGCTCTCGCGCGTCTGCGTGTTGTGCGACTTGGTGGCAGCGGTCAACAGCGCATAGAGCGTCTTTGCGTCCTTGCCCTCGCGCACGCCGCGCACGAATTCGTACGCTTCGTCACTGAAGGATCGAATGACGTCGGTACGCCCGTGCTTGAACAATCTCGTTGAAGCCGTCTCGTACGTCGATGTCTGCTGCCCGTGGGCCTTGGCATAGGCGAGCTGAAGCGCCATCTGCAAGTATGCATCGGGGCTGTGCTTGCCCACCTTTTTGATCCAGTCGGCTCCGTACTCGTTGTACCACAGCATGCGAATGTCGGATTCCTTGGCAGCTCGCAAAGCCGCCTGCTCCGACTGTTCGATCGACTGCTTGGTCGAGTCGTCGATTGCCCACTCGAGCTTCTTCCAAGAAGCCGATTCGTTGGGGGAGCTGAGTTCGGCAGGGAAGCCAGAGCCTGGAGGAGGGCATGGCTCAGCGGCAGCAAAGTCGCAGAGGATACTAGGGATGAGCGCATCGCATGGCGAGTGCTCGCCCATGATACCTGCACGACCACTAGGCTCGACAACGATGGAGAGAGCCTTGTCGAACCAGCGATTGTGTCCAGCTCGTCCAGCACCGCTGCAGTTGCGGGCCAGTGCATCGACCCAGACAGGTGTCGCTTCGTGGGGTGGCGCCGGGTGGTCAGACGAAAGAGAGAGTACGCTCGAATCGAGCGAGACGCAGAAAATGCTGTCCTCGACCGAGTTGATGCTCTTGCGGTTGACAGGCGACACGCTGAGCAAGTGCTCGCGGGTCTAATCGAGGAAACAAGGATGGAGAGTTCGTGGTGAGCATCGAGTCGCAGAGATGGATCGGTGCTGAAAAGCTGTGCTTACCTTTGTCCAAGTGTCGCGGTTGTCGGAGCTGAGCACACCGACACCAGCACCTTGTCCTTTTTGAGCATCGGCGACGATTTCCCAGAAGGCCTTTTCGACCGAGTCTACGCCAAGCAGGGTGCCATCCTTGCGCACCACCTCAAGCTCGTAGTAGTTGTCGCGCGCAATGACGGTGATATGGCGTGCTACGGCAGGGTGTGGTGTCGCCGTGTTCCAATCGTGCGGGATGGCGGGGATTCGAGTGATGCCGTACAGACTGCGGGCGGGACGATTAAACCAACGACCTGATGGTCAGTGAGCGTGTTCATGGGGAAGATAAAGGAGGCAAAGGGAGGAGGGACGCAGAGTCAGCGTGCTGCTCGGTTACTCACCGAGTGTATTGGTGCATGCAAAACGGACCGGCACGGGAAGAATCAGGCATGATATCCTCGCTGCGCCGGTACAAGAAGAACAGGAGAGAGGAGGCAATGAGAACAAGGGTGGACGTCATCAGCACAGAGAACACGTTTGCAGCGATGGGCACGACATGGAGACAGAGCCGGACTTACTCATCGAGACGTTTCTTGAACTGCAAGAAACGCGAAGTGAGCCAGGCGGCACGGCGGACACCCCAAGCGGCATCGTTCCAGTTCTGTGAGCCGAGGCCGACGATGGGGTAGGCGTCGTGCCCGGGGTGCTCGCAGAGGTCGGTGGGCATGTTTTCGTCGTGGGTGAACATGAGCCACCAATTGCTGTTGATCATTAGGGGTACGCGCCACTCATGGTAGGCCTTTTGGAGCCACCATCGGTCGTCGAGCCAGTTGTCGTCGGTGGTGCGATCTACATCGATGAGTCGTTGCTGCAGCTTGGCGCCGAGACCGCCTTTGGCGAGGAAGTCTTGGACCCACTGCTTGCGCTTTTCAAGCTCCTTTTCGGCAGTGCTGCCCTCAAGTTTGCCCTGCTCCTCGAGTTGGCGCAGGAAGGGTGAGAGCGACTTGAGGTACTTGTCGAAGGTCTGTTCGAGTGTTGGAACAGGTAAACGTGGCAAGTGTTTCTGCTGGCTGAACGTCTTTGGCTGTGTGCCCGGCGAGCCGCGCCAGGGTGTGAGAGCGAACATGGCTGGTGAAGAAGTGTGCAGGGTTCGGGGAGCTGATACTGCGGCGCGATTGAGCAGCGATCGGGAGGGTGAGAAGCGACCAATGGAGAGAAGCTAGAGGGCGCAGTCCGCCAAGGCAAGAACACGAGTCGCAAGGAAGAAAGAGTCGGTGAGCGAAAGATCGAGCGAGATCAGTCTGGTTGCTTTGGTCAAGACGGTGACTTACCTCGAGACCCTGTCGTTGTCTGCTCAGCAACATCAATACGATCGTACTCGGGCGCGGGAGCGATACGGCTCGGATGCGGATGTCGTATATGCTGGTGGTGGGCAGCGATCTTGCGCGTAGGTCACGGAAGGAGACCCAGGGGACTTGATGGAAATATCTGCGAGGGAACGATAGCGGGAAGAGGGATGCGGGATGCGGGGATGGCACTTTACCGGTTTAGACCAAGGAACGGTGTGGGACACGCGTGTTTGTTCCGGAGGTATTGCTGTAGCCGAAAGTCAGTCGGTTCTGAGCCAGTGCAATGGAAGGGCGGGCGGTGCTTCGGTGCGGAGAATTGCGAGGTTGTGTGCGATGAGAGAGGGCGTAGGCGATGATGTGAAAAGCGGGGTCAGGAAGCGGCCTTGTGTTGATCTGATGGAGAAAAGGTGCGGCGTGCGCGCGCTTCTCTGAACGTGAAAACGGATTCACCGGCTTCAGAGGGTCAACGCTGGCGGTGGCTATTCACCGGCCCTTGTGCGAGCCGGAACGCGACCTTCGTAAAGGTGACCATTTGTTACTTCATACGACTTCACATTGTGAGATATAAACTTTGTGCGACGCTCGATCCTGCGAAAAATCTTCGTGCGATGCTTCCTCCGCCGCAACCTACGATGCTCGTTCGGTCGTGGGAACCCGGTCCGTGGAAGCCAGTCAAGAACTGTAGACTCGTAATCCTGACTTTCCTGATAGCGACCCATGCAAACCGCATATACCCGTACAGCAGCGAGTCCTACACCAATCACTAAGCACCATCGTCGGCCCCGAGAGGGGCTCGACATATGATCTAACAAATAAACGATACAGAGAAGATTAGCAGTGTCCCAGCAAATGGATGACCCTACTACGTTCAGAAGAGCAGCTTTCTACGGAAAGCAACTATGTTTTTGCATCTCTGGTGTATGAGCTATGATTTTTCATATCGAAGCGGTGGCGGATGGTTGAATCGCGTGCGCGCGGATGATGTTACACGAAGTAACAGATTTACGCGAAAAATATCAGAAGGGAAAAAAATCCAGCACGAGAGTCTAATGGTGAGTGTTAGACCGTACAAAGTAGATTTGGCGACACGCGGTATTGATTGATTTAGTTGTCAGGCCACCTCGCGGAAAGCAACAGCAGTGCGGAAATGCGGGGGAAAAGCGATGCGAAGTCGACTTCGGCGTAAGTTCGGTCGATCTGTACTCAGTGCGGAGACTTCACCTTCTGTCGAGACATGCCTTGGCGATGCAGGAGCACTCAGCAGAGACGCAGCTTTGCTAACTCCAGCAAGCGAGAGACGCCAATTGTTGCAACACGAACGAGCCGTTTTGTGAGGACCAACAGTGTGGATAGGAGAGAAGTTGCCAGGCCCTTGGGCTGTACGGTGACTACTTGCGACGCACTGTGACCATTTTGCTGCGCCACAAAAATAATTATTCCGTGATGCGCACGGCCGCACTTCTTATCTGACCCGTCTCTGTATGCCCTTCCGCTTCCTCTACTGCTACTACATCACCACCATCATCATCACCCTTCATTCTTCACAATGTCGGCACGTCGACCTTCGAACCCTTTCACAAAGAACCAGGATGCTCCTGGCTACTACGACGAACACGTCTCGTCCGACGAGCGTGCTCAGCTGCGCTCACTCGCCCAGCACATGCGCAAGCTCAGCATGAGCAACAGCGCCCTTTCCGACGACAGCGCTGATTTGTCCACTTGGCGCGAATCAAAAGCCACTGCATCGTCAAGCGGTAGCAATGGCGCCCGCACTCCTCGTGCTGAGGCTGGTCCACGCCCCGCTGCGTCTACCAACGAGAGCGGAGCAGCATCTGCCACCGCCATCCAGAACCCGCTCAAACCCGTCGGCGGCACCAAGTACACCCCTCACCAAGGCGACCTCCCCAACCCCGATCAGGCGTATGGCGAGGATCAAGACAAGGCCACCCTTCTCTCTGGCAGTCTCGGCAAAAGCTCTTCGCTGCTCAACAATGGTCGGGGACACCGTGACAGCGCTGACGACGACAAGCAGCGCGTCATGCAGCGTGCGCGCGGTGTCGTCCGCACCTACAGTATGGGTCAGCAGAAGCGCCGTCCCCAGATGATGAACGACGACCCCGTCATCCTCTCTCGGCGCATGAGCCACGACGCCGTACAGGAGGCCCCACGCCGCTTCATCGTCGATGTCGAAGAGACCATGCGCCTCGTGCTCGAGCAAGAAGACACAGACGGTAACTTCCAGATTTGCATCACAGACAGCGGTCCCAAGGTACTCACCCTCGGCACCGCAACCAGCAACGGCTACAAAGGTTTCGACATCCGCGGCACCTACATGCTTTCCAACCTCCTTCAAGAGCTTGCTCTCGCCCGCGAGCACGGTCGCAAGCGCATCGTCCTCGACGAATCGCGTCTCACCGAAAATCCCGTTGATCGACTCTCTCGCATGATCAGTCAGACCTTCTGGCACAACCTCACTCGACGCATCGACGGCGACGGTCTCGATGCTATTCTGTCCGATCCAAAGAACCGCAGCAAGTCCCAGAATCCTCGGATCTATGTTCCAGCTTCCGAGACAGAGATGCTCCAATACTATCAAAAGGTGGCGCAGGAGCGTCCCGCACTCAACCTCACCGTCGAATCACTTCCGACCAACATCACCTCAGAGTACACTCGTGACCTCAACGATCGCCCTGGTCTGCTCGCGCTCGCCATGCGCGACGACATTGATCCCACCACAGGCGAAAAGAAGGGTCTCAAAGGCATCCCTTTTGTCGTGCCCGGCGCCCGCTTCAACGAGCTCTACAATTGGGACAGCTACTTCATCTCGCTTGGCCTTGTCGTCGACAACCTGATCGACCTTGCCAAGGGCACCGTCGATCACTTCATTTTTGAGATCAAACACTACGGCAAGATCCTCAACGGCAACCGCACCTACTACCTCATGCGTGCGCAACCCCCTTTCCTCACCGACATGGCGCTCCAGGTCTACTCTCGGCTCGACCCCGCCAACGAGACTGACAACAAGGAATGGCTCCGCAAGGCCATTCAGGCCGCCATTAAGGAGTACCACACTGTTTGGATGAGCAAGCCCCGCTTCGACGACAAGACCTGGCTGAGTCGATACCGACCCGAAGGTCTCGGCGTGCCTCCCGAGACCGAAGCCTCTCATTTCACCCACATCCTCCGGCCCTACGCCGCAAAGCACGGTTGCAGTGTCAACGAGTTCACGCGTAAATACAATGCTGGCGAGATCAAGGAGCCGGAGCTCGACACCTACTTTATGCACGACCGCGCCGTCCGAGAGTCCGGCCACGACACCACATACCGCTTCGAGCACAAGTGCGCCGACCTCGCCACCATCGATCTCAACGCGCTTCTCTACAAGTACGAGATTGACATCGCCACTGCCATCCGCGAGGTCTTTGATGACCGTCTCGAGCTCGAGGATGACTTTACCTTGCACGGACCGCTTCCCCCCGCGCTGCTCAAGGATGGCAAAGGTCCTGCACAGCCATCGCGATCCATCGAGACGCCGCAGACGAGCGGCGAATGGTTTGCACGTGCCGCGCATCGTAAGGCCCAGGTGGACAAGTATCTCTGGAACGACGGCATGGGTCTGTATTTCGACTACGACACCCGAGTCGAGGAGCCCATCGTGTACGAGAGTGTCACCTCCTTCTGGGCCATGTGGGCCGGTATGGCCAGCGAGGACCAAGCAGCCAAGCTGGTCTCAAAATCGCTCAAGCGCTTCGAGGAGCAAGGCGGTCTCGTTTCCGGTACCGAGGACTCGCGCGGAAAGATCTCGATCGATCGTCCCAATCGACAGTGGGATTGGCCGTACGCCTGGCCTCCCCACAACGTGCTCGCGTGGGTCGGTCTTGAACGTTACGGCTACCTCGAGGAAGCGCGTCGCCTCGCTTACCGATGGCTGTACATGATGACCCTCGCCTTTGTCGATTTCAACGGAACCGTGCCGGAGAAGTTTGATGCGGTCAACCTCTCGCACATGGTCGATGCAGAGTACGGCAATCAGGGTATCGACTTCAAGTGCGTCCCTCGTGAAGGTTTCGGTTGGATGAATTCAAGTTTCCAGGTCGGTCTCACGTTCCTCACCACTCATCAGCGTCGTGCGGTCGCTGCACTTCAGCATCCTGATGAGTTTTTCAATGTTCGTCGTCATTAGTTTCGTGTACCTCAGCGTTGCGGGAAGATTCACTCTTATTGATCGTATCAACATGCACGTCTGCGGAACTTATGATCTAGCCGCCGGCCTCGCGGCAAGACATACGAGCGAGTCAGTTAAGGAAGGCGCGGAAGACTCTCAGAGTGCTACACGAATGTGCGGAAAGTGTCAGCATTGATTGCTCGTATCGAAATCTACACGTTACTGTACTTACGTGACCGCGGAAGCCGAGGATCTGATGAGCACGCTGGAGGTGTTCCTCGTAGATCCTGAGCCTTTGCGGAACAGTTGCACCAGCGCCGACGATGGCAAATTGCCGCACGGCAATGGCGAGACTCCCGCTCATGTCCTGGTAGAACTTTCGCAGCCCTACGAGGCTGATATCTTCGACCGGACAAAAGTTGAGGTTGGTCGGGTCGATTACCTCGATGCCAAGCTGGGTAAGGTCGTCGACGGAACCAGCGGTGGATGCGGATGCGGGTGCGGGTACGGCAGCCGCCAGTCGCTGAGCAGGGGGAGCGTCAGCGAGGAGGTTGTAGAGTCGCTGCATGAGCGTCGCGTAGAACTCAGTGACCTTCTGGTAAAAGACTCGGAGCCCTGCAAGGCTGATATCGTCGACGGGACAAAAGTTGAGGTAGGTCGGATTGATTACCTCGATGTGAAGCTTAGAAAGGTCGTCGACGAGCCCGGCGGCGGATGCGGATGCAGGTGCGGATGCGGCAGCCGCAGAGCCTTCGTCGCTGCCCTCGTCTGTTGATTCTGTTGATGCAGAAAGGAGAAGCATAGGCGTCAGAAAGTCGCTAGCAGAGCGGGGATGTCGACTGAGATACCTACCATCATGTTGAACGAAGTGGTCGCTCGTGCCGTCGTGCTTGGGTATGAACCACACCAGAGGTTGCTCTGTCATCTTTCGTAAATACGGGCGACCAATGCGTCGAAGATTGGTCGTTGGAGAGGAATGTGTGTCGATGAAGAACGAGGGCGGAAGTGGAACACGATGAGCGGAGGTTTATATAACCTTTTATCCCGCAGCGTCTCTTTCGAAGACATTTCCGACGCAAGCAAGCGACATTGCTAGCCCTCAACAAAGACCCAAACACAAGCCTGATGCGGATCTCAAGATTAACATCGGAGAGCGATTCGACGACGTGAGAGAAGCCGCAGGCCGTTTCTCGACGGAGAAGTAGCGGACCGTTCATCGACCCTTTTAGCCATTGAAGCGAAGGAGAGAAGGTTTAGTCAACAACGAGAAGGAGAGAAGATTTAGCCAACGAGGGAAAGAGGGAAGTGTAAATTTGTAGGCGCGCAAGATGTCGTCCCATTCCTTGGTTGAGCAATTGGCGACTCTTAGCATTAATGGCAAGCCTGTACCAGTGCGGCAGCGAGGAGGAGTGTTGGTGAGAAGGAGTGACGAGAGTGCGGCACGGTTCTAGATCGGAACGAATACACATTGTAGAACGAGTCCTCAAGAAGAGTGCACAGTCTAGTCAAAGTCTCTCGACATGGACGATGCGCGGCGACGATACGATCGAGCCTAATTGTATCAAGGATTCCTACATTGAAGGTTGCGGAGCGTGCTGGCCAGTTTCGCACGATCCGCAGACACATCCTCACAAACACGGATGAGAAAGGTGACCAACTCTATTCCTTCGAGATCAAGAACGAAGCTTATCGATGAGGCGTAGACAGGAAATGTCGGGAGAGATGTTTTGCTCGTGCCAGATGTAGTCGACGAGGTTCCACTGGCGACACTGAATTGCGAGTCGCAGGTGGGTCTGGTCGAGCTTAAAGGGCCGCGAGCCAATCTGCTCGAGCCGTGCGGCGGGCAGCGGAAGCGCTTCCAGAGCATCGACATTGAGACACGGTCCAGTGACGAGAAGATGAAGGATGTCACGCGATCCATTGCGGATGGCGATCTGCACTGCCAAACCTTCTTTGCAGTTTGGATCCGCACCGAACAGAAGCAAGAGGTGTGCCAGAGAATAAGCTCGGCGATGTACTGCCATTGCGAGCGGATAGCCTTGGTGTGAAGAAGCATCCGCGCCGTACTGCATGAGCAGACCGAAGATCAGTTCAACATCGTCTGGGCTTGGGACTGGCCCGATTCTGCCTTGGATCTCCTCGTCGGTACTGTAGGCAATCTCGACGTGCTTGCGTTTGCCTGATTGATCTTGGTGGGTTGGATTCGGTTCCGGTTCTTTAGCCAAGCTGATGAGCAGTCTCGAGAGCCAGGCTTGACCGATCTTGGGTTTGTCTACAGCTTTTTCTGGCTGTGATTCCGTCTCTGTTGCATTCTCTTTGCGTCGTCTTCGTCTCTTCTTGGCTCGAGTATCATCGGAAGCAGGCTGCGGCGTCTCGTTTGTCGTACTTGACCATTGAGTTTCATGGCTGGACTGGTCGATGCGTCGAAAGAGCCTCTTTGGTAGTTGCGGAGCCGACAGGTTTGAGCCGGTCGCTGCACCGCTCGTTACCGCTTCCGCCGTTCCTGCGGGCGAATGTACGTGTGGAGGCAGCACGCAGCTCGCCAGAGACAGTGACAAAGACGTCGCTACTACATCGACGATGCGCGTCAAGATGGCAGCTGTGGTAATCCCCAGCTCGGCCGCAAAGCTGATGACGTCAAGGTGATTGATTTGGATCAGGCTGATGGTGCAGTCTGTGATCTCCAAGCGTGCGAGATCGGAGTGCCGCTCTCGTCCGGCGAGACGGTTGGTCAGACTTTTGCAGGTTTTGTGCTTGGCACGGCACGGATGTCCCTTCATGAATCCGATCAAGTGGTCTTCCCATCTACCCAGAATGTACTGCGCCTTGACCAGCGTTCCCGCATCGTGAAAAGCTTGACGAAAGTGCCGACAAGTGACGGGTAAGGCGGACGAGTGTGAGAAGACGAGGATTGTCTGAAGCACTTCGTTGGGCAGGTGCTGTATTCCGACCGGCCGTCGGTGAACGGCTCGGCTGCTGAGGAGCTGGAGAGTTGAGCCTTTAGCATCTCCTCGGTCCGCAGTCATACGGAATGAATGCCGGCAGACCGAGTCTAGCCCACGTCGAGGTTGGAGGAGGACAAGCAGAGAGCCGTGCTGAAGGTGTTGTTCTTGCATGGCATCCGACTTGGCGAAAAAATCAAGGTTTCTCCAGGGCCTGCCTGCCTGCCTTGACTTTTTTTCCCCCGAAGCCTCCACACCTCCAGAACGCAAAAAAGAAGAAAGTCTTGCTGCAGTCTACACTCTAACAACGTGGCTCTCATGAAACGGCCGGTAGGAAGAAATTTGCGGATAGCAACCATCACGTGAAGCTGAGCTTTGGACACAGTCACAGAAGGCTCAGAAGATGTGCAGAAAAACGACCCGCTTGCAGGGCTGCACTTGCATCTCACCTTGATCTCACGATTCCCTTTATCCTGCTTCGTACACCTATCATCGACTCGCTTGCCGACGCTTCATCCATCAACACTCTGCAGTGCAGTTTCAGTGGACGACAAGTAACGATCTCAGCAGGACGCAGAATTGTAACTCGAGCCGAAGTCACGCACACTTTCGACCTCACACCAAGCATCTCTGCCCAACATGCGTTTCTACAAGAAGGAGTTGCCGGACGTCGACGAGGTGGTCATGTGCCAGGTGCAACAGATCGCCGAGATGGGAGCATACGTCAAGCTTCTCGAGTACGACGGCGCCGAGGGAATGATCTTGCTTTCCGAACTTTCAAGACGTCGTATCCGATCGATCCAGAAGCTGATCCGCGTTGGCAGGAACGAGGTGGTTGTCGTGCTGCGTGTCGACAAGGAGAAGGGCTACATCGACTTGTCTAAGCGTCGTGTCTCGCCCGAGGATGTGATCAAGTGCGAAGACCAGTTCACAAAGTCCAAGGCGGTGCACAGCATCATGGCGCACGTTGCCGGCAAGCTCGGTCGCGAGGTGGAGGAATTGTACGACTCTATCGTGTTCCCATTGCACGACAAGTACGGACACGCCTTTGATGCATTCAAGCTTGCCATCCTCGACATGGACAAGACATTCGAGGGCATTCAGATGGACGACGAGGTGCGCAAGGAGCTGTACGCCAACATTGCACGACGAATGACACCGCAGCCCGTCAAGATCCGTGCCGACGTCGAGGTCACCTGCTTCGGGTATGAAGGCATCGACGCAGTCAAGAAGGCGTTGCGTGCGGGCGAGGCTGTCTCGACCGAGGCGATCCCCATCAAGATCAAGCTCGTGGCACCACCACTCTACGTCGTCATCACCAACTCGACCGACAAGGTGGGCGGTATTGCATTGATGGAGCAGGCGCTGGAGAAGATCACCGAGAGCATCCGTGCCAACGGTGGTGATGTCAACATCAAGATGAAGCCCAAGACCGTCTCCGAGGTGGAAGACCAGGAGCTGGAGCAGCTCATGGCCCGTGTCGAAAAGGAAAACGCCGAGGTCGAGGGAGACGAGGACTCGGAAGGCGACGACTAGATTTGTCGCCTCGTCTGTGCGTAGCATATGGTCGTTTGTATCAGTATTCCATCACATCATCCACCTTACAATCTTTGCTGCCAGACTTCTTCCCTTGCCCGTGATTGATCGACAAACAGCGAGGCTATTGTCCTCAGGCAGCATGCTGCGTGTTCAAAAGCGTCGGACGATCCGCTTCGGCCTATTTTCCATGGTGACTGAAAAGTGGCGCTGGAAATAGCCTACGCGAGAAGGATCTCGTTTAGTGAGGCCGCAAGCGTGACTGAACCCTGGCTTCCGGAATCTTTTTGGCTGACCGTGCATGTGTCCTCACATCGGACCGCCCACGCAGCTGCTTGATCTCGGTCCACTATCACCTCGAGCACTCTCGGCCTCATCGTAGGACGCAATGAGTCCAACGGATCAGGCAGAGCAGTCGGATGCGGCCTCTGCACCTGCTGGTTCTGATGCTCCGACGCCTGCTGCTCCAACATCGCCCGGAGAGGTCAACCATGCCAACGTCACCTTGATCGCACTCACCGCCGGACTGGGCCTTGCGCTCCTCACCATTGGGATATGGAATGCAGTGCTCGTCGTCGTCGTTGCTATGCTTTTGATCTGCAATCCCTGGGTCCGAACCTTGCTCGAGCTGCCCAGCGCGGATGGGAAACGCGGCCTCAGCACCTTCGATCCGGCCCGCTTCCTGCTTTCGTACACAGGCTCATCCACAGACAACAGCGAGAAGGACGACGAGCCTGCCACCACCACATCAGAGGACGACCCCTTCTTGCAATCCGACCAACTTTACACGCTCACCGTCATGCCCGAAGCGCTCAGGGACAGCAGCCAGACAATGATCCGCTTCGTGGTGCGCGACTTTGTGCAGGGCTGGTACGACAATCTCACCTTCGCTCATCCCAACTTTCTCGTCTCTGCCGAGGCCAACATCTCCCACGCTGCCGCCAGCATCTACCTCCGATCACGCCAGCTCAAGAGCGCCAACATCGCTGCAGAGATGTTGCTCACCGTGCAAAGCGTCTTGCTCTCATCTTTGCGCCGCCGCCGAGCTTCCACTCAGTACGCTTCCGCTGCTTCTTCATCTGTACGCTCGACATGGCCGAGCAACGCTGCTCGCATCGATGCTCTTCGTAAGGCCGTTCGCAAGCTCCTCTCGCGCAACTTGGCTCACGCCGAGCGTTCCAGCCCAGTGCTCATGCTTCTTCTCACCGAAGTCGTGGCCAAGCAGGCTTGGCAAGTGGTGCAAACCATCGGCGATCCGGACTTCATCAATCAAAAGATCGTCGAGTTGGCCGAGCCAGCTTCAGAAACAAGTCTCGAAGCGCAGACCATCTCGCCTGATGAGCTGGACCGCCTCAAGAGTCTCGACACTGCTGCTCTCGACACGCAAGCAGCCGAAGCTTTGCGATCCCGCTCGGCAGCAGACAATTCGAATCCTGCGACCGCAGCTGCGTCTAGTCGCGACGTAAGTCCAGCAACTTCGACACCCGTCCGACACTACAATGCTTCATCACAAAATGCAATGCCATCGGTGCCTCGTCCGCAGGTGCCAGAGGAGCTTGCCAGGCCACGCGGCCCAGCACTGCAAACTTCTAGGGTTGACCCAGTCATCGCAAATGCGTCGGCACCGCGGTCTGCTGGGCTTTCGCAGCCACCTCGTCCTCGAGTCACGCCACCAAGGAAGCAAAATAGCTCGGGTCCGTTTTCGGCGCTAGGCGGATTCGCTACTGGTGCGCTCGGAGCCCTGGCCGACGCAGCAGAGAGGGCAGTGGATGTGGTGGGTGGAACGGTCGACGAGTTCGGCAACCTTCTCATGGTGCCGTCTGAGTCGTCGACACGTAGCGGGAGCAACAGTGCAGAAGCTTCTCCGCGCCGCCGCTATGCGCTGCTGTCCGAGAGGGAACAGAACGACCCGAATTCCAGCAGAGGTTCGCAGAGGACTGACGTCGGTCCGAATCGTGATTCGGGCAAATCGGCCCCAGCGTATCATCTCGACATGCCACGCGGCGTAAAAGAGCCACCGCTGCCAGAAGTCCTCCGTCAAAGTATGCGCGTAGCTGATAAGACACCATCGCAGCACGCCGATCCGCAAGCATTTGACATTCCAGACACGCCAGAAAGGAGGTCAATGGATGCGTCCACCTCCATCGTAGCGCCTGCGCCCGTTGCTGCTGCTCTGGATCTCTCCTCCGGTGACAGCTTCTCCATCGACGAGAACAACCAAGGTGAAGAGGTCTCATGGGCCGCTATGCATGATCTGCTGTCGGATCGCACCTCTCCTGCCTACGAAGCGTTTGAAAACTTCCTCGAACATCCCGGCAACCGCTTCTGCGCACCCAATGAGGGCGAGTCGCTCCTTCGACTCCATACCCAGCTCAACACTCTTGCGAGCATCATGGAGTTCGCTACGCTCGACGAGCAGACTTTCCGCGCGGATGCGAGCACCATCCTCAGCAAGGCCCTCGAGCAGCTGCCGAGCACGCTGCCGGCCACGCACGACGGCCAGCGCCCTATCTTGGTCAGAAGGAGTGCACAGCAAGTACTCACGAATCTGGAGTGGTGCGCAAACATGGATGTTGTCGAACCGTTGAGAGAAAACATCATTGCGAGGCTGGTTCAGCTGCACAACGCGTACCTCGTCAGCAATCAAAGTCGGCCGCAGAGCGCTCAGTCGAGTCCGGCTAAAGGCAGAGTTTCAGAGACACTGCCACGAACAGAATCGCCGGAACCCAATCAGCTTCGAGCTTTTCTTGATCGGGAAAACAGACCAAGCTTCTCGAGCATGGATTCCGATAGGGCTGCGTTCCGCTACGAACCGCGCAGGAAGGCAACGGCTCCTGCTGCGACCGTCACTTCGCTTCAGCCAGGGACGCAGACTCCGCCACGAACTCCGTCCGTCCCGCCTGGCGCAGCGGGTGCTCCGGTGATGGGTCCGCCGACCGGGCCGTCGAGGCCTATGTCGGTGCCTCCTCGTGTGCCGTCAGCGCCGCCCAAGGCGCATCAGATGGTCGTTCCTGGTAGCTCTTCTTCCGCACAGCCTGCCGTCCCAAGCCAGAGGAGCAGCATCGATCGCTCTTCCACTGTACAACTATCGCAGCCTCGCACCAGCACAGAAAGCTCTCGACCTTCTTCGTCGTCAAGCACGGTGGTCAGCGTCACCGACATTAGCGCCAATGCCGAGTCTGCTCGACCGGTCGATGTGCGCACTTTTGAGGTGATGATCTCCGTCGAAGGCGTATCCGATCCGAGCGATGCAACGCACAGTCCGGATGGCTTTGTCCTCGTTCGACGCTGGCATGAGTTCGAACAGATGGACGTCGAGATCCAACGTCAACCGCGCTCGAGCAATCCTCTCCCGCGCTTGCCGGTCGTCAAGGGCAGGAGGAGCGTGGAGGTGTGTAGGTTGCTGGAAGGGTATCTTTCCGAGCTGCTGGGTAGTAGGGCTCAGTTGGCGGGTATTGCGGGTGCGAAGAGGTTCTTTGATAGGACTAGGGCGGGGGCTACGGCGGAAGATCTGAGGAGGAAGGGTGGGCCCGGGGCGTTTTTGGGTGGGATCGGGAAGGGAATCGTGAGTGGCGTAGGGATGGTCGGGAAGCAAGCGGCAAAGACGGGAGCGACGGGTATGCAAGCGCTGTCGACAACGACGGGGATGCGAAACGATGTTTCGACCGATGGAGCGACGCCACCTCAATCTGGACCTGCTTTGGAGGCTCCTACGACAATCGGTCGCTCACCAGATCCTGCATCCCAGACGCGCTTCGTCCCGCACTCGCCCAACATGGAATCAGCCTCCAGCACAACCTCGGCCTTTGTCTCACGAACCAACTCTCCCTCGACCTCACCTTCTCGTCGACCGCCTCAAGCGTCTCCATCTGCTGGAGCCAAATCCGAACTGACAGCCAGACAGCTCGACATGATTCTATCGTCGATTTTTGCCGTTGCGGACGAAGCGTTCAACCTGCAAGGCGGATGGACGTTGCGTCGAGGTATGCTGAGGGTGTTGGAGCAGGTAGTACGCACTACGTACGCGACTTCCATTGTGTCTGGGTTTAACAACTCGGCTGCTAGTTTGAACGTCGATAATTTTGCAAAGTGGATCAGCGGGTTGACGGAGACCATGTGGCCGAACGGTAGGCGGTGGGGTTCGGAGGTCGGCACGAGCGACGAGAAGAAACCCCGATCGGCGGAGGAGAAGAGCAGGACCGCGGAGCGGGCTAGGGAGATCGTGGTGAGCTATGCACCTGCGCAGGCGGGGTATCTGTTGGGTCCCGGTGGAAAAGTCGCTTGTGTCAAGGCGTTGGCCGAGGTTCATGCGACGTTGATGGATGAGACCGCGAGTGCGGATTTGGGTCTCGTGGTCGTGCTCAAGGCGTTGGATATGGCGAGCAGGTGATGCGGTAGCAATTACAGCGTCAGGAAGGAACAGCACGAGAGGCAGGCGGACATCTCAGCAGACACTATCGACTATATGGTCAGCACCGGCGTCATTGATTCGTCGAGCGCGTTCAAAAGAAGCGGCGCTGTGGAGAAAGCAAATCAAGGATGATGGAGCGATAGAATTACATTGCTTTTCCTACAAATCAATCTCGCCAGGAATCCTTTCGGACCAGTGGCTGGCGAACCAATCGTGCATGATCGAGTTGAGCTTCTCTGTGCCCGATTCAGACTCCTTGATGTCGTCGTTGAGGCAGACGTAGGTTGTAGGGGTGACGGTGGTGAGTGTGTCGTCGACGGCTTGGAGCTGATGCGGGAGGCGGGAAGCGTATTCCACCTTATAGAACGTGGACGGCGTAGAGCCGAGGACGTACGAGTATCGTTGGATGAGGCGAGTGCACCACGTTCGGAGGGAGAGTGATGATCCAGAGGGATCGAGGGGGAATATGGATGAGAGGGAAAAGTCTGTGGACTGCCAATGGGAGGTGAGTGGAAGGTGGGCCTTGGAGTTCACCTCGGAAAAGGTGGGGTCGACACGGATGGTTGCGGTGGCGGGTGGAAGGAAGGCAGAGATTCCTTTGCGGCCAGAGGCGTTGAGGAGAGCGGCGACCAAGCAGTCGCCACATTGCGGCTGTTCGAATGCGATCCGTTTGAACAATCCATCTGCCGTCTCGTTGTCGATGCTTGGTGAGAGACACTGTGAAAGCGAAATGTGGCACACTTTGCGCGAGGTGCTCTCTGCAGAGGCAAACCACGATCTAGGATGCGCGCGGCTGCTTCCGTTTTCGCCGCCGCTGAGGTCAGGGTATCCGTTTCGAGTGCGCTCCCAGGGCCAGGTCCAGTCGAGATAGGAGAGCGCATAACCATCCTGTGACGAGAACGAGTATTGCGTGTTCTTGGGGGCAGGAACACCAGCCTGTTCAAAGGATTCCGAATCAGCATCTCTGGACTGACGAATCGGTCGTCGAACATCAATCTTGTCCCCCGCATCTCCTCCTGATGCCTTGCTGAGCTCTTCCCACATTGCTCGCTTCGTATCGCTCGAGAGGCTACCGTCTTCTCCACCCCATTTTGCGACCACCCATGTCCATAACAGAGCCTCTCGATGTCGTTCGACTATGTACCAGCTGGCCAAGAAGAAGGCTTGGATCGAATCGGGAACCTCCTTTTGCGCTCGGAATCTTGCTAGCGTCGTGTTTGAAAACGCATCGGGAAATGTTTGCGCCGCCTCCTTAAGCAAAGGCAAAGACAGGCTGCGAGGATGATGTGTAATGTAAGGCAGGGTACGCATCGAGAATCTCTGCCCCAATATCCATGCTGCCCGCTTAATTCCGACTTCTTCGCCAGCTGGATTCCACAGTCGTTGGAAAGGATGTTCCGACGGACGGTAGAAGGAGAAGAGGCGCGTGTCGCTCTTGACGACGGTACCAAAGAGCGGAGAAGTGAGGTCCGATACCTCATTGGAGACCATTGTGAAGAAATCGTCGTTTAGATAGACGAGCTGATCCGAGGATGCGTCGGGAAGGTTGAAAAGTTGCGATTCGACGGCGAGGCTGTTGAAACTGGGGAGCGTCTCTGAACGCCACGCATCGACATCTTTCGATGTGAGCAGGTTATCGCTGAGGCGCTGCATCGGACGAAAGTAAGCCGCATCGTGGTGGACTTGGATCTTCATGTCATCTGACACAAGCGAGGCGGACGTATTTAGCCAATACGGCACCTGGCCAATCATGATTCGTGCATCTTCGCCCCGCAATGTTAGCTGATCCACAGCATCCTCGGGCAGAGGATATGCAGAAGCCATGACATGCATTTTGCGGATCGCATTTGCTCCAAAGGACTTGTATGCTGATCTCATCGAATACAATAGCTCGTTGTGATCCGTATAGCGATGTGCAGCGTCGACATTGATCGGAGACGAGGGTTTGTACGCATTCCTGGCTAGCACTTGCGCAGGATCGCTGCCATTCACCCAGGCCCAAACCGCGTCGATCTTCAGCCCATCACTGAGATCCGTGCTACGACAGGCAGCACCCCAGCGATGATGTACGACCCAGTGCTCGATACACTCGTCGCTAAGCGCGTCGTAGGCACGGATGGGGAGCACTTCCCTCGAGGCGACGCCTGGTGATTTGTCGTGGAAGAGACGGTGTACTGACGTTGCTGCATTCTGAGGCGCATTGCTCGAGAATGTCTTTTGGATATATGAGGAGGTTGCGAGCTGCTGATTGAGGAGGTCGAGCATTTTGGTTCTAGCTTCTTCGGAGGCTTCTGGTGAAGTGCGGAAAAAGTGTTGGACAGCAGTGTGCGCTGCATAGGCGAAAGCAAGCAGCAAGACCAATAGCCTGACGTGCCATGAAAGAGACCTTCGACGTACCCCGGCTTTGTTGGACAGACCTCGGAAAGGACCCGCAGATGTGGGAGATACTGGCGGTGTGTCGGATAGACTACCTTGGCTACTGACGCTTCCTCTTGGTGTGCTGGTCGCGAGGGGAAGATACTGTCTGTATTTGTGTGAGGAGGGTTCGGTCAACGGCCGAAGATATCGTGACATGGTGAAGAGCCGGCCTTGTCCTGGTCGGTTGTCGTTGATCGCAAAACGATGGTGTCGGTAGGTGGTCTTGATAAAGTGTGAGCGGCCTTGGCAGTGACAGAACACGTGAATCTCTGTGAGGACTTGACCGAAATGGCCTTTACGTCGCGAAGTGCGTCGCTATGTGTTCGAGATCGAAAGACGTTGTCAGAGGGCTGTTTGATGGCTCTTTCTAGGCACACGAGCTCAGGGATGAAGGTATGAGACTAACAGGTGAAGGAAGCGGAGTTGCTGAGAGGAGGTCAACATTGAAGGCAAAGGCCGGTTTGCAGTTCGCCAAACTGCAACCGGTGAGCACGTCGCATCCTCTCATCTTGAGCTGGCCTACGCCTTCGTCGGTTATTCCGAACGAGTCGGAAGATAGCGAGTGTTCAGTCCCGAGACGAAGCCTCCCATCAGGTCAAGTGGGGATGAGGCCACTGTACCTCTTGCGATGTGATGCAGGGGAAGTCTGTGTGCTTCGGAGAGGCGCATTTTCAGTCAGCCAGGAAGCGGAGCAAACGATGGAAGAGACCCTGAATCATCGCATCATGTGGTGTTGTGCATGTGACAGCAAGTGCATGCGAAGAGAGATTGGTGACAGTATCGTGTGAGCAAGGTCGAAACTTGTACAGTATGCCAAGGCGAGGCAAGCGAGCTGCAAAGAGCAGCCGACGCTCACAGTCGAGTCTATTGTCGCGAGTTCCGGAATGTGACGCCGATCCGGGCGTTCGGCTTGCTCATCACCGAGAGATTGTCGAAGGTTGCAGTGACTCTGAGGACAAGCTGCACCAACATTTCGAGGGCAGTGACGCAGCGAAGGGAAAGTGTACACATGATGACAAGGTCACACGAGTAGCGAACAGGCGCTTGCCCTGTCTGACGTGCCAAGCTTTTTCATTATTTGCTTTTCAACATAATCGCATCGGAACAATTTTGCTTGGACGCGATGCTCGCCTGCGCATCGCTGTTTTCTGCAGCTTGCCCTTGTTGGTCTCGCTCAGCAAGCATTTTCGTTCCTTGGTACAACTGTACCGACCATCACACGAACATTCTCATCTGCTGCCAGCCATTCTACCTGACTCCTCAGAAAGGCGGACCGAGCAAAGAAGGAAGACAAGATGCGTGCGGAACGTCGCCAAGATCCGCGTGGATGCGTGACCGCGTGGCTGATCCGCTGGTACGGAAGCGTGCGGTCCTCGACCACACGCGGAATGACGCTAAGGCATAACGGCCTCCTCGAACCGTGCAGCTTGTCTCATTGCCGCCAAATTGTCGCGAGGGCCTTAAAAGCTCCGTTGACCGAGCTAGGTTACATGTACCACTGCAGTCGAGCCTTTCCATCTGGCCCCGACTGGATATGTTGGTCGCCGCTGATGCTCGGAGAGCCTGTCGGAAAGCGACAGCCGGCATTCTGAATGTTTACTCTGTCGTGGAATGCAGAGATTTGCGGAAAATTTTCCACATGCACACCATGCGTCAGCAAGACATGCATCGACGACAGGCGCTCGATCGCGCACCGCGTCTTCAGCAGCCAGCGCGGAAAAGAGCGGCTTGACGCTGCTGCCCAAGTACGGAACGAGGCTAGAGGATCATGCGGATCGGACCGCATGGTCGGATTGTCGGTTAAATTTTGGACACGAAAAAGCATGGCGTCTCGCGTTCTGCACCGGAAGCCACGGATCTTGGCAGGCACCACCTCTTCGCAGCAACGCAGTTGCTGCAAGCGATTCCGCGGCAATTTCCAGCCGTATCAGTTGGAGTCGAGCTAAAGGTTCCCGCGGAGTTCCCAGATAGCGATGACATCGACGAATCACTGTCAACAGTGTCCTTTGATAAGTCAACGAACATGGTAGCCGTTTTGTAACGGCGAACTTGTAACATGTTCCGGGCCGGCTTCGATTGTAACAGCTGCAAATATCGTCATCGTGTTTTTATGTTAGACCGTATGCATCGTACCAATGTAAAAACTAAATCTTAATTGGGGTAGCACTCCCGATGTGAGAAGATCGGCGATCTTCTTGTATCTCCTGCCATGACTTGAGATGGCGGTCACGGTCGTAACGACCAAGAGCAGCGGCTCGCGCCTACTGTGGCACACACGACACGCAGCAGCAAGGTGCGGCTCTAGATGCGGGGAAAATGCCAACCAGACCGTCCATTGCACCTGCAGCAGTTCTCCTCGCGTCGAGAAAGTCCGGGGTGCTGCCGAGGCGGGAGGAGGAAAGGGGAAAAGGGTTGCATCTCGCTTGACGGCAGTGTCAAGCTAGACAGCACATGTGCTCGAATGGCGTTGGCTGCCGTGGAGCTGCGCTTTGCATGGGCCGCAGCCTCTTACCCCGCAAGCAGCCGCAGCAAGGGTGCAGAGGGCCTCTGCTTTGTCTCGTCGTGTCGACTCCGCCAGATTAGCGCTCGCTGTCATGGAGGAGCGGAGCCAAAGCGTGCAACCGAAGACCCTAGGCCCCTTTGGCTCTCGGCTGTCTCTGTCTTGCTTTGTGCCTAGCTTTCAGCACAGCACCACGTTGTTGTTGTCGTCGTCGTCGTCGCGACAATGACAGTATCTGCGATTATCTGAGGTGATCAACGGCGCTTGCAGGCGCCTATGAAACGGTCGAGTTGCGCAAAGCAAGGTCTGTATGAATTGAGTCGTGATGTTCACACAGCGCTAACAGGGGCACGTATTATTTCGGACGAGTCAAGTAAGTCGGAGGCGGGGTCGCTTGCATGTTGGTGCATTTCACGCGCATTGATAGCCGCCGCTTTTGCCTCTGCGTTGGTACGACATCATTCCGCGCGCGCGCCAGGTCTACCGACTCGAAAGTCCAACAAGCTTGCTCACGGGCACGTACACTGCCGGGTATGACCAAGTCGACCGTATTAGCAAAGCTCACATTCAAAGAAGGTGGCAAAGCGTTAGAAGGAAGGGAGAAAGGGCTCAGCTGGAAGATTCTATAATCGCCAGGGTTTCGGCGAAGGGTCCTGCTTCCTGATCGACGACAGCCAAACGAATCTCCTGTTTGGTGAGCGTGAAAGACGTGAACTGCAGTGCAGCGGTGCGGATTACAAAATAGACTCTCTCCCATTCGCGCGCGCGAGACAGCGAACTTACTTTTTAACAATTTGGCCTGCAACAGCGGTGCGACCCTTGACAAGAAAAAAGAAGAGAAAAAGGCAATCCGACCCTCGCATGCAGCGCGCTCCAACCGGCTGAGATTCTGAATCGACTTCCGGTCCAATCTACTGCCGTACTCCGACCGAAAAGCTGCGGTGCTTTCTCGACACTCACTGGAATTCAACGAGCCTCCTCCTCGCAAGACCGAGAGCTCAAGCCCATACTGCAACTGCTTCTCAGCTGTAAGCGAGCCACTTGCTGTCAGGATGCGAAAGAGCAAGCTGGTCCATCAGCGATGCCTGTTTGCCAGCAAAATGTCGCGATATGTTCTTTGTGCCTGTGTGAGAGTGTGCACGAGCTCAAGAGATACCAAACAGCGGTTGACTCTGCCTAAGCTTTTCTTTGTGAGAGAGAGATGCATGCACGCTGTTGCTACCCCGCATCCCGCGTACAGTCAGACAGCTTGCTTGTGTCCGCCTGCGCCTCGGCTGATTGCAGAGAAAGGGAGAGGCCTGTTCATTTCACACGATGCCTCCCTCGCCTCGCCGTTGCCAGCCATTTCTGCTTTGCAATCAGAGCCCTTCAATTGCCCTCTCTGCCTCCGCCACCAAGCCAATCTTCCCCCTTTGCAACTCCTCGTCGGGACTTCCTTCCTTCCCTCCTTACCTCAACCTCTGTCCCTAACCCGCCATCCCCTCCTCCCTCCCACCACCTTCTATTCGCACACATACCTCAACATGTCTGCACAGCTCAAGCAGCCTTCCACCACGCCTCAGCGCAAGGAGTACACCCGTGATGAGGTCGCCAAGCACAACAAGCCCGGCGATCTCTGGGTCGTCATCGACGCCGAGATCTACAACGTCTCCAAGTTCGCCGAGCTCCATCCCGGTGGCGAGAACGTCTTCCACGATGAAGAGGTAGCTGGTCAGGATGCCACCGAGACCTTCTTCGGTCTCCACCGCCGCGAGATCCTCGCCAAGCCCCAGTACCAGCGTCTCATCATCGGCAACATCAAGGGCGAAGAGTCCAAGCTCAAGCCCGACCCAGTTGGAAGCCCTTCGCGTGTCCCTTACGGCGAACCCACCTGGCTCGCCACCGCCTACCACTCGCCCTACTACAACGACTCGCACCGTCACCTCCAGCGCGAGTGGCGCAAGTTTGTCGACGAGCACGTCGTCGAGGTCGCCCAGCGTTGCGAGGACAGCGGCAAGCGTCCCGACGTCGAGCTCGTCAAGATGATGGGTCAAAACGGCATCAACGCCATGCGAATGGGTCCCGGAAAGCACCTTCACGGCCGCAAGCTCTTCGCCGGCATCAAGGGCGAGGAGTTCGACTACTTCCACGAGCTCATCCTCACACAGGAGCTGGTCCGATGCGGTGCGCGTGGTTTCGGTGACGGTCTCAACGGAGGCATGGTCATCGGTCTTCCTCCCGTCATGAACTTCGGTACGGACGAGCTCAAGAAGGAGATCGTCGAGCCCGTTCTCGCCGGTGACAAGTTCATCTGTCTTGCCATCTCGGAGGCTTTCGCCGGTTCCGACGTCATGGGTCTCCGCACCACCGCTACTCTCTCGGAGGACGGCGAGCACTACATTGTCAACGGCACCAAGAAGTGGATCACCAACGGCACGTTTGCCGACTACTTCTCGACCGCTGTCAAGACGGACCAAGGATTCGCCATGATCTGCATCCCCCGCTCGTGCGGTAACATCGAGACCAAGCAGATCAAGACCTCGTACTCGACCACCGCAGGTACTGCCTACGTCACCTTTGACAACGTCAAGGTGCCCAAGAAGTACCTCATCGGCGAGGACGGCATGGGTATCTACTACATCCTCTCCAACTTCAACCACGAGCGATGGGTCATGTGCTGCTCCACCATCCGTGCTGCACGTGCCGTGTGCGAGGAGTGCATGCTCTGGATCCACCAGCGCAAGGTGTTCGGCAAGCCGCTCACCAGCCAGCCCGTCATCCGTCAGAAGATGGCGCAGATGATCTCGCTCGTCGAAGCAGCCCAGAACTGGTTGGAGAACATCACGTACCAGATGTGCAAGATGTCGTACGCCCAACAGTCCAAGTTCCTCGCCGGTCAGGTCGGTCTGCTCAAGAGCTGGTCCACGCGTGTCTCGCACGAGGTCGCCGACGGCGCCGTCCAGATCTTCGGTGGCCGTGGTCTCACAAAGACCGGCATGGGCAAGTTCACCGAGATGTTCCACCGAACCTATAAGTTCGACGCCGTACTGGGTGGCAGTGAGGAGGTCCTCGCCGATTTGGGTATCCGACAGGCGCTCAGGATGATGCCTGAGAACGCTCGTTTGTAAGCGCAACGGTGATGGATGGCTCGTCTTGATGAAGAATAGGATCTTTTTCTTATGCACTGCAGCTTGTGAAGTGTGATACGATGAGACTGTGTGTGTGTTCGGCTCAGGTGAGAGGAAAGAAAGGTAGAGCTGATCTGAGAATGTGCATTACGATGAGTGAGACTGGTGTGAGTGCAGTAAGAACAATGTGATGAAGCGGAAGAGCCGATCTCGAAACATCAACGACGGCCTTTGCCTTTGGCCTGTGCCTTCTTGAGCGACTTCTGCATGAGCTTCTGATCTTCGGGGTTATCCAACAACACCAGACCTCCGTCTTGCTCCTGCGCCTCCTCGTCATCCTCCTCATCATTGACGATACCCGCCGAGCTCGATTCGTCCTTCTGACTCTTCCCAGCGCCACCGTTGTTGGTGGAAGGCGGGTTGACCTTCAACTTGCAAACAAAGAAGCCGTCCAGATTATGCACGTGTGGGAAGATTCGCCTTGCATACACCATCCTCTCATCAAACTTGCTCCTCCCGAAGCTCTTGAATCCGTCTCTGCCGAATTGGATGCCCGTGTCGACGATCTTGACGTTGCTCCTCTTGCGCAACGCATACTGCACCACCTCCTCGTTCTCTTCCACCATGACGGAACAGGTCGAATAAACGACGTAGCCGCCGGTGCTGGATCGCGGGTTGACAGAATCGATGGCACACAGCAGCAGTTGCTTCTGCAAATGCGTCAAAAGGGCGAAATCGCGTTCCGACTTGTTGACTTTGACCGACTGATCCTTGTGGATCACACCCGTACCGGAGCAAGGCGAGTCGAGCAGCACACGATCGAACCCGCCGATGACCTTGGGGAACTGGCGACCGTCGTAGTTGCAGACGACGACGTTCTTGCAGCCCAAACGGTGGATGTTGGCGACGAGCGACTTGATGCGGTTCTTGTTCGAGTCGTTGGCGAACACGGTACCCGTATTTTGCATGAGCGCCGAGAGGTAGGTGGACTTGCCACCGGGTGCCGAAGCCATGTCCAGGACGCGCTCGTTTGGTTGCGGTGCGAGGGCGATGCAGGGGAGGAAACTCGAGGCGGCTTGAAGCATGTAGTGCCCAGCGAGGTACTCTGGTGTCGCACCGATGGGCACGCTCGACTCGAAGACCTGAAGGCCCACTTTGCTCCACGCTCCGATGGGTTCGAGGTTGACACCGCGGTTGATGAGGGCTTGTGCCAGGTCTCTGCGCCTTGTGCGCAGCGTGTTGGCTCGGATGGTGACGGGTCGGGGAGTCTCGTTAGCCTCAAAAAACTCGATGGCCTCGGCGGGGGTGAAGAGCTCGAACAGCTTCTCGGCGAGGAAGGTGTTGTAGCCGTAGTAGGTGCAAATGTCGGCGAGGAGCTGCTCGATGTACTCGGAGCGAGATCGGCCGTCGACGGCGAGCTTTTTGAAGTTGGAGAGCACGGTGACGACCTCCTGGATGCGCATGTGGACGAGTTGGAGATCGGCGCCACGCATCTTTTCGGCTTCGCGCTCTTCCAATGTGGGCAGCATGAACTCGGCTCCTCCTGCTTCTTCGTCGTCCTCGTCCTCGTCGTCATCATCTTCTTCCTCATCCTCATCATCGAGCTCGACCTCGTCTCCTTCTTCTGCTTCGAGATCCTCGTCGCCAAGGTCAAACTCATCGCCGAGCTCCTCTTGCTCTGAGCCTTCCTCGAGCTCTTCATCCGAGCCTTCAAGATCGACTTCGTCGTCGTCGTCTCCCACGTCGTCATCGGAATCGAGAGAAAGACCCTGACTCTTGAGCAGCTCTTCGAGACGTTCTGCTTCTGCCAGTGCCTTCTTGCGTTGCCTGTCTGTAAGCTTGCCATTCTTTGGCAGACCGAGTGCTTCCAATGGGTCGTCCTCTTCCTCTTCCTCTACATCCTCCTCGTCAATGGCCTCATCGTCGTCTTCATCAGCGCTCTCCTCTTCTTCACCGTCCTCGCCAACTAGCTCTTCCTCGTCGAAATCGTCCTCATCCTCCTCATCATCGTCGCTTGCCTCCTCGACCTGCACCACGCGGGGCTTGCCCTTTCCATTGGCATTCAACTTGGACCCTGAAGCCTTACTGGACCTAGCCACCGCTGCTGCTGCACTAGATGTCGGTGCTGATGTGCGAGCCTTACTTGTCGTTGATGTCGCGGCGATTTTTGGCTTCTTGGCGGGGACGCTGGATTCCTGTGCTTTGCGTTTGCCCTTGTTGACCTTGTCGAGCGAGTGGTCCTCGCGCAATGGCTGAGGTGCGGCCTGCTTGTTCTTCGATCTTCGTCCCATCATGCAAATGTCTGTGTAGGGTGGTGATGGGAAGCGAGAGAGTACTGTGGAAGAACGGGTCTGACAGCTTCTTCTCGAAAAGAGGGTCTGACCTGTGACGCTGCAGCAAAAAAGAAAATTTTGGACGCATCGCTCATGCATTTCGCAAAATTTTCGGAAGAGCCGAATTAGAAAGTGAGGCTGCTGTGTAGTAAAGGTCTAACACTTGGAATACAGAGATCGGGCGGGTCGCCGATCCGAATGGCTCGGATTTTAGGCCGCACTTTACGCATTCTCTTTCCGCTGACACATGAGTCAAATTCTCGGTCATATCGTCATTAAGCGGAGTCAGACCGGAATTGGGCGAGCACGGGCCCGTCATGCTTCTTCAACTCCACTTCCAGTGCTGCAGCAGCCATTTCGGTATATAACCTCGCTTGCTCTGACTTGTCCTGATCCAAAACCTTCCTCCATCCATAAGCATTCTCCCACTCCGTCGTCAGCTTTTTGCTCACGACACTCTTGCACGCTTGGCAAGATTCTGCTTCGTCCTCTGCTTCGAACGGCCGCCACCACCAACCAGGCCCTTGCTCTATCTCGCTCGTTCGCATCCCTCTCTGCCCCTCGGCTGCAACCCCGTCCCACCGCAACGACTCGCCTTTCCGTCGCCGCCTTTTCCACATCTGCTGCGAACATGTCGTCTCAGGACAACTCCAAGAAGGACGGCTCGGCCGACTGGTCCAATAAGGACGGTCATTTCCGACGACAAGAGTCCTCCTTCCGCACCTCGATCGAGAAGGGCGGCAAGCACGAACCTGAAGTCGGTCGTTACCACCTCGTCGTTGCCCTCGCTTGTCCCTGGGCACACCGATCGCTCATCGTTCGTAAGCTCAAGGGCATCGATCGCGTCCCCGATCTGCTGCCCGTTCACGTCGTCGATTCGCTCCTTGGCAGTGAAGGCTGGAGCTTCGTCCCCTACGAAGAGCCCAAGGGCTACGGTGTTCCCGGAACCGGAAACAAGATCCCCGGTCACGAGGACAAGAAGCGCATTCGGGAGCTCTACAAGGCTGCCGATCCAAACTACGAGCAGCGATGCACCGTCCCCATCATTTGGGATAACAAGCTGAACACCATCGTCAACAACGAATCAAGCGAAGTGATCCGTAACCTCAACTACGCTTTCGACGACTTCGTCCCCGAAGAGTTCCGTGGCGTCACTTACTACCCCGAGGACCTCGCCAAAGACATCGACGCGTTCCACGAATGGGTCTACCCCACCATCAACAACGGCGTCTACAAGTGCGGCTTCGCCACCCTCCAAGACGCCTACGAATCCAACGTCAAGCCCCTCTTCGAGAGCCTCGATCGCGTCGAAAAGATGTTGGAAGACGGCAGAACCTATCTGTACGCCGACAAGCTGACCGAAGCCGACATCAGGCTCTTCACCACCATCATCCGATTCGATCCCGTCTACTTTACCCACTTCAAGTGCAACTACAGGACCATCCGAGATGGCTACCCCAAGATCAACAAGTGGATGCAGAATCTTTACTGGAACAATCCCGCCTTCAAGGACACCACTGATTTCGACAGCATCAAGGCTCACTACTTCCAGAGTCACACCAACATCAACCCGCACAGAATCGTTCCGGAAGGTCCAGTACCGCACATCTTGCCTCTGGAAAAGTGATTCTCCTTTCTTCCAAATGTAATTTAGTCTTCACATGCTGCGTTGGAATACTGTAATTCGTCCTCGGAAATCCTGCTATGCTGCCCATACGTGCGTGTCACCCATCCTCCGCCGCATCACCCATCAACCCCAACTCCCTCGTCAGATCCGCTACATGTCTCTCCCTCTTCTCCAAAATATTCGCATACCTGATCCCCGCCTTCAAGTCGCTACACGCCAAACTGATCAACCTATCCACGGCAAACAACCTGCTCGTCAACGAATGCGCTAGTCCGTAAAAGGCGCTCGCACTCGTCGTCGCCAGCAACTCCTTCTCGTACAGCTTGAGGATGGCCATCGCTACTCGGAAGAGTATCACCATTCCTTCGACGAACATCACGTCCCATACTCGAAAGAGTGTTTCCACCGGAAGACAGTCCGTGTACAGCGAGAGGAACCACGCGAACGTGATCGCCGGCAGATCGACCCCGAGTTCGCCCATGTGCGCGTGAAGCGCAGGCATGTGCTCCGAAACTAGCTCGATCAGCACTCGTTGATCCGCCTGCGAAACCAGCAGATGCGACGTGTAGTATTCGCTCGGAAGGATCTTCTCGATGAGACACACGAGCACCCAGAACGCCTCCTCCTCGGTCGCGTGTGTCAGCAACAGCGTCGCCGCGAGGTTGTTCATCCCTTGACAGTACCCTGTGCTCGGATTGTACCAGCTAAACGCAACGAGCAAGCGACGAAGTTTGGGCACCCCTTGACCATCCCCTCCAAAATAGACGTTGGTGGGCATCGTGCGGTGGACGTCCAGGTCGATCTGTGTGAGGCAGTCGTTGGTCTCGCCTTGATGATCCGACAAAAGCTCTTGATAGCGTCCTGGTTCCGCGACGTCGTTCGCACCGCTGCATTCGGCCCAGATACGCGCACGGTAGCAAAGAGGGATACCAGACTGGCACAGCGACAGGAACTCACGCCAGTCCTCCTTGCCGCTTTTGGAGTCACCCATACGGTTGACGCCTACCATGCCCGAGGACCAGTCTTCTTCCGGCGCCTTCTCGGCCGATCCGAGCGCTTTGGCTCCGTCTGCGGATGCACCTCCTCCGAAACGCGTGCCTGCCAAAAGTGCTTTCGTTTTCGAGGCCGTGCTTGTCGCCGAGGTCTTCGTCGAGTTGCCATTCGCCGCAGAGGGCCCATTGGTACCGCCACTATCACCATTGCTGGTGCTGTTGACGTTGCCCACGCCGTTGCCCTCGACGCTAGCCTGGAGGCGCGCGCGTCTTCGTTCCAGGAATGCATCCCACTGCTGCTTCTGCTCGATTTGCTGCGAGTCATGCATCTCTTTCAGCTGTGTAAGCAGTCGGCGCACCGTGTTCGAAATGGACGGGAGACCACCCTGCGCTAGGCCACCGGCCTTGACTGGACTGCTAGACCTGGAAGATGCGTTGGATCGTGTGCCGCGTCGATCCTTCTTTGGACTGCCGCGAGAGGCGGCTGACGACGGTTTGGAGACCGCACTGACTGGCAGCACTTCGGCTTGCACTGGCCTGCTGTCCGGAACAGTCAACAGCTTGCTGCGACGCTTCGCTCGCTTCGCCTTGGTGCTGGCATCACCCGCAGTTGTCCCATCATCGGAAGCAAAGCCCTCGACCGCCGACGTCGCGCCAGCCGAAGGGGTTGGCGAGACCGACCTGGAAGTAGACTGCAGTTGAAGGTCGTTGTGATTCAGCTGCGGCGAAATCGGTCTTGCACGCGACAAAGCCAGCTCGTCTTCGGACGAATCGGCTGTGTCGAGGTCCGGATCATTCTTGTCGTCCTCGCTCTGGCTGTCGGTGCCACCGCGCGCGCGAATGCCCACCTTGATGCCGGTCAGCGTCGCTGGTGCTGGCGCAGAAGCTTTCCTCGCTTGTCGCAGCAGGCGGATATCGGCATCGGTCGGATTGTAGATGAATCCGTAGCGGTCAGTGAGGACATCGATCTCTTCTTCGGATTCGCTGTCGGTGCCCGAACCCTCGACGGGCCGAATGACGATCGACGAGTCGCCTGGCATGAACGTAGCCGAAGGCGCTCCCGCTGAGCCCGCTGGCGCTGGGGAGGCCTGTTCCGTCATGTTCGTGAAACCAGGGACGGGTGCTTTGCCGCCGTACACCTCAAACTCATCCCCAGAGCTTTCTTCCTCGTCCAACGTACTCAGACGAGCGTTGCGTTTCTTCTTCGCCGACACTGGCGTATCGCTGACTTCGGATGAAGGCGCGACGCCATTGCTGCTTGCAATCGCTTCACCTCTGGTGGCATGATCCTCGACTTTGGTGCTGCTGCTGGATGAAATACCAAGACCTGTATTGCCCGATCTGCTCTTTCTGCCTTTCGTTTTGCGACGGATTAGCGTGGGAGGAGCGGCCTCGTTGGGCAGAATAGGTTCGAGCTCAACAGCAGCGTTGGGAGGACGCGGAGACGGAGCTCCGAGAATGGCACTGCTCTCGGGTGCAGAGAGCGACTGCGTTGGATCGGTGCTGCGGCGATCGAACTGGTACGTATCTGGCAAACGTGTGACATTCGGCTGTGGTGCTGTAGGCGGCGTCTCGGGTGCTGGCGACGAGCGTGTATAGCGGCCGAACGCACGAGCAAAGGTCGAGGCCGAGGCCGCTTTGCTCGACTTGGATCCACTAACGGCGCGGTTCCCGTTGACGTCGGCCGCGGCGGCTGCAGCCGTCTGAGCCATCTCGCGTCGACCGGGACTGGTCGCCTTGACCATGCTCTGAGCAGTGCTAGGAGCGCCTTTGCGCGACGCGCCGCCCGCTGACCACGGAAGCAATCCGCTCGCCCAATCTCCGAGACCGCCGCCAACTGAGATGCTGGAAGAGGTGGATCTGGCTCGGGGAGACGCGACACCGGGCGATTTGGATCTGTAGAGCAGTTGAGGAGAAGCAGGAGGTTGTGGAGACGACTTAACGACAGCGCTGCGATGGTTAGACGATGGGCTGGTGCTGATGCTTTCGGTGACCGATGCGGCCGACGACTTGAGGCTGCGGCTGTCCGTATCCTTGTCATGTGTTGACGCAATCGAGATGGAGAGCGACTTGCCGCGAGAACGTTTGGCTTGAGTTGCATCGATCGAGGCTGCTGTCTTGTGGGATCGTATCGAGGGGCTCCGTTCAGGAGCCGGAGCCTGTACGACGCTGTGGATGCTCGCAGGCTTCAGTGAGGGAGAGCGAGTCACGGCCGATGTATTGGCGACGCCTTCAAGGTCGTCGAGCATGGCCTCTTGAAGCGAATCGGGGAGAGCTCGGTCCATTCGATCAGCAGGTGGCTCAACGCCGGCTTTTTCTTGAGCGATGCTCTGTTGCTTTTCAGCCATGCGTTTTCGTTTCAGCACTTCGGCATCGAGGATGGGCGCACGCAGCAGACTGCGGTTGATTTGGCCTTGCTTGATGCCATTCTCAAGACAGAGCGAGGTGAGGGCTGCTTCGCGTGATTCGCTCCGCTGCTGTTGGTGTTCGATGGTGCTTGCGTGCTGATCGCGTTCCAGATCGATGGCTGTGCGCAGCTTGTCGAGGTCGTTGTGTGCTTCCGCCAATGCTCGTGAGAGCGCTTTCGTGAGCTGAATGGCGTACGACGGCGGCCTCGTCTCTTTTCGACCGGAAGAGGAGGAGGATTTGACAGGCGTCGATTCGTGCGGCTGTTGTGAGGTGATGGGGCGATGCGATAGGGGGCCCGATAGGGCCGAGTCGAGGTCGCCGTCGCCGAGTCGATGGAGCTGTTGAAGCCATTCTAGCGGGAACTCGACCTCGCGTGCCATGTCGTGAACTCGATTGTTTGCATTGCTGTCATTGGGTGTTGAACTGCGCAGTCTGCGTCCCTCGGATGGCGATGAGGCACCGTCCCTGCGACTGGCACGCGAGCTTGGTCGATCGAGGTGATGTTTGGGCATGGGTGTTTGGTCCGGAGACGCGGTCGAAAAGGCATGCGACGCGCGAAGCTGCGAAGACCTGGGTGGTCTTGACGCTGAAGGCTCAAGATCAAAGATGTGCGGAGAGGACGGCGCAGGTCCGCCAAAGAGCGAGTCGTCGGGCAGCGACGCCTCGTCAGCATCATCGAACTGGAGGTCGTAGCTGCTCACGCGGCTGGTGCGCGGGATGTACGATGTGGACGGATGAGCTTCCTCGACGGCAGATCCAGAAGCGCGCGAGTAGAACACATCGTCATCGACAGGAGCAGGACGATGTGTGCCGGCTGCTGAGGCGGATGACGATGAAGAGGGAGTAGCGCCGTCATTGTAGGATGATGTGCGGCTGACTGAGCGTCTTGAGAGGTTGTTGTGGGACTCGGCGCTGTAGTCCACTTGCGCTGCCTTGCGCTGACCCCAGATGGGTCGATTGACGAGCGAAGAGGGACCAGGCGACTTTGTCGGTGACTCTCCTGAAAAGAGCGGATGTGCCTGCGCCAGGCTGGAAGATCGAGCCGGCGAAGTCATGATGGCTACGAGAGCTGCTTGTGCTGAGAATGAATCGGAACTGATACGCAAATACCTAGTAGCCCCGGACGACAACGTCGAGCGAGCGCTTCACGGCTGCATGTGACGGTACTCCCGACGCTTCGGCAACGCCCCGCTTGTATGATCGTGGTATTGCAAGGTCCAGCGACTGGAGAGTGCCGGGTTTGTCGATTTGCTGTGATGACAGTGAGTGTAGTCAGTGCGTGAGAGACGGATCGGATGGGCCGAGCAAGGACTCCGCATCGACGCTTGGCTCCGCTGTGGTGGCTGCGAGATGCAAACGTCGGGAACAGACTTGTGGAATCAAGTGTTGGTTTCTCGCCGTGCATCGAGCGCGTCGGGAGTCGCTTTTCGGCCTGCCTTTCCAAATGTGGAGCTGACTGGGCGTGGGCACCTGATCGGGTCATCCCGATTCACGATTAGACTCAGCTTCTGGCGAGAAGCATATTGGACCCTCTCCAACGCAGCTAAACACATTCTTCTTCCTGACCATCCTCGTCTGGGTCCAAACATCCTTAATCATAGACATGGCGCCATCTGTGGTCCCGCAGTCTTCGGCAGGCGGTGCTGCTTTGCAGGCATCTGCCGATGACCAGCTCACCATCGAGATGCTCGGCGCAGGCCAAGAGGTCGGTCGCTCCTGCTGCGTCCTCAAGTACAAGGGCAAAACCATCGTCTGCGATACGGGCGTCCATCCTGCCTTCACCGGAATCGCTGCGCTACCCTTCATCGACGAGCTCGACTGGTCGACAGTCGATGCCATCCTCATCACACACTTCCACCTCGACCATGCAGCCGCTCTCACCTACATCATGGAAAAGACCAACTTTCGCGATGGCCACGGCAAGGTCTACATGACGCATCCCACAAAGGCCGTCTATCGCTTCCTCATGTCCGACTTTGTCCGTATCAGCAACGCTGGTAATGACGACAATCTCTTTGACGAAAACGAGATGCTGGCTTCGTGGCGTCAGATTGAAGCCGTCGATTTCCACCAGGACGTCTCGATTGCAGGTGGTCTTCGCTTCACCGCCTACCACGCAGGCCACGTGCTCGGAGCGTGTATGTTCCTCATCGAAATCGCTGGTCTACGCATCCTCTATACGGGTGACTTCAGCCGCGAGGAGGATCGGCACCTCGTTCAGGCCGAGATCCCACCCGTCAAGCCAGACGTGCTCATTTGCGAATCCACCTACGGCACGCAGACCCACGAGCCTCGTCTCGATAAGGAGCATCGCTTCACTTCGCAGATACACCACATCATCAAGCGCGGCGGTCGCGTCCTCTTGCCCGTCTTTGTGCTCGGCAGAGCTCAGGAGCTGCTGTTGCTCTTGGACGAATACTGGGCTGCCCATCCCGAGCTTCACAGCGTACCCATCTACTACGCATCGGCACTGGCCAAAAAGTGCATCTCGGTCTACCAGACCTACATCCACACCATGAACGACCACATTCGCACGCGATTCAATCGTCGCGATAACCCATTCGTGTTCAAGCACATCTCCAACCTTCGATCGCTCGAAAAATTTGAGGATCGAGGTCCTTGCGTCATGATGGCATCGCCCGGATTCATGCAATCGGGAGTCTCGCGCGAGCTCCTCGAGAGGTGGGCGCCGGACAAGCGCAACGGCCTCATCGTATCGGGATACTCGGTCGAAGGTACCATGGCACGCAACATTCTCAACGAGCCCGACGACATTATTGGCATGAACGGTCAAAAGATCCCACGCCGCATGTCGGTCGACTACATCTCCTTTTCTGCGCATGTCGACTTTGCTCAGAACTCGCGCTTCATCGATGAGATCAAGGCGCAGCACATCGTTCTGGTGCACGGCGAGCAGAACAACATGTCCAAGCTTCGGGCCGCGTTGCAAGCACGCTTCACGGCGCGTGGCTCGGACACCAAGATTCACACGCCGCGGAACTGCGAGCCGCTCGTGTTGCAGTTTCGCGCACAACGCACCGCCAAGGCGATCGGCGCCATTGCTGCGAAACCGCCGGCGCAGGGCGACGTCGTCGACGGTCTGCTCATCAGCAAGGATTTCGCGTATACCATTCTCGACCCCAAGGATCTGACCGATTTCACCGGTCTGTCGACGAGCACCATCGTTCAACGTCAGCGCGTGGCGCTCGCCGTGAGCTGGGAGATGGTGCGGTGGCATCTGCAGGGCATGTACGGTCGACTTCAAGAGGGTGTGGATGCGGAAGAAGGGTTGCGAACGCTACGCATCATGGGTTCGGTGGATGTGCGGCAGAGCGCGCGTCACGAGCTGTTGGTCGAGTGGGTGAGCAGTATCGCCAACGACATGGTGGCGGATAGCATTGTCGCGCTGCTGTTAGGCATCGACAGTGCGCCTTCGAGTGTCAAGATGACCATGCACAGCCACAGTCATCATCACGCTGCGGATGGCAAGGCGGAAGGATCGGAGGAGGATACGGAAGCGGAAGCAACAACAGATGAAGAGGCGCTCACACCTAAAGAGGGCGGTACAGGCTTGTCGGTGCATCCGTTCTCAGAACAGGGCCTGTTGGAGGATAGCGAGGCGAAGGCAAAAAGTTCGAAAGACGACGAGGTTCGGGGGGATGCGTACCAGCTGGCAAAGATGGAGCATATGGCTGCTTTCCTCGAAGCGCATTTCGGACAAGTGGAAGAGCTGGTGATACCCGAAGCACACAGCAGCGAACAGGTCGATCAAGTCGAAGCGGAGGGCTCAGTGCAGGCTGAATCACGAGAAGGGAAAGGTGATGACGCAGCAGACACGGACATGCAGGCAATCAAGCCAGCCCCGGACTCGGACGACGCTGTTGCCGATGCAGACGTTGAAGCCGAAGCCGCTGCGCCAGAAGCTTCCCCTGCCTCCCCACCAGTCTCGATTGCCTCTCTTTTCGACGGCACACCACGCCCAGCGCTCCGGGTGTTCCTGGACGAAGCGGAAGCAGTGATCGACGTGGAGAACCTCGTGATCCTCGCCTCGTCCGAATCCTTCCGAACGCGCGTCCAGCATCTGTGTACGCTTGCCCTGCGTTCCTTCACCTCGCTCTCGGACGCTTTCCACCTTCCGCAGCAGATGGGCACGTCGCTGTTCCAGGGCAAGCACAGTCAGCTGGCTAGCATTCCAGAGTTCGGCGACGAAAGACCGGCGAAGATGATTCGATCTTCCTAGGCTGGTGGGAGGAGGAAGGGTGATGTGTACTTGTATCGTTTGCTTGTTGGTGGTATGAATCGAAGTTTGAATAGGATGTTGTCTGTATTACTGAGACAAGAGTGTGATGGGTACAAATACAGGTTGGCCTCACTGAATGCGGGTGAGACGGGGAGGACATGCGGGTAGGAGCAGTTCCCAACTTCAGGCGTTATTTAAAGACCCTCTTCCTTGAGACGAAGCGCTCGTGCAGGTTCCTCGATCTGTATTTGCCGGGTTCCAACATCATTTCAGCTCAAAGTCAGTTCCATGCCCTATGTCTGCACCGTCGATCGCAGTACCTACCTTCTTGACCAAGTCGGACAAATTGGCTTCGGAAGCCAAGTGATCGAGCACCAACTTCTGCTTGTTCTTGTACGTCACCTCGATCTTCTGCAGCGTGTCGCTCGCGACTGTCTTTGTCGTGATATCGGGCAGGTCCATTCCTGGTGTGGGCGGTTTTGTGGGTAGACGTGCGAGGAGCAGACGCATGGATCGGGACGCTTGGGATGCGCTGAGGGGTGCGAATTCGAACGACATGGCTGTGATGTGTTTGAGAGATGCTGCTGCGATCGACATGATGACGGAGTGTGTAGTGTTGAGGATTTGTGCGATGGGTGAGGTTGGGACGTGCTGGAGAGGATGAGGAGCAGGAGTAGCAGGAGGAGAGAAGGTTCGAAAGGCGCTGATTGCCGAAGGAAAAAGCTCAAATCAAAACTCGGAAGTCGGAATCACTTTTGGTGAGAAGATCCGAACAAGCCTTCCTTCAAGGGTCCTCCTGCTCCTGCCTCCCTTCTTGACCTCGCACGTCACTCTCAAGATTCCTCAAGAAGAGTCGCAGCGAGCACATCATGCCGCTATGGTGAATCTTCCAAAGCCGTCCGTACTTGCAAGCGGATCTGGGTCCGAAATCTTGCGCGGAAGCAATCTGCCTCCGCGGGATCCGCTACCGTCTTCCTCCACACCTCCTTGCTGCTACCAATTCGGACTCATTGCGCTCCCGGCGGAACCGACCCACGGCAAGAATCTTTGTAACATCCTGGATGCAATTCTTAGTCTTTCACGCCAACTGACTGTCCCGGCACTCTTCGGAAAAGGCGACGGTCAAACATGGACACATTCCGAACAGCACTTCCCAGCTCTTCTGCGGTGGAAGGAGCAGCAAGTACCCGCCATTCTTTCTCGACTTGCCGGAGCGCTGCAGCAGCTCAATGAAAGTCACGCAAAGCAAGTATCTGGAGAGGAGGCCAAAGCTCTGCATCTGGTCCTTGGTCATGTCGTCTGCGCCGTCGCGAGGTACATTGCTCCCACACCCCTCTCCATCGCTCCTGCGTCCCCTTCACCATCTCACACAACACCACCGGAAGACGGCTGGACGAGTACAACATCCTTCTCCCAAGCTTGCTCCATCCTTTCACTCTTACATCAGCAATCACCGCTCCCAACATCGACAATCGCCCGAGCCCTACTCTCCGACTACATCAAACCTATCTTCCGCGAAACTGCCTCCTCCTCCTCCGCATCCACCAGCTCCATCAACCCCACCACGGGTCGCAAAGCCCCATCCCCCTCAGGCTCTTCCTTTATTTCTCACCTCGATGCGAACCTCGGACAGCATCGTTTCCAAAGCGCAGCTGAGGACGGGGATGCTGCGAACCTGGCTCCGCAAAAATTCGCGCTGCAGGTCGAGTCCGAGGAGAGGAATGAGGCGGTGGGATGTGCGAATGTCTTCGGCTGGTGTCTGGATGAGCTTCGGTTGGAAGAAGAGGGAGATTGGACGGAGGTTTGGCCGTTGATAGTGCCGGCGCTGTTGACGTTGCTAGAACATCCGCAGCCGAGGTTCAGGTTGAAGGGAAGTGTGATCGTGCATCGACTGCTGAATCGACCCAGATCCGGGAAAGGTGACGAGGAGAGCATCCAGCGAAAGGAGATGGTACTGGGGAAGATTCTCATCCGAACAGGTATCGGAAGTCTGCTCGAACGAGCTCTTCACGTCAACCTCACCTACATTCACGATCAAGATTTTGCACCGGGCCTACTGTACCACTCCATCGGCTCGCTTCGACGTCTCATCCTCCTAACGACACATCCGATCGTATACCTCGATCCTCAACATCTGCCTTCTCCTACTCCAGCATCAACCACAGCTTCGTCGCACGGATCCATCGACGTGGCGAACGATTGCGGTCAACGTCGAATGGAAGCATTCTTCCGACTGATCTCCGAGTCCATCCTTTCCACCTGGTCGTACCTACCTCTTCCACCGTCGAGTACCAGACTGGGTCGCCAACTGGTGGACGCCACTTGCCAAGCGTATCTCGTCCTGATCGATGATCTATCACCACCGTCAAGGGGAGGTGGTGTCGGTGCAGTGGCGAGGTTTCTGGACGTCACTGTCGATTGGATCTTTCGAAGCTGGATGGGGAATCTTGGGTTCGATCACATGGATCAGGTTGAAGTGACGATCAAGGTGATGCACCTTGCTAGCAGGTTGCTCTTTTCTGGAAGGGTCGACAGCGAGCTAGGAGTTGATGGATCACGTCGTTTCATGGGGTTGACCTTGTCGTCGCTCGCCAAGTGTCACATTTCGGCGTTGGAGTCGCCTCTGCGATCACGGCACGGCATTTCAGAGATCACATCAGAGGACAGTTGGGACAAGCTCGAACGGTGTCTTTCAGCGTTCTTGGAGAGGCTGTCGGAAGCCGATCCGTCGGTAAAGTCACGCTGGGCGGAACTGGTCAAATTGGATTCACGGCTCAAGGTGTTGCTCCCAAACCAATCGCAATAAACCATCACTCGAAAACTGCATCATATTCGGATATCACCCCGGAACAAATCTACATCCTCTCCAACGGAGTGATGGTGAGCAACCTAAGCGCCGAGCCCAGAACATCCTTGCAGCACCTGAAGACAAACAGACGGGCCAACGCCAAATCCGTCTCCTGACCCTTGACCAACAGGAACTCCCAACAGCTCGAGATCAGATGGGTCAACCTGAACGCATACGTCACGATCGTCGACGGTTGGTGATCCTTCATCGCCGCCTTGACGGTGTCGGGCCACTGTGCGATCAGCATGATCAGATCCCTAGCCTTTGGCTCGGTGATCAGATCCAGTTTGATGGAAGCCAGATCCAGATCGGCCGTAGGCAGTTCCAGTCCGTCCGAATCCTTCGCCTTGCGTTCCACCGAACACAATCGAACGTGGTTGTACTGCAGATACGGACCGGTGTCACCCTCGAAGCTGAGCATTCGGTTCCAGTCAAAGTTGTAGTTGTTGATACGCTTCGACGCCATGTCCTGGATCTTGACGGCAGTCATACCGACGATATCGGCGGTGCGTTCGGGGTTCTCGACTTGGGCGTACTTGGCCTCGTTGGCTTTCATGACTTCGTGCATCTTGTCTCGCGTCTCGTCGAGGATGTTGTCGAGGAAGACGACGGTTCCCTTTCGGGTGGACATGCCGAGAATCATTCCGAAGTTGATGTGCTGCAATCGAGTGGCTTCCTTCTGCGCCCAAGGGTAGCCCATCAACTCCAAAACTTTAAAGAACTGCGCCAGGTGCAGATCCTGTTGCGAGGCGACGACGTAGATCATCTTGTCGAAACCGTTACCGTCGAACGACTTGTCGAATCGTTGGGCAGCCTCGGCGATGTCACGGGTGATATAGAGCGGAGTGCCGTCCTTGCGCTCGATGACGGCCTTTTCGAGCTTGTACTTGGTCAGATCGGCCAACGTGGCGCCGTTGTCTTCCTTGGTGACAAAGTCGCAGGTTCGGAGCTGGGTGAGCGACTTGGCGAGGTTCTCCTTGGTGACCTGCGATTCTCCCGAGTAGACATCGAAGTGGATGTTGAGTCGCTCGTACACTTCAATGTACTTCTTGATGGAGAGGTCGCGGAACTTTTGCCAGAGAGCGAGACACTCTTCGTCGCCGTCCTCCATGCCCTTAAAGTATCGTCGAGCCTCGTCGTGGATCGCTTCACCTTTACCGTCCTCCTCCACGCTGGCGAGCTGATTGATTCGAACGTACACGTCAAACAAGGTGTTGACAGCGTCGTCCTGCAACCTCTGCTCGTCGCCGAACATCTTCCATCCGACAGCGAGAAGACCAAACTGCTTGCCCCAGTCGCCGAGGTAGTTGTACTTTTGCACGTTCCACGCGTTGGCCTTGTACAGGTTGGACAGGAAGGCTCCGATGATGGTGGATCGCAGATGACCTGCGTGGAAGGGCTTGGCGATGTTGGGCGAGGAGAACTCGACGATGATGTTTTTGCCCTCACCATCGCGGTTTGTGCCGTAGCTTGGCTGGGTGTTGCCGTTTTCGTCTCGAGGAGCGCCATAGCCGTGGGTCATGACGTGGACGGTCTGGAGGGTGAGCTTGATGAGCGTCTTGTTGTTCAGAAAGTAATGCAGGAAAGGGCCTTTTGCCTCGACTGTGGCAAGGAATTCGTTGGGCTGGAAAGCGGCGGCCGCCTTTTCCGAGATCTCCTGAGGCTTGCCGGGAAGCTTGAATCGAGGAACAGCGACGGTGTAGTCGCCGATCTTGCCGGTTCCGACAGCGGCGAGAGCAGCGTTGATATCAACGCCAAGCGACGAAGAGACGTGCTGCGCGATAGCGATTCGGAAGCTGTCGAGGGGAGCGCGCTTGATATCGGTGCCGGGCAAGTTGGGCATCTCGGGCAGCTCCGAGAGGAACGGAGCGCCGTTGAAGGATGCCGGCGAGGGCACGAGGGCGACGTTGGCGGAAGCCATGGCGGAGGTCGAAAAGGACAGAGAGGTTGCAGTAGGCAAGAAAGCGGGCTTGTTCAGGAAGCGTTCTGTGACGGCCCGTGTTGCAATCAAGGACGGAGCAAGATTGAGGAGAGACGAGCGGGAACAGATGGAAGCCAGGCGCCGAGGGACGAGTGCGGAAATGGTGCCAGATATACGCCTGTGTGACGGCGGGAGATGGCAGATGTGACAGGTGTGATGTGTTTGTAGGGGAATGACTCGGGATCCTAGTCAGACGTCGATACTGATGTCGAATCCGGAAAGTGATGGTGATGATGCTCGTGGACGGACAGGCTCGTGCAGCATCGTTGCTACAGTCCAAATTTTTCTTCTTGGACGGTGTCACAATAAATTTCGCCCCAAGCGCCGATGCACTGACTCGATCCGATTGGCGAGTCATCTCCCGATTCTTGCATTGAACGGGCACGTGACCTGCCTGCTCAGCACTTTTCGCACGCGTCCCAGAACTCAACGCAACACGACAATGTTACACAGTTTCAGTGAAAACCTTGACTAAATTGGACAAGAAATGCCACCACAAAAATGCGTTCATAATGCGAATTGGCACTGACAGGTGAACAACACAAATGGCAGATCGCGACAGTCGGTGAGCAGCCCCGTGTCAGTCAGGGTTTGTACCGCCACGAGGGTCCTGTACCACCAGGCTTGACACCACCATCATCGGCAACCGTGATCACCACCGAGAGTCACACAAAGCGTAGTCACTGCTATTCACCTTTCTGATACCCCTGGACCATACCCAGACCCTCGCCTCGGAACTCAGCGCCACCACCACTCTCGTCGCGTCTCATCCTCCGTCACCACGTGAGCCACTTGCCTTCGCTGTGAGGATATCGCCATGGTCGTTCAACGTACACCACCGCCGGTGCGGAGGTCGCCGCGCAAGGGAAGCTCCCAACCACCAGAAGCGCCATTATCCTCACAATCATCACAAAGGATCGGCAAGATCGTCTCATCGACACCATCGACATTGTCGCGCGCCGTTCCATCCACACCCGTCCCGCACAACGGTGCCTCCGATTTCCCCAGTCTCGATCAGATGGCTGCTGTATCGAAAGAACAGCGCTCCGTGACGCGTCCAACCACCAACCGCGCTGCTTTCGCCGCCTCGTTCCCTGCTACCGCCTCCAACCACGTCCCAAGCTCACTGCCACGACCAACAGCTCAGGTGCGCAGCATCCAGACCGAGCAGGAGAGCGATGAGAATCAGCGCTCCCGTGCGGCACGTAGCTCGCTCACCAACGGTGCCATTCAACGCGTACGTCAGCTGGCAGGCGACGAGACGCCGCTCGGCGTGTCTCAAGCCAGGGCTGCGCGTCAAGCTCACGCTGCAAGCTCTTCCAAAGCAGATGCTTCGCTGCTCGCCGACGACAGTGGCGATAGCACAGCACAGCTCGTTCCCGGTCGTCGTGACGCAGCTCTGAACCCACTTCTCGCCAATATTGACGTCGAGAATCCCCAGATGCCCAGTCTCGCTCCTCCCGCCGCGTCGGCTGCACCGAGCGCTGCCAATGCTGCACCACAAGCTGCAGACGACGCTGCCGCAGCAGATTCGTCGACCGCGTCGCAGGCCTCCATCTTTGGCACCGCCAATCGCCGCAACGGACGCGACCAGCCTATCGGTGCCGGTGCAGCAGCTGCAGGCGTCGCGTACGACTTTAGCAAATACCTCGACGGTGAGCTCGATCCTTTCAACCGTGCTTCTCGTGCCAATCCGCGTCGAGAGTCTCGTCCCTTGTCGGCCCAACCGCCAGGCGACGACGGTGAGGGTGCCGCTGGCGCAGACACGTCTGGAGACACGACCGCTCGTGGAGGATTGACAGCTCCTTCTGCGACCGTGCCAGCGACAGCGCCCATCGAGTCCACTCCCCTCTTCAGCCGAGTTAAAGCGGCAGCAGCAGCCGCTACACCACGCATGAGTCCCCACGCCAGTCCCAGCGTTTCTAGCCGCAAGCTCGCGCATCTCTCTTCGCTTGCTAACGGCCACTCCACACCTACAGCCGCCACCACTGCATCGTCCGTTACCGCCGCCGACGCCTCCACCGCCGCCTACAGCCGCTTCGATCCATCTGCACGCACAGATCGTATCCAGACCATGGAACTCGGCGAGCTCCGCAAGAAAGCCACCGCCCTCTCGCGCGACCTCGCAGCCACTCAAGAAGCCCTCTCTGCCGCCAAAGAGGAGTCCGAGGGCTGGGCTTCCGAATGCACGGGCTTGCAGGAGCAGATCGCCACGCTCAAAGCCGCCAGCCAGCGCGAATCGCGTGCACGCACCGAGCTCTCGGTGCGTCTCAGCCAGTACAAGATCGAAGCCGACGATCGCGCGTGGAAGCTGCTCTCGCAGCGTCGACAGGCTTGTCTCATCGACGTCGCCCTTCAGCATGCCAAGAACGAAGCTACGTATCACGAGGGCAGATATCACGCTACCGAGTCAGAGCTCGAGGGTGAGAAGGATGAACTGCGAATCCGACTCATGCTCGAAAAGAAGCGCGCTGATCTGCTCGCCATGCACGTCAAGGTGGCTCTTCGCGATGGCGCAAGGTTGAAGAAACGCCTCGGCGCCAAGTCTGCTGCCGTGCTCGAGCTGCAGGCCGAGAACCAGAGCTTAGCGGAGCAGCTGGAAGATGCGCAGCACACGCGCGGATCGACAAAGCACGCGAGGGACGATGGCGAAATGGCAGCACTCAGACAGCAGCTGGAAGAGGCACAGGCCGAGATCGAGACGCTCAACGAACGCGATGCCATGATGGCAGAGACGCGCAAGACGTGGAAGGCGGAACGAAAGGAGCTCCTGGCCCAAGTCGAGCAGCTTTCCTCTTCCTCCTCAGCACCAGCTCCCGTCGCAAAGACGGTCGAAGCGATGCGACCGCTCAAGACGATCAAATCGGTCGTTTCTGCGTCTCAGATGCTGCCGCCTTCCTCGCCGGTATATGCAAAGAAGAAGAGGCCCATGCAGGGTGCATCGGAGCTCGAGCCTCCCTCCGAGGACGAAGAGGCTGATCGACGTGCGGTGATGGCCGCGACTGCGGTTGCGCGAAAACCTATTGCGAGCAAGACGAATGCACCTCTGGTGCCGTTTGCGCAGCTTTCGACTAAAGCTGCTGCTGCTACTAAGAAGATCGTCAAGCCTGCCGCCAAACCCGCCGTCGCCGCGGCAGCACCGACCAAGAAATCGAGCAAGAACTGGCGCGACGAAGTCGCCATCACCGATTCCGACGAGTCCGACTCTGATTCCGACTCTGCAACCAAACGTCCGAGCAAGTCTTCGAAATCGAAGTCCACCGCAGCCAAGAAATCGAGCTTGAAGTCCGCCGTGTCCTCGTCGACTGCGGGACGCAAGACCAAACCGTCCATGCCGATCGAATACGACGATCAGACCGCCGATCCCTCCGCCACGCCCATCATTCGATCGCACAAACGCATCGCTCAACAGGACAGCGATGACGATGACGATGCTGGGCCATTGGATTCGAGTGTTCTCGCTAAATTCGGACGCGACCGTACCAACCTCGCGACGTCGTCATTGGCGACGAAGAAGCTGGCCGGTTTGAAGGCGAGTGCTGTGGGGAAGACGGCGGATGCGGGGGTGGGCAAGAAGAAGAAGCGCAAGTTGTTGGGCGGCGGGAATGCGGCTATGCAGTGGAGCGATGCGGGTGGGTTGGCGCCCAACTTTGATATCCCACTGGAGCTTTCGCCGATCAAAGGTGGGGCCAAGGCGGCTGGTGGTGGGACAGGGGCAGCGGCATTTATGGCTGGGTTCGGGATGCCGGCCAGAAACCCATTTGCGTAAGAAAGGATCGCCTTCATTTCAATGACACTTGGAGACATTTTCTAGGATCGTCACGCGTGGCTTGTGTTCTTTGTGCATGAAAAGGTTATTCCGAAATGAAGTCTCAGAAGGGAGCGTGTGTGGGGTTTTGTGCCAAGCACACCTTCGTCGCGATTCTTGAGACGTAAACATATCCATTGCTATAAGGGAGCACATGAGAAGGTAGATCTGTTCAAAGGACTACGAAACAACTGCACAAATGTTTCCTATCTTTACGCCTTGTATCCAGCAGCGACGATGTTCGCCTGGACCGCGTTCTCCGTCGCGTCGGCTGGATATCCGCTCGTCATCACACCCTCGTAGAACGTACCCTGGGCGCTGTTACTGTTGTCTCCACCAATACCCAGGATGATCGCACCCTCCTTCTTCATCGGATAGTACCCACTCGGTCTCTGACCGCTGTAGTAGGTGCTCAGACCTCCACTTTGAGAGTTACCGCCGCGAATCGCCCAGAGGTTGCTCGAATCGCCTTTTACGATACCGGTGACGAAGCGGTAGTTGATCGCGGGATCGTTGGTGTTCTGTTTGGGATCGTAGCCGCTGAAGAGGCCGTTTTCTAGGTCGGCCATGACCCATGGTCCGCTGCCTGCTCCAGAACCCCAGTAGGTGTTGTCGCCGAAGTAGACAGCTTCCATGTGTCCGTTTCCAGTGTCAGTGTTGGAAGTCTCAGCATTGCCGTAGTCGAAACAGCACTGGTCGTTGTAGTGTGTACCGTCCAAAACCGCGTACATTCCCTCTGGATCGTTGCCAGTGGCAATACCATTCGTGTTGTCATTTCTGTAGCCGACCTTAGGCGTAACGTAAACACCGTACACCTTGTTTCCGTTGAGAGTCACAGGAGCTGCAGTAGCGGAAGCGAGACCGTCGCCCGAAGCAGCTCCTCCATCAGGGGCCAGTGTCAAGTGGTTTCCGCGACCACTCTGGTCGTAGATTTCCTTGATGTAGCACGAAGTTCCGGAGCAGAACGAGTCTTGCGAGGCAGCGTTGGCGACAGAACCAGCAGAGAGCGGGGAGATGTTCTGAACCGAGTTGTCGGAAGATCGGACAACGGAGTAGAGCGGACCGGTGTAGGAGGAGTAGAGGGCACGGGTGGTGGAGTGAGCGGCGACGCAGGGGGTGTTGCCGGAGGCGTAGATGTCGCAGGGACCGCCGGCGGAACCAGTGGCTGCGGGAGACGCATACACGGAAGTGGCCAGAGCCAGAGCCGAGAGGAGGGAAGCCTTGTTGAACGTCATCTTGAAGGGAGGAATGGAGTGATCAAGGATGGGTTTAGGTGGCGTGTAGGGTGTGGGGGGAGGGGCTTGCTGTGCGGAGAAGGTGTCTTTTGACCGACTCAACTTGTTCAATGGAGCAGCCCTTTTATGCATTTCCATCAGGCCACACAGCATGCTGGCTATGGTATTTTCAAGCCACTCACATCAGCCAAAACAGCACCTAAGGAAACCCACACAACCCCTCGTCATTTTGACTCTGCACGACGTTCGCTGACCCTGAGTTGCACCCTTTTCGGACAACTTACCCCACATCATGCAGAGCTGTTTCACACCCCGGAGTTCCTTCTAATAGCCAGGAAGATTTCCGAGCGAGATATGCGGTACTAGCGTCGAAGCGAGGGCGCAGAGGACATGCTCGAAATAGCGTCTTCTCGCGTTTCTCTGGTGGCAAGGACAGGGACCGTGGTTGGACGCGATCCGTGCTTACCAATCGATCGACCCTCGGTGCCACCCACATACGCCCTGTCGTGTCGATTTGGCCGATCCAGCTCGCACTTCATCTGCCCGGTCTCACGGCGCCATCTCTACGGCATCTGCACACGAAGTCTGTCGATCGACCCCTCTTCGAGATGACCGAAATTGACCTTGCGGTCAAAGCGCAACTTGACGTGTAGCCGAGAAAGTGGCCGTCCGCCCACCCAAGTACAAATGCAAGGTTTTTTTTTTCTCTTCGGTTTAGGCTCGGAAATCTTTCTCTTTCCCCACAATTTTTGATTCCCCCGCAGACTTTTGGCGTATTTGCCGGCGATCTTACGTCGCATTTTCATGCCGACGACTCTCGGCAGCCGACGGCAATCATCAACCCGAGCTGGTACAGTGCGCGCCGGCGTCGCATGAGAACGTACCGCCGGAGGAATCATGCAGCGGCAAAGTCAGTCGGTGTTCGGAGTTCGGCCTTACTCGCCCTCCTTTTCAACAAAGTTAAAGGGGCGATGCGCCCGCTTCGGAGGAAAGGGTTGCCAGATCGCACAACTTCGGTGTCCCCGCAATCGATGCACAGGATCGGCCATTTGTCATGTCCAACGCAGCTGCAGACAGTGACGCCTGGCGCATAGCTGCCTTTTTTCCCGGCGATCTACGACTCCGCGGCCCTCGCTAGTCTGTCGGAAAACCTGGACGACGCAATGCAGCATCGGTATAGATGCCGCGAGCTTCGCAGGCGTCCATATGTCAGCAGCTTTACTGCAGAGAGAAATGTCGAAGCAACACGCTGTCATGTGGCCAAGTTTTGTCGGACGTGGAGCTTCCGAGCCCCTGGACCTTGGCAACTCTCGAACTGAGATTCCCTTTTCAAGGTTCATCTTGCGAAAGCGGGAATCTGCACACTCTGAGCACGAAAAAAGACCACGACCACGAACCCACCTCTTCTTGCTAATCGACATTGCCACAGAACCCTCTTGTGCAGTACTTCTATACAGGATCTGGACAGTCAGGCCAAGGATCGCAGTGATGTATCAAGTTGACCAAATGTGTCGGGTTAGCATATTGACTCGGAGGGAAGAACATCTTCCAATCGCTCAATCTGCGTTCTTGTTCTTCCCGTCTCCTCATTCCTTCCTCCTTGTCCTCGCCTTCCCCTCTATGCTCCTTCTGCTCCACTTTCCGATGATGGTTATGCTGTAGAACCCTCGACCACCATCCCTCCTTTGTCAAGCCGATCGCCTTCCTGCTCACCGAGCTCCAGATCCCCGCCTCCGCCCCCAACTCTACCAGTTCACCCTCTCCCACCCTTCCGTGCACCAGCATCACCCTCACGCGCTCGTCTCCGATCCTATCCGCCGCTCCTGCGATCGTCTTGGTCCTCTCGAACCGACGCATCCTGCTTCCTGCGCTAGCAGCGTCGAAACAGATCCGGATTAGGAGGGTCTCGAGTCGCGGTGATTCGGTAGGGGAGAGGATGCGTCGAAGCATGTGTTCGAGTTTGTCGTCGTCGAGCGGATGACCGGGGTAGAAGGTGAGGGTGATGAGACGAAGAGTCCGGATGGAAGAGAGGAGCGGTTGGATGAACGGTTCGAGTGTGGCCGTGCATATGTGGTATGCGTAGATCTCTCTGTCGCGTCTGGGATGAGCTGGTTGAAAGCCGGTGCTAAGGTCGTCGAGTGCGCTTGTAGTTATCGTCGAATCCAGCGAGTCATTGACGGGAATTGTTGCCTCTTCTATATGCTGAACCGAGGCGTTTGCTAGAGCGGCCAATCGTTCTTGAGCATCTTGCATGTCCCACGGGTCCAGATCACCTTCCGATGGTCCAGCTTGATTACTACCGTTCCCGTTCCCATTCATTCCTTGATCTGAGCTTCCACCGCCAATACTCGACGAGCCAGCCCTTGCTCTGCTGCTGACCGGCGACATACGCCGTTGACGGGAATACAACGTCTGCCAAGCAGGCTCGTGTGGTCGGTCTATCCTTGGATCGCTTCCTCTGTCAGCCTCTTGATGCGAAGCCCTCCTTCTCGTCGACGTACTTGCCTCAATTCTGCCGTTTGTGTCGTGAGGGAGCGAACGTGCAAGCCCAACATCTTGATCCTTTTCGACCTCCTCACCATGACTACCATCACTGTCACTCTCGCTACTCGTACCATCCGTGACTTCCTCCACCAACTGCTCTTCCGCCCAATATACACTCACGCTTCTATACCTCCTCTCCCTCGCCTCCTTCTTCCGCTTGCCCTTGGTCTTCATCCTACTCGCATAAGCATGTCCCACCACGAACCCACCCGAACACTCCTCATACCACCCTGCCTCCTCCAACCTCCATTTTACCGGCTCCAGTTTTACCCCACATTCCCTCTCCAACGTCGTCACGTTCCCAAGCCATGCTCTGTCGACACCCTCCTGCCACGCGTCCTTTCTTGTGGTGAAGAAGTTTACCCCTGCGTCGGTGGAGTCCAGCGTGAGGGTCTTGAGCAGAAGCGGTCGGGAAATCGAATAGAAGGACTTCGAGATGAAGAGGAGAGAGCTCGTCCAGGACCAGGAGGAGCTGTATGTGGATCGAAGGGGTGTGCTGAATGGTGAAGTTGAGGTCGAGGTGGTAGGGTCGATACGAGGCGGGGAGGGGGTGGAGGTGATGATTGACAATTCGATGATGTAGGCCAGGATCTCGGCGGGTAGTCGAACGGCAGGAGGTGGGGTCGGTGGGTTGGTCATGACGCTTTCATTTCGTCCCTCGAAGCCGTGCTAGCCGTGCTACACTGCAGCGTCACCTGTGCCAAATGTGAAGTTGTGGCGGAAAGGTCAGAGGCCAAGGTTTATCTCGGGATGTTGGTCGTACGGAGCAGCGAGGGACGTGCGCGTTGACAGCGCGGGGGGCAAATAGAAAGCCGCCTCTTCCTCCACACTCTCCTTTTCGTATCAAACCCCGCTTTTCCGTTATCTTATCCAAAAGTCCGCATCATCCACACGTTCACTCCATCCTCAAACTACTCGCAACCCCGCATCAGCATCACACATTGCACACATGCCACCCAGCCACGCCCGTCTCTCAATCACTGACTCGCTCCTAGACTCGCTTCTACTCTGTGCATTCCGTCGATGGCTGCCACGCACACTACAAATTCGAGCTCTGAAACCTGTACGCCAAGGGCAACGCCGCCGGATTATCCGTCGTACTCAGCAGATTCACCACATCCTTGTAAGTCTTCGCATACCTCTCCCAGTGCTTCACGAACCTCGCCAAAAACTCCACCGTCCCCTCCTGCAACCCCGGTTCCGGACCCAATCCCTTCTTCCCTCCCGCCTTCCTCCACCTCTCCGTTTCCAACAGCACCTGGTCCTGAAACCTTACCCTGTTCTCTACAAACACGTTGATCACTGTCGTCAACTGCGAGTGCAACTCGAGATACCTCAGATCCGTAAACATCAACTCCTTCCGCGTCGTGTTCAGGAACGCAAAGTGATCCTTCATCAGCTGATCGACAGTCTTGACGTTGGACAGCTTGCGCTGCAGCTCGAGGTAGTTGGGTTCGACCACCTCCATGAGTTGGAAGGCGAGCAATTGTTGAACGAAGAACGTCATGCGCGAACGGAGGTTGAAGAGCTTCTGCTTCCATCTTTCCAGTGCCGGGTGGGTGCGTTGCTTCCACAGCGGGTTGGAGGAGTGATCCAGCCAGAGTTCGGAGAGAGATCGTTCGAGCGTCTTGAGGTGGAATAGGCCGCGGGACACGAATTGATATCGAAGGATGTTTTTGCGGCTGATGACGAGCGAGACGGGGAACTTGACCGCCACGTCGAATTGCAACAGTGTCACGGCGGGCACGAAAGTCTCCTTGCTCGACGATCCGGCTGCAGCCGCCGCCGCCGCATTCGCCTGCGCCAGCTTAGTCGCCTCGATCCCACCCTTGGTCTCGGCGATACGCTTCAGCTGGTCGTATGCTCCTTCCGATGCCAACACGATTCGCACATCTTCGCGGTACGGATCTTCAAACCCAACCGTGCTGCTCGAGCCCAAGACCGCACCAAGATGCGTCTGCAGACGCTGCTGCACCGTCTCCCTCGTCTTGCTCGGCGAGACCTTTTTGACCAGCTCGTGCGCCGACTGCTCCAGGAACGACGACAGGAAGTCCGACTCGGAGAAGAAGAAGAAATGCTTGAGCGATCGAAGTCGTTCGAGGATGTGCTGGTCACCGAGCAGCAATCTGAGCAACGCAGAGTTGGCGCGTTGATAGGCACCCTCGATACGTCGGAAGAAGGATTCGTCGTTCATGACTACCGCCGACACCACTGCTGCTTTTCCTGGCTTGGAAGCGCTGAGGCCATCCGCCGCCTGGTCCGGATCGGATGGCACTTCGAGGCCACACTCCCGGATCACGTTGAGGTATTTACCCGCAAGCAGAATCTTGTGCTTCCACGGTTCGAGGAAGGATGGGATTTTGGCACCGCCGGTAAGGATGCCTCTCGGATTGTCTTCCTCGTCCTCCAGCTCGGCATCCAAATCCAGCCCAAGCTGACGTTGACGCTCGCGTTTGGCGATCGTGGTTTCGTCGCGCAGCGTGTACCGCGTCTCCCAGTATTCGTCCGTCGGATCCGACTCCAGAGCAGCTCGCGTGACTTTAGCATCTTCCATCACCATGAACTCTTCATAGGTATCGGAAAGGTCGCCGGTGGTGATCCACTTGACGAGAGTTTGCGCGTAAGGCTGTGAAGCGCGTTGGAAGAGGGTCGTGAACAGAGTTCGAGCTTTCGGATCGCCGCTCATTCGGGTGATACGATCCCAGAGCATGGAAAGCACCTCGCCACCTTTGGCGATGCCGCCCTCGACTCCTTGGTCGTCAGGGTCATCGAGACCTAGCAGCGCACGTCGCTCACGCTCCAAAGCCGACGTCCCGCTGATGTCCGAGCCGCCGTCGCCATCCGACGAGTCGTCGTCGTCCTCATCGTCGAAGAGATCCGCGTGCGAGATGCCGACAATCTCGTCGGTCAACGCGCGAACCATGGCGAGCGTGCGTGCCGTCTCCTGGATCCACATGAACAGCTTCTGAAGACTGAATGAGGTGGATGACGCCATTTGATGTTCGAGCTGAACCACAAGAAGCTCGTAGTCGTGCAAAAGATCGCGGATGGCGGCACAGAGGGCGTGGTTGACGGTACCGTACTCGAGGCCAGAGTCGGTCTCGATGAAGGCGTAAATGGCGGTGTAGTCTGTAGCAAGTGGAAGGATGCGGTCGACGAGGTCGCGGAGAGGAGCGTCGAGTGCTGTGTCGATGTTGAATTGAGCACCCCGCAGACGGTGCGCAATGTCCTCTGGATCGTAGGTAGACGCATAGGAGATGTACTGACCTTCGATGCCGAGAAGAACGTACAGGAGATCTTCGAGGATGAGTGCTTCCTGCAGATCACGGTCGACGAGGCTAAGCGGAATAAAGGCCCGATCATCGCTGTCTGCTGCTGCTGGCGCTGCGGCGGAGTCTGGTCGAGGCGCAGCATCGCGTGCTGTTGTAGTAGGCGCCGCGGCTGACGATACGGGAAGCTGATTCGACGGTCCAGCGAGATCGAGCTGAGGTTGGTGTCGCTGAGAAGGGAGCCTCGGCTCTGTCGGTGCTGCTGCACTTGACGGTAATGCGGAGCCCGATGTAGCGCGCGAAGATGCAGCGTTGTTGGCCGACGAGACCGTGCGCGTCTTCGCCTTGCGCGGTGTTTGTTGCGGTACCCTTCTATTGAGCGGGTTGAATACGAAGCTGCCTTCGTTCAGGAACGAGTCGACTGGTGCCACGCCTTTCCCCTTGAGCGACTTGGCAGCGGCAGCGGCAAGAGCAGCTCCATCAGGTCCTTTACCTGCTCCTTGCGTCAGGCCTCTGTTCACGGGTGCCTTTCCGAACCGACGGAGGTGGTACTCTGTGGTCGATTTGATCTCGGGCGCATTGGCAGCATTGTCATCACCTTCTGCGATGACGTAGGAAGCGGTCGTACGATGACCACCTTCTCCCAGCTCAGGAATCCCTTCAATGCGATGCGATGCAGCAGCCAGAGGCTCGTTCGGATCTGAAGCGCCCCAAGATGCCATGGCCGATTGACCCGTCGACTTTTCTACCGACAAGAGACGTTTCGACATCTTGTCGAAAGCCTTTGCGCTGAGGTTGAGATGATTCTTCTTGCGCATGGATCGACCGACCGGAGTAGCAGGTACCACAGGCGGCCTGGAGCCGCTGGATGTGCGCGCGCTCGCCATGGTGATATCGCGTTTCTTGCGGATGCGTGGCAGCTGATGTTCGTGTACGCGAGCTCGTTAGCAGATGGTCGAGAAGTCAAGGTGTTACTTTGACTCGGGCTTCGTCGAAAGAGCGAGGTGTGAGTCCTTGCTGGAGGAACGTTTGTAATGATGTCGCGAGTGTGATGGGTCTAGGCGGACGTGAGATGGTGGTGACGACGACGAGCGGTTTCACAATCGCATCTCACGACAAAATTCAAGTAGTGCGAGAGAGAGAGGACAGAGGTGTTGGTCTGTGGCACCGCGAACTGCAGAAATTCAGATTTCCACTGTTAGCACGAACCGACCGCGCGACGCGACTCGACTCTCGCTCCGCTGCCCAAAACCAACATAGCAGCAGAGCTCCGACGTGTTGATTGCGGTTTCCCATCGGAATTCTTCTCGTCGGGTCACCCGAGTGAGGGACGGAGCTGCCGCCCAATTTCGGCACAACCGACTGCCGCGTCTCTAGCATGCTGGACTCTCACAGCTCTTGAGCGTACATGGCAGTATCAGACGGAGATGCTCGAGGGGTTTCATTACGCTCGGTCGGTCAATCCGACGAGAGCGTGGGACCAAGCGTCGTTCTGAGGCTTCAGGTGTTGGTCTCTCGTGTGGCTCCGCTGTAGCTCGCCAGTGTTTCTCTCGCTGGACCCTGGCTCGGCAATTTCGATCAAGAGCTCAGTCGACCGCTCATCGATTTTTCCGAGCAACTCACCTCTTCCTTATATCTAGTCGACTTCCTTGCTTGCACGCCACTTAGCCCTTCTTTCCTCTCCAGATCACTCTCGGCATCGCGCGCTAAGCTTGCATCGCATCAAGCCTCCAATCGCCATCACATCAGCTTGCCATTCTCGCAATCGCAACCATGCCGTCACCAAGCGACAAGCAGCTGACCGCGCAGATCCACTCGATCCTCGTCAAAGCGTATGAAACCGACAGCCTCGGGTGAGCATCCTACCGATCGCATCCGTTCCGGTCTACGTTCCAGTCCTGTTGCTGATTTCTTCTTCCCACACCACGTACCCACCAGCGACCACTCGAAGCGCAAGATCCGAGAGATGCTCGCCGACCACTTTGACGTGGACCTCGAGCACAGGAAGAAGACCATCAACCAAATGGTCGACGAGCAGAACGCACTCGTCAGTGCAAAAGTCAATTCAGCAGCAGCGGGAAGCTCCACTTCTGCTGCATCGTCGTCGAAGAAGACGGGCAAGTCGGAAACTTCTCCGAAAGCCAAGGCTGCGAAATCCGGGTCGAAGCGCAAGAAAGCTTCTTCCGACGTAGAGGACGACGAGGAAGGGGACGAAGACGAATCGTACAACGACAATGCTGTCGCTGCCGCTGCTTCCACCTCTGCCAGCTCCGAAATCGACTCCGACAGCGACACGACCGAAGCAGAGCAGTTCAGCGAGTTGGAAGAAGACACCTCTCACCAATCACGCAAAAAACCCAAAAAGTCCAGCTCGAAATCCACCACCACCACCAAAAAATCTTCTCCAACACGCCAGCCCTCTTCGTCCTCGACCAAATTTACCTCCGCCTCTGGCGGGAGCGAAGCAGAACAACGCCTCACCCGGCTCAAAAAGCTCGTGACGGAGTGTGGAGTTCGCAAACAGTGGAAAAAGCTCTACCTCGAAGCTGGTGTGGGAGAGAAGGACTTCAAAGCCCAATGCAACGTCGTCCAGTCAGTACTCAAGGATCTGGGTATGACGGGGAAAGGGTCGGTCGAACAAGCGCGCAAGATCAGAGAGGAGAGAGACTTTGCCGACGAACTCGCCGCTCTGCAGGAAAATGAAGTCTTGGGTCGCAGCACAAGAGGTGCCAGAAAAGCCACGGGAAGAGCCTCGATGAAGGAAGCAGACGACGATGACAAGGCGAGCGACTTTGAAGAGGCGTCAACGAAGAAAGCTCGCCGAACAAAAGTCGTTGCAGACGACAAAGATAGTGAAGACGAAGGTCCGCGAAAGGTAAGCTCTTTCGCTCACATTGTTTCCCACTTCGACCATCCCAAGAGCCATACTGACCCCATTTCCCCTTCCGCTACGCTGTCGGCACCCTGCAGAAGACGTTCAAATCATCTCTGGCGAGCTTCGCTGCGGACCTCAACTCTGATTCCGACTAGCATGCCCCTAACTACCTTTACCATCAAGTCATCAACAAGCATGCCCAATCTCACACAGTCATCCTCAACCACTCATTCACATTGGCGTCCGCTTCATTCACTAGACCTTTTGACTGAAGCTTTCAATTCAACAATGATGAAGCATGCTTAAGAATACAAATGGACAACTCCTTCCTTGATTATGCACTCTCGACGTCAGAAGTGCCCAGCTTTGTCGGGTTACGGTCTTGCGTCTGTGTGCCAGCGCCCACCTTCTTGTCATCGGCGTTCGATGCCGTTGGCGAAAGGTCGCTTGGTTTGGTACCGACGGGCGAGTCGTCGTCGTCCATCTGACGACTCTGGTCGATAAGCAGACGTTCCTGCTGCGTCATGTAGGTGGTCCACTTGCGTGTAGGTACACGAGCCTCGAGCATCTCGTTGATCTCCTCGAGCGAGCGACCGAATGTCTCGGGGATGTAAAAGTAGACGAACGTCATAGCGATGAGTGTGCCTACGCCGTAGATCCAACCGATCTGAGCGCCAAGACCTGCGTTGTAGAAGAGGTATGGCAGGGTAAAGGTGACAGCCCATGCGATGATCCAGAAACAGGCGGTGCCGACCGACATGATCTTGCTGCGATTCTTGCCGACGGCCAGCTCGGAGGCCACGACCCACGCGAGAGGACCCCATGCCAGGTTGAAGAAGAAGACGTAGATGCAGATCATGGCGGCGATGGTGCGACCTTGAGTGACGGTGATGACACCTGGCCAGGGCAGCGACTCGCCACGAGGAGGCAGGCCCTTGGTGCCGATACCAGCAACGACAAAGAGTGCGATGAACATGGGCACCGAGGTCCACAGGAGCAAAGGACGGCGACCGAAACGGTTGACGAGAAGGAACGAGCACAACACGCCCACCACCTCGATGACGTCGACAATGATGGTGATGATAAAGGCATCCTTGAGACCGACGGCAGTCATGAACGTGACCGTGTACGAAAAGATGAATTGAACACCTCCGATCTGCTGTCCAATCAAGATGCCCAACACGCAGGCAAATTTGCGCAGCTCGACACCGTGCATGAGCGACTTCCAACCACCTTCACCAGAGAGTTCAAGCTCGTCGGCGCGCGCCTGTCGGAAAGCGTTGTACTCGAGAGCGATGACCTTGTCGCGCACGTCGTCGTGCTGTCCCTTGTTGACACGCTTGAGCGAGGCGAGTGCCTTTTCATCACGGTTCTTCTGGATGAGCCATCGAGGCGATTCGGGAATGATGAACTGAGCACCGACGAGGATGGCGACGAAGAACAGGTTGAAGATGATGGGGATGCGGTAGGACCACGTTGAGTCGATGTCCTTGGTTCCTTGAGCAATGCACGCACCGATCACCTGACCGATGGCGAGCATGAGCTGCCACGATGAGACGATGGCACCACGGATAGCTGTCGGAGCGATCTCGGAGAGGTAAAGCGGTGTGCAGTTGCTGATGACGCCAACTCCGCTTCCCAAGAGGGCTCGACCAAGCGTGAGGAGGGCCTTGGAACCGACAGTGACAAGTTGCAGGACGACACCGAGGGCGACAAGCGAGCAGGCACCGAAGAAACCGCCTCGGCGACCAAAGTAGTCTCCGAGAGGCGCTGCGATCAGGGATCCGACGACCTCACCAGCCTGTACGATGGAAGCGTAGAGCGACTGGTCGCTAGCTGGGATCTCGTACTTGCCGTCGGCGGTGACGACACCAAAGTCGCGTTTGAAGCGATCCATCTCGAGGATACCCGTGAAGTAGGTACCGTCGTAGCCGTAGAGAATAGCACCGACGACTGCGAGAGAGCAGAAGACGATGGGACGGACGTTGGCCTTTGACAAGAGCTTTGTAGCTCCGACGGTCACGCCGTTGGGCGAAGATGTTGGAGCTGCACCACCCATTCTTGCAATCGGAATAATCTACCACGAGCTCGAAAACGCCGCGATGACGAAATAGAAATGGGCCTGGCAGACGAACGAGGGAAGTCGAACAGCGCAGGAGGGAGGCGCGGATGGAGCGCAGGCTCGATGACGAAGGGGCAAAGAGAAAATGGAAGGGCGGTAACGATCGTGACGGTGAAGAAGCAAGCAAGTGGAAGCTAGGTTCGACTATATACCACAGGTCAGAAAAGGCTGAAAGAGAAAGGACATCGGTGAGGGTCCAGGAGACTAAACTGCCAGTCAGCCTGAACCAGCGAGGGAGGGTCGAGCGGAGTTGCGCTCTGCTTTGGCTTCGGAACAGGCACCGAGTGACCAACAAGCCGTCAGCATCCACTGTAGCGAGCGAAGGAAAAAAGGCGGGGGACGACACTGTGTGGCTGCACGGGGTGAGGCTCGATGATGCTATCCCACAACTTGAACAATTCACAGAGGTGCTGCAACCAGCGCAACTGAGTGGGGATTGGCCTCGCTTCTGGTCGGGTGATCCGGCGCAGCGTGGGGGGTTGTGCAGTGACCGACTACAGCGCAGAGTGGTCAGGCTGTATTGGACAGGCGGACCTTCGGTCAAAGCCAAAGGGGCGCGCATATCGAACACCGGTCAAAAAATTACTCCTCTGTCCATCTTCAATCTGGACCAAGTTCGGCATCACCCAAATCATCCGTTAAGCGAGCGCCGGTATGGAAGAAAAACAGCCGGTCTCTCTCCTGGACTCGGCACTCCTTTGTTGGCCCGCAACCATTGTCATTCGAAGGACAACGTTTCGTCTGCACTCGCCAGCAAGGCAGTGTCGCAATATGGTGGACCGGTGAGCTCTCGACATGGTCACGAGCCTTGAACTCGTGCTCGGAATGAAGCGAAGCCAATCCCACCCAAAGGGCAGGAAGAAGAGGCCCACCGACGTTGAGCCTGCTCCCTCATCTTCACATCCTCTTCAGATATACAATGTCATCCCCGCAACCAATCAACTCCAGCAACGATGAACTCAAACCCGCAAGGTGACGGCATGTTGCTTTCGCGGCCACGCAACCCACCTCACCGGCAACAGAGACATCGCTGAGCAGAGAGGCTAGGGAAGCGCCGAAACGCAGAGAATCAACCACAAGGTTCCAACCCTGATCGCTGTTCCTCGTCCGCAGATCGCCCGAAAGCAAAGTTTGAAGAGCAGCGGGTGAGTCTATTCACTAATCGAGAAAGCATGCTTCGCGCCAAATCAACACACAAGCGAGGTTGCATCTCTCCGAAAATCCTCCGAAGCGACTTCTGACTGCAGCCGATTTCCGCGACGTAGCCGTTTTCAAATAGTAAAGTTGCTGAACTGCTTTCCGCAAGCTATTTGCCTGACAATGAACGGCACTCTTCCTGTGTTTGCCCAGGCCTTCTTTGACGAAGAACAGCTGTTCACAGTGCCGACCATCCGCACTCAGAGAGGACTATGATCTGCAAAAAGACCGCGAGGCAGCACGACGTCAAAAGATGCATCGGAAGTTGAAATTCCTCTCTGCGTGTTCCACTGCGGAGAATTTTTCTCTTCTGCTTGCGGGCGGCAAGGCGGAATGTTGCGGCAAACGACGCGGCGGACTGCGCTCGCCGAAAACCAAAAAAAAAAAGGTTGCACCGAACTTGCACCTTTCGCTTAATCGGCCACGCAGGCGAAAATTCAACCGCGGCAAACATAGAGGTCAGCTTGGCTACGTCACATGTCGACGGCTGCTCCCCGCTTCGCTGCATCACCATTCGATCGTCGAAAAGAGGACAGCGGTGCGGGAGATCGGGCCAAAGGCTGTCGTTGCGATCCTTTCTCATCGACCGGTGCTACGGATCGGATCGTCGAGTTGTTGCTACGGCTTCGACAACCTCATCGACAACATTTGTTGATTCGCTGTGTCCGCCTGTCAGTTGTGGATCAGTGTATAGCGCAGGGTGTTACACCACCAGCCGGCAGATCCATCGGCGAAACTTGAATGCTCGGCTACAATGCCATGCTTAGTCGACCTCGATGTCTGCACGGAGTTGGTGCATCTTTGCCCCACCAAAGTGCATATGAGTGGGGGGCCGTTGGTGGGCTTCAAGTGCGACAGCACAGATCCTTGCAATGCGTTGTCAGAGCGGGGACCAAAAGAGGAGCCCCGCGCTTCATCTCGTTCCGATGAATGTCGCCGGTGGTGAAGACAACCCAAGCGTATCTCATTCAAGAGTGTGTTTGAGTTCGACGCGATACGCTGCAAAACCTTGCACCATGCCAACTCTGCATCAAAGGCTACTCTAGAATTCAGTGGTGATGTCTATCTCTTAAGCCGAAGCTGTGTTCCAAATCCGAACGATACCATCCGCGCCAGCACTGACCATCTCACCCCCCGTGGCCGGGTTGAACTCCACCCAAAGCACCGCCTTCCCTCCCTCTCCACCCTTCTGCCCAACGCTCACCCTCTCGCCGCTGACCAAGTCCCAACCGACCAGCTCGCCACCTTCATCCCCAACCACAACCCCGTCCTCCTCCCCACCGGAGAAGACCGCCCTACATCGATACTCCTCGTGCTTGTGTCCCTTGTACTCCTGCAACATCGTCCCGTCCCTGCTGTCGATCAGTCTGACGGTCGAATCCATCGTCGCTACCAGAATTGATGAGTCCAACTTCGATGCGACTACACTTGTGATCGCCGTCGACAGCGTATCTGATCTTAACTGACCCGCTCGTAGATCGTAGCATCGAACGACGCCGTCTGTGCTACCGGAGTAGATCTTGTCGTGCGAGACGTGGAGGGTGGTGATGGGGTCTTTGGCTTCGGTGAGTTGCATGATCGGTCTCCACTCGTTGGCTGCGCGTAGGTCGTACACCCGAACCACACCGTCCAGTCCTCCTGCTACGACGACACTTCCCTCCGCGTCCTTCCCAGCAAACCGAACGTCGTTCACCTTCCCGACGTGTCCACTGAACCTTCTTACCACCGAACCAGAGGCAACATCCCATACGAAGATCGACCTATCCTCTCCTGCCGAAACAAACCTCGAGTTGTCGCCCGAAACATCGATCGCGAGAACGGCGTGGTTGTGCTCGGTATACGTCTGGATTGGGCTCGTGTCGTTTTGCGAAGATTGCGCGTTCCAGAGCTTCACGCTTCGATCCGAGGAACCAGTGAGCAGGTATCGACCGGTCGAGTTGTACCGCACCACGTTGATGGGAGATCTATGTGCGGGCAGAGTCTGTGATAGCAGAGTGGGCAATTTGACGGGACTCGAGAGTGAGATGGTGTGGCGTGGTGTGGATCGCGGTGGAGTGGGAGAAGGCTCACCTGCATGGGTTGTCAGCGCACGTGAGAACCATTTTCCCACCGTTCCTTTGTGTCCGGTCTGTGTTAGCGTTGGAGCATTCGAAGGAGGCAAAGGTTTGGAAACGTCTGTGGGATCCAATCCTTTCGCTCGCTGAGCACGCTCCCAATCGCTGTCCATCTCCCACTTTCCCAAAGCGTGCTTGAGGATGGCTTCGAACCTCAATCTCCTGGCTGTGTCCATCTGCGCTTCCCACATCTCCCCATCTCCTCCTTTTCCCTCCCTCTCGTACCCTCTAGGCACACCATCGCCATCGACACCTTCGCCGAAATCCACCCACCTCATCTCATCCTCCGCCAGCCCGATGTACGCCCTCGCAGCTCTTTCGTCCGCCGGCGTCTCCCCTGTACTCTTCGCCAGACTAGCTCTGAATTTCGCCTCTGCAGTCCTCCTCGCCGCCGTCGTCTTTTCTCTGGCGGATCGTCGGGGTGGACCTTCCAGGGACGAAAGCAGATCCGGGTTCGAAGTGAGCTGCTTTTCTACCGCTTGCGAGGGGAGAAGGATGAACGATCGTGTGTGAAGCAGGTGCGGCGACGTGGAGAGGACGGCACGTGGAAGTGAGTTGAGCAAGCAGAGTTCGTTGGGCGAGATGGCGAAGCGAATTGCGATCGATTGCAGGGTATCTGTCTTGCGGAGGTAGTATTGGCGGGTCGAACCGGAGGAGGGAGTGGACGAGGAGAACGAGGAGGAGGATACCGTGTTGTGCGGGTCGACCTTGCGTCGGATACCGGTGAGATTGGAGTCGGAGCTGATATCGTTGGTAGCGAGGGCAGCTGATTGCGGTGCGACATCGACTTCTGCCTCAGCAACACTCTTGGACGCTTGCCGCGTCAACAATGCCGGTCGTTTCTCTTTCACCACCTCCCCCTCCTCATCCCCGGCGTCGATCACAAATTTCCCAGCTCCAACCTCTTCCGTTCCTTCGCTATACGGTGGGGGTTCCACACCCTCCTGCTCCTCCTGTTCTTCACGTCCGGTTGCAGAATCGAAATCGAACACCACCTCCCCCTTGCGCGTCACATCTCCCCTCGGACCCTTTCTAAACGCAGCGTGCGCATCCTCGCATATCGGGCAGAACGTGATCAACCTCGGATTCGAAACCACGCAGTTTTCGCATACGGGTCGAGAACAGCACCCATGAACAAATATCGACGCCGGTTTCGCGTTCGGTGGGATGGTCGAGGAGCAGGCTAGACAGAGTTGGGATGTCGTCTGCATTGTGTAGAAACGTGGCGGGGTCCAAGGAGATTCCGCTTTGAGATGTGTTTCGTATGGTAACCAGTGTCCAATGCGAGGAATGTGCCACAGTCTATGTATAGATGTCCCAGCAAGTGGAGGAGAGCTTGGTCGGTGTTGATGGAAAGAGAGGATGTGATGGAAGTGATAAGAAGGTGGCGAGGTTGAGAGTCTGCAGTAATTCAGGGTCCTGTCCAGCATGCAGCTGCGTTCGCGCGCGCCAAAAAAAAGGGCGCTCGCTGCCGTCACAAAAGTGGAGGCCTGCACACCATCACCACCAGACAGACAGGCTCAACTCATAGCCATCCCGTCGATGGCAACGTCACACACTTCTTCATAAGTCGCCACCTCGTCCGCAACCAAACCTTGTGATTGCTGCTGCTACTACCTCTGTTACCTGATGAAAGTCGCATCGATCTGCTTGAGCTGCGGCAACAACAACTTCACCTTGCGCCTGTAAGCCGCACCTTCCTTCCGCATGCCCGGATTGCCCTCCAAGTAAACCGTCTCCAACGCCGGCATCCTCTCCACCCCCAACTCCCTATCCAACCCGTTGAGATCCTCGATCTTGTTATCGTTCGCCCAAAACTCCTCCAACTTGGCCAAGTGCCCCACATTCTCCACCTTGCCAATCATGTTGGCCCCCACATCCAGCGTTGTCAACTTGACGTTCTTGTCCAACCCTTCCAACTTTGTCAACCCGTTGTGTGAGATGTACAGCTCTTCGAGGTTCACCAGCTCTTCGAGCCCCTCCAGCTTCGTGATTCGATTCGACTGAATAGAGAGCACCTTCAGGTTTATCAGCGTCTCCAATCCCTGAAGCGAGGTGATCTTGTTCTTACCCAACCAGAGCTGTGTCAGATTCGTCAGGTGTCCGATGTTCTCGATCGAGCGCAACCTGTTCCCACCCAGCTCCAGACTCTCCAGCGACTCGGCGATGGGACCCTTGAGATCGTCCGGTCGAACTCTGGAGATCTTGTTCTGAACAAAGTAGATCGTCCTACACTGACCCAGATGTGAAACGTTGGAAATATGGTGGATGTTGTTGAACGAAAGATCGAGCGATTCCAATTTGTTCAGATCGTCTAGACCCGAGATCTTTTCGATGCTGTTGTCGTACAGATCGAGATCTTCGAGCTGTGTGAGGACGCCGATGTCCTTGGATCGAATTCTGGTGAGCAGGTTCTGACGAAGACAGAGACGTTTCAACGAAGGTGCGAAACGTTGCAGCCCGAGACGTTTTGTGGTCGTCAGGCGAAGGTGTCCCAAATCGAGCACCTCCTCCGTGTCGGGGTAGTGGAAGAGGAGCTCAGAGTCATCGGGGATTTCTTCCTCGACGGGTGCGGCGACGCCGTTGGGTGGTGCACCGCTGTTGTCGACTCGGACCGATCCATACTGGACGATGCCGCGCGTGATGCCGTTGTTGGCCTCTTCCGGCTGGTCAGCTGCACTGGATGGTCCTGCTTCGTCCTCGGTCTGCGGGTCGTCGATGTCATCGGCGTCGATGCCGTGGACGCCTGCGTCGTCTTCCGAGTCGGAATCATCTCCATTCGCGCATCGGTCTTTGGATGAAAGTGTAGGTGCAGGAGGAAGCTCGCCTACGATCTGCACTTTAGGCTGTGCAGCCGTCGACGACTCGGCTGTGTTCGAGTCGGCCATGGTGTCAGTGCGAGGATGTGCGCAAAAGGGCAGTGGTGTGGGAGGGAACGAGGAAGAACGCGACGTCGCTGGTAGAAAGTGGTCAAAGCTCTTGAAAAGCGGAAAAAGCGCAGTCAGGGTCGAAAAAGAAGCCGCGGAGCAACGCAATCGCGTGTAGCTGGCTCAGCCAAAAACCGTCAGACGAACATTTGGAGACCAACACATAGCCACCTCAGCAGCGCACACTTTCGGGTTGCACTTCAGCGTAAATCAAGCACGCGGACACACTGCGACGGTCTGGCATTGTCAACGAGCTCAGGAAGGGTATACAGTCGATTCTTAAGACCAAAAAAGAGCATTACAGTAGCCAGATTAGGAGAGCAGAGGGAAAAGTGTTCCAGTATGAAGAGAGGCTACGTATCACCACTACTCGTCGGTAGAGGTGCCAGCTTTAGCAGCATACGAGCGTTTCGTGGTGGTGACGAATGGATCGCTGGACTTGTCGACGATCTCTGCTGGCGTCGCATCTTTCCCACTGAGCTGTGGTGCCGACGAGCCGTTGACCTTGTCCTTGTTGCCTTCGGCCGCCGCAGCGCTCTTCTCGGCTGCCCTCCTTTGCTCGGCCAACCTCTTCATTTTCTGGAACTTGTCCGCCGAAATGCGTGTACCAAAGAGCACGTCAAAGTGGACGAAGAAGGGCTGCGAGTAGTTGTAGCGCAATCCGGTCATTTGGTGATGTACGTCGTGGTACTCGGCGCAGTTGGGAAAGACGAGGTGTAGTGGGTCGAGATACCAGGGGAAAGCGTATCCACCGTGATCAGCTACCGTCTTGAGCGTCGAGAATGTAAAGAGGACGATACCTTGACGGACCGTCATGAGGGCAGCTGCGTGCGAGATTGCTGCACCCGCTGAGTCGAGCAGCAGGCCCTCGACGGGGTGGTTGTAAAGCGCACCAAAGGCGTAAGGCACGTAGAGGCGGTGGTGGTGCGAGTGGAAGTGGCGGTAGAGGAAACGGCTCTCATGGAAGAGACGATGGAGGGTGTACTGCCATGCGTCCATGACGAAGAAGGCGAACCAGAACTGAGCGGTGGGGATGCCCCACCAGTACAGCCACCACGCTGCCGAGATGGCATCCTGGCTGCCAAAGAGCAGCTTGGTGATTTGAGGTTCGAGCGATGGGCCTAGCAGCTTGGAAGTGGTCGAGCGGAGAAAAAGGGCCAGATCAAGGACCTTTGCGGGATGGTCTGCGAATGTCTGCTTGAGTCCGACCGAGTCGTCGTCGAGCAAGAGAACACCAAAGATGGTCTGGATGATCTGCTGCACAACGACCATTACGATGACGCGCGTTACGCTGACACGATTGCGCTTTGTGACCTCTTCAGGTTCATGCAGCCGATACTTTTCTGTGAAGGGGAGCTCGAGAGTGTCGAGTAGATGGTAGAAGAGGGACGCGATCCAGTAGATGATGATGGGTAGCGCTAGTGATAGGTACTTGTCCGAGATGCCTGGGATGACCTCGGATTGCGCTTGAAAGTAGAAGGGTGTTTGGTTGAGCTTGGCGAGCCCTGCCGTTGCGGCAGTGGTGTTGGCGTATGCGGTCATGTCGAAAAGGCTTGTACGAATGAGATGCAGAAGATAGTGCTAGAATGAAGCTGGCGATGCTGAAAGAGCTGCTGGTCAGAGCGGGCGTCGGTCGCCACCACGAGGACGGTTGCGAGACGATGCGTTTATGTAGACGTGTCGTGCGAACAGAGTTGCCTGTGCTGTAAATCGACCGTGAAGCGGAACGTGATGGTGGCCGTGTGGTCGGAGATGATCGTGGTGAGGGGACAAAGCTTGTCGCCGCCGGAGGTTCGATGATGGTGAATGACGAGCAAAGGCTGAGCGAAAGCCAATTCCAGTTCGAGCGGTGGGCAGCATGTTTTCGTCTGTCGTTCCTGTTCAGGGTTCAATTCGTTTCGTCACTTCTTTCTGAAAAAAGGCTCCAACGAACAACTCTCACACACTGACCCACTTCCGACTCTCCGCCGCTCCGACCCGCGAAGGTTCACGTAAGAATTTCGATGCGCCAACGCAAGAAAGGCCGGTCAAACGAGGTCTGTTGCAAGCTCTTTTGGATGTCCGAAATTCCCATCCCGGCTGGCCAGAGCCGATGCAAAAATACAAACTCACACATGCAAGAACGATATGCATTGTCGATGCGTGCATCGCTGCCTTGCAAGGCGTGAGTACACTACCTCGATGATAGTAATGGCAAACGTGAGAGGTGAAGCGGCGGTGGGTACTCATCTGATACAACCTCACGCTTCTCGACTTTGGCGTCTATCATCTGAGCATGTCATGGAATACTATATAAACGACGGTCGAGGTTCTTGCTCGGGTGGCGACGACGCAAAGCAGAGCACAAGGGTGAGCCCTCGTGGGCTGACAAGCTTCATCTTGGCATTCCGAAGATCGAAAGTGACCAAATAATGTTAGGGCGCAAAATATCACAAATGCTTCAGGAGTTTTTTGGTCAGTGTTCTTCTCGTACGATGCGGGTCGCGCAGGTTGGCGAGAGCCCTGTTGCCTCGGGCTGAAACGGTTCCGTGATCGGGCCAGCAGAGCGCTTTGTGAAAAATCCAATTCGGATTCGCAGAGCACGAAATACAAGGCTGCCTCCAAAGGGTCAGGCAGACAATACAATTGGCTGTTGCTTTGAAATCAGGCCGCTGGCTGTGGAAGAGCCTCAAGAAGAAAATGCACGCACATACTCGCCCACACCTAACAGAGCCAGCCCGACGAGTCTCGAGGTGAGCGGTCTTGCCGTGACTGACTTATCGGTCGTAAGAAGCCTCGCTCGTCACACTTGAGCTCGATTGATCTTCCAGTTGCTCGGTGCAGCAAAAAGACTCTCTCGTCGCGATCCTTCTCATCCTTTCATCTCTCTTCACCTACCTACCTCCCCTTTCCCTTGCTCCTCGTCGTTACGCGGGTCTATTCACACTCGACAATGTCGTTCGCACGTTCCGCCGCGCCCGTTCGAAGCGCTCTCCGATCCGCCGCTCACCAGCACTCGCGCACCTTCACCACCGCCAACGCATCCGGCATCACCACCGCCGCTGCCGACGATGGTGCATTGACCTCCACCGTCACCGTCGCCATCAAGGCCGGTTCCCGCTACGAGTCGGCTCCCGGCGTTGCACACGTTCTCAAGAACTACCTCTTCAAGTCCAACCAGAAGCGTTCGGCGCTTCGTCTTGTTCGCGAAGCCGAGTTCTACGGTGGTGTGCTCTCCACCGCTCTCACCAAGGAGCACCTGCTTCTCACCGCCGAGTTCCTGCGTGGAGATGAGGAGTTCTTCGTCGAGGTGCTCGGAGATGTGTTGACCAAGAGCAAGTTTGCCGCTCACGAGTTCAACGAGGAGGTCTTGCCTCAGGTTCAGGCCGAGTTCGCCCAGGCGCAATCCAACCCCGCCGTGCTCGGGTACGACAGCTTGCTCCAGACCGCCTACCGTCAACGCTCGCTCGGTCACTCGCTCTTCGCCTCGCCCGCCTCGCCCGTCTCGCACCGCCAAACCGTCGACTTCGCCCACGCCGCCTTCGCCAAGAACAACATCGCCGTCCTCGGATCTGGCATCGACGCGGGCAAGCTCTCGCAGCTCGTTTCTGCGCACTTTGGCGAGCTCTCCGCCAGCGCCTCGGTCAAGAGCACCGCCGCCAAGTACTTTGGTGGTGAACAGCGCGTCGCCTTCTCCGCCCCCCACGGTGCCGAGAACACGCGGGCTGCTCACGGTCACTTCTTCATCGCCTTCGAGGGTGCCGGTCACAAGGACGCGAGCCAGGCCGCCAACCTCGCCGTGCTGCGTTCGTTGCTCGGCGGCGAATCGTCGGTCAAGTGGTCCCACGGCACTTCGCCCCTCTCGCAGGTCGCTGACAAGATCGTCGGTGCTCAGGCTCAGGCCTTCAACCTCTCCTTCTCCGACTCGGGTGTCTTTGGCGCCCACGTCTCCGCACCCACCGCTTCCGTCCAATCCGCCGCCAAGCACGTCGCCGAAGCCCTCAAGAACGTCGCCGGCGGTCTCAAGGACGACGTCATCAAGGCCGCCATCGCAAAAGCCAAGTTCGAGCGCGCCGCCGTGCTCGAGAACCGAACCGCCTCGCACGAACTCGTCTCCGCTCAGCTCCTCGAGGCCGGCAAGGTGGCTACGTTGGAGGAGTCGTTCGCCGCGCTCGAGGGTGTAAAGGCAAACTCGCTCAGCAAGGCTGCTGAGTCGCTGCTCAAGAGCAAGCCGACTACCGTGGCGGTGGGTGACGTGCACGTTCTGCCTTACGCCGATGAGGTTCTTTGAGAAAGCAGAGACTGTAGTTAGGCGCACCACTTTTTTTCCTTCAGATTCAATACACTTTTGCAGATTCCACGCCACGTCGCCGATGCGGCTCTGTCGACGTTTGTGAAAGGACAGCAGCGGACAATTGACACCCTCGCTCAAAAGTCAGAACATGAATTGCGTGGTATCATTGTGTCATCGTACACCCATCTCGTCCTTCACTCTGCTGTGGCACCAAACACCGGCCAATCGCGTCCATGCACACGCACCCTATGTACGCAGATGGGCGGGTGCTTACTCCAACCATCGACAAACTGCCATCTCACCGCCTTGACCCCGTACGGATAGGCCCTCGCCTCCTCCGTCAGCTCCAACTCCTGCAACGTCGAGCCCGACGCATTGAATGCCCCCACTGCCAAGATCAGCGGTGCTTCCTTCTCGTACTCTTTCGGAACTGCTTCTCTCCACCCTTTCGGCAGCACGGCGTCCAAATACTCCTTGCTTGTCTGCCCCTTGGACCGTCTGAACTGTGCAACATACTCCCTATCACCATCATCCACCAAACCCCAAACCACCATCCTCCTCGGTGCGCTCCTCACCATCCCCGGCAGCGGATGTTCCACCGCCAACCCTTCCACCACCTTGGTCTCCCTCAACTCCACCTGCAACCAACTATCCCACCCCGTAATCCAACAGTTACCCACGCCCAATTCGCTTCCCGGCGTGATCGCTTTGACAGGATCCCCAATCGGCACCTTTCTGCCTTGAGCCAAAAACTGGCCCAGGTTCCAAACACTGTTCAACCTGTACCCTCTATGCACCGTGCCTTCCACCGAGATCCAGGCTCCCGAAGTGACGCTCGCATAATCCACCTTGTCCGTTCGATCCCTCGAGTATTTCTCCAGCTTGTCATCGATCAAGGAGTTCAAGAAGGTCTTGTCAAATGCCTGACCCAGCCTTGCGTTGACTTCATCGTTGGCATACTTGGCGATCCGTGAGACCTCGGATTCGAGTTTGCTGAAGAATTTGCCCTCGGTATCGTCCGCTCTCTGCTTGAGTTGGACGTTGATCTTCTTGTCCAGATCTCTGAGCATCAATTCCACCGATGCGGAAACCGAGTCCTGAATCGACTTGAGTTCGTCTTGCGCAAGTCTGGACACGGTACGTTTCGTCGACGCGGTGATCCGATTGAGTTCGCTCGATTGACGTGTTTCCGCGTCAGCTTGGATCTTGGCTGCTGCGGACGAGAGTGAGCTCGAAATCTGGGCATCGATCGAAGTCGAAAGCGTGTCAAAGCGGGCGGAGAGACGATTGAGTTCAGCACGGAGTCGTTGGTTCTCCCGATCCAGCGAGAGGGTGAGCGCACGACTGTTGCTGTTTGCACCGGGAATATCGTCATCGGTGAACGAGGGGGAACGTCCGGAAATGTCGCCAGAGAGACCGAGGATTCGAAGGAGGTGGACTGCAGTAGCTGCAAGAAGCAGCGCCGCAATGGCAAATCGAAGTGCGGGACCAAGAGCAAGAAACTGGTTCCAGAAAAAGGCAGGTAACTTGATCAGCCAGGTCACAGCGGCAAGCAAGAAGCGTCCAACGAAGGACAGAGGTCCACGTTTGCTGACGCGGGATCGCGATGCGGGCTGTTTGGTTGACCCATGCTCTTTGTCACGTCCGGCGGCGCGGATCCGACCGCGTTCACCTTGGCGGTCCTCCTCCTCCTCCTCGAGGTCATCCGCATCCTCCGACTCGGAAGCTCCATCAAAGCGGGTCTCTTTCCCACTCGCCGCTTCTGCATCCTCATCTGCGTTGGTCTCCATACTTGCATCCGCATCCGCAGGGATGCCGTTTACCGCCTTTCTGCACCTCTTCTTCTTTGATTTCGCGGTGCTGTTCTTCCAACGAAGATTATCGATCCTGCCCTGATCGATCGCACCAAACGAGTTCGAGTTGCGGCCCTTCCTCGTCCTCCTTGTTGGCGACCCACCCTCATCATCATCATCGTCGTCATCGTCATCATCGCTTGCGGGCCTGTAGGCCAGATTGTCTGCCGAGGTGCGAGGTCTGCGTTGGCCGGAGGCTCTACGAGCAGCAGTGATCCGAGACGCCGGTCTGTGCTGCTGTTGTTGGTTCTGCATGCGCGCTACTTCGGATTCCTCTCGTTGGTAGCTGTCGGTGAGGTCGCCTTCGCTGGAGAAGATGGACATGGAAGCGCTTGCATCGCGAGGATCGTTGAAGCTGCGCTGGTCTCCGCGGAGCAGAGCAGATTGATAGACAGGTGGACTGGTCAGACGAGGCTGGTTGGAGGGCTCGCGAACGTAGTAGCTGGTGCTGGCGTCTTCCTGCTTGATGCTCATGCTGGTGGATCCATTTGCTATGGTGGTGTGCATTCGAGTGCGGGAGGATGCGGATGGCGTGAGCTGCTCGATGGCTTCGGGAGAGAGTGCTCTACGAGATGGGGTGGAGGCATTCATGATGGCATTGCGCACTTCGGGAGTCTCTGATCTACCGAGGATGCGGGGTGAGCGCCGACGAGCTGCAGCCGGGCCCGAAGTGCGCGATGACATGATCGCGGCAAGCGAAGCAGGATGCAGTGCGCGGGAAGTGCGTTCCGCGTTTGTTGTTGCCGATGGTCGGTGTTACGCTTGCATTCGGCGACGAGAGCGGAATAACTGCTCCAGCTCGTCAGGTGGTTGTGTTGGGGGTGATGATGGTGCCAGTGCAGCAACAAACAGCCGCGTCGAATGCTTGATGAGAAAGGGAGCAAGTGGGTGGTTGCAGGAGGATGAAAGGGGGAAGTGTAGATGGTGCGGATGAAAGGGACCGAGTGTCGTTGTTCGAGGTTTGTGCGCGTGCATGGGCGTGTGCGTGTGTGTCTTTCGGTTGTCGGCTAAAAATAATGTTTCGGTTGCTTCCTTCTGTCGTCGAGCTGTAATTTTAATCCGTACATGTTAGAGACAAGGGCTTCTCACAGACACACTCCGCTTTCGGAAATTGCTCCACTTCCCTGTTGCTTTTCTTCTCATTTTCCTGAAGTTCCGTGTTCCGTCACAATTTTTTTGGGTTGCGGTTCCAGGTTCGACCTTCTCGACTGAGATAACAGGCTTGAGCAACACCATCCAGCTCCGTCCATTTGCATCCGTCCTCATTGCGCAAGTCAGCATGGCGTCAACATCGGCATCATCGTCGCGCTTTGCGCCTGCGCCCACAAGTGCGGCATCGCATCTTGGTCTCCTCCCGGACATTCCCAGGGCAAGTTCTGTCATTGTCATCGGCATGGCCGGTTCGGGCAAGTCTACCTTCACCGCCAGCCTTCACGATCACCTCCACGAAAAAGCAAAAGACCAGCAAGATGAACAAAACGCACGACAGCAGGGTCAGTCAGACTCACCATCAGCTACTGCCTCGCAGACCACCGCGCCTTACATGGTTAACCTCGATCCTGCCGTGGGAACTCTCGGCTACGAACCCAACGTCGATATTCGAGATACCGTCGACTACGCACGCGTCATGGAGCAGTACAACCTTGGTCCCAACGGCGGTATTCTCACTGCGCTCAACCTCTTCACCACCAAATTCGACCAAGTGCTCAACATCCTCGAGAAGCGCGCCAAGGAAGTCGACCATATCGTGCTCGATACACCTGGTCAGATCGAGATCTTTACCTGGTCCGCATCTGGCTCAATCGTGACCGATGCACTGGCGAGTTCCATGCCCACCGTCGTCGCCTACATCATCGACACGCCAAGGACCACGGCACCAGCAACGTTCATGAGCAACATGCTCTACGCTTGCAGCATCCTCTACAAAACAAAGCTCCCCTTCATCCTCGTGTTCAACAAGACGGATGCACAGTCGCATCAGTTTGCGCTCGAGTGGATGCAAGACTTTGAAAAGTTCCAGGAAGCTTTGTCTGCAGGCAATGCCACCGATCCTTCCTCCACGGTCACCCAGCACGGTCTCAACCCGAAAGCGCGCGATTACGACACCGAGGGAAGCCAAGGCTACATGAACAGCCTCATGAACAGCATGAGCCTCGTGCTCGACGAATTCTACAAGAACTTGAGGGCTGTCGGTGTATCGTCGGTCACTGGTGATGGGATGGACGACTTCTTGGCCGCGGTGCAGGAGGCGCGCCAGGAATACCTCGACGATTACCGTCCCGAACTCGAACGACTCGCAAAGCAGCGCGACGCCAAACGCGAGACCAGCAAGAAGGAGCAGCTAGCTCGACTGATGAAGGACATGAACGTCGGTAAAAAGTCATCTTCGGCGCAGGTAAAGCCAGGCAAAGCAGCCACGCGGTCGACTGAAGACCTCTCGAAGCACATGGACGAGGAATACGAAGGTGACGGTCAGATCATTGAACCTGTAAGTGTCTCGCACAACTTTTCGGCTGCTTATGTAGAACCGACGTTGCCATGCAGGGTCATACGAAGGGCTTACTAATCGCTTACCGCTCACCGCTGTCTCCTTTGTGTTACAGGACTCGGACGAGGAAAAGCCACATTACGAATACCCAGGACCGGACTACGACCGAGGCGACGGCACCGTCTGGCCGCGGCCCGGATAGCGTCGATCGAATCTTTCCTATGATAGAATAATCGCAAATGGCAGAATTGAGTTCAATGTCCGCCTTGTGGATGCTGCTGCGTCTGAAAACGCTCTCCTCTGGTGGCGTACTCGTCTAATCGTCTGTGAGGCTTTGGAATTCCATCTCGAACGAGAAGGCTGGCAATCTTAAGGGACGGAATACCGCGGCGATGGCACCATGATGTGATCACCTATTGACTCGTTTCAGGCACAGCGACTGTGTCCTGTACCGTCTATCAGCTCGTCTTGGAGGGGCAAGCGCGTATATGCCGCTCGATTGTTTGCGGGCGTGATCAAATTAGTTTTTGTCTTTCGTCCCCGCGTCGAGGCGAGACCGAAACATTTCATGCCGACCGGCAAATGTTGGAGCGCCATTATGCCTCTTAAGACAAGCTCAGGACGTTGTTCAGTGGTGTGTTCCTAACCTGATATGCGCTTTGTTGTCCTTGCTACCAAAACCGAGGAGCCGTCGAACTTTTCGAGAATGTCGCCTGCCGTCGCGCTGATTGGCTTCGATGCCGTGCTATGCTCGGAACTGCCTCGTAAGTCGACCACACGCATCCGAGGCAACTGAAGAGCAACTTCAAATGCCGCTTTTTCATATTCCAAAGGAACGGCGACGTCGAGCGGAGTTTGGTCTCTATACCAAACTTGCCCTTGGAGGAAAGGCTAAGAGACCGCCTCGGGCCAACTTCCTGTCATTCTTCTCAATGAGCTACATTCTCGCAATGAGCTGCAATGAATTTGCAGAATCAGGATCTGAGATCGAACTTGACGCCTTGATCGAAGCAGAAGCCCAAAGAGGCGGCGAGAGACAAAGAGATGGGCGTTGCTGAAGGGCGCAGTCGACCGAAGAGACACGGGAACGGACCAGGGAGCGCTGTGCAGGTATGCGTGCCGAGATCATGTGAGGCTGGAACAGAATGCCTGACGGTCGTCACCTCGCCGCCAGGAAAATTGTCGGTGGAAACCCAAGATTTGCGCCAAGTTGCAGTGGAACAGCAGCTCGGCAAAAGTTGCCACGCGAGCGTGAATCTCTGTACCCATTGATTGACAAGGGGTTGCGACCTTTGCGATCGAAACTTGTCAACCGTAGAAGGCTTCTCTCGCCTACTGTTGTCGCAAAACCTCAGTTGCGAAAAGTGAAGCAATGCCATCTTCCACCGTGATTGCAGAGCAACGCAGTTGCTGAAACGCGCCGCACCATCCGACGAAATGGCTGCACTGTCGAATGCGCGTGTCTTGTGCTCGAGTTCTGAGGGCAATCGTGCTTTTCGTGTTCACGCAGAAGCTCCGATTTGGCAGGTCAGGTCACCAAAGAGGTTCAGGACCCTGGATCTGAACCCTGTCTCTGACCCTGAGAGAACAAATTTCGGCTAGAACGAGCAGCTGGAGCCGCAAGCACCTTGGCAGCAGTGTGTAGCATCAAAGCTTTGGTTTGGCGCGACCGAAAAAAGATGCAGGACCGCATCTCGGTCTGCGTTGTTGATAATGAAAGATACCACTTGCCGAACCAGCTTCTCTTTGCTGAAGTCGCTCAAGGATTGCCACCTGAACAGCCCTACGGACTGTATCTGGCTCGGCATGGTGTAAAGAGGCCGAATGCGTGCCCGCTGGCTACGGTCGAGCTTTCTGCCTCGTCGACGTCAACCAATATTGGGTGACTGGAAATCGGTGAGTTCGGCGTCGGGATGTCCCGTCGAGGTCGATTCTTTTGTGTGGATGTCGAACCACGGGAAGCACCGCAATGCCGAGAGGGGCAGCAAAGGCACGAGACGGCTGTCGCGGACAAAACGCAAGGGTCTCTCGTGAGTGTCCTAGTGCCGACCCCTCCATCCCCTCAGCCGCGTTTTGCTGGGCGTGCGTATGAGCCAAGGCTATTTTTTTTTTTTTTCGCGAAAACACAATCCTCTCGTGTGTTCTGCTTGACTGCTTAGACGCCCACGCGCAGACAGCGGCTGCACCAAGCCTCTGCCTGCTGCCGCACGCAGCAGCCTGCTTCCCGTTCTGTGCGGATTGGTTCGCTTGACGTGGTTCCGTGTTCCTTCGCCTCCATCCGACGGCACCTTCCGCTGAGCAAGGGTTCATTCCGTCGTTCCGCTGTTCGGGTGCAGTGTGCAGACTCGAAAGGGCTTCTGGCCGGTTTGCTCTTGCTGATGTTTGGCTTCTTTTTTCAATTTTCGGCGATCCGAACCAACAGAAACATCATTAACTATTGCAGAAGCGGAACGAGACAGAGTTCACGCCTGACTAGGCTAGTGCACCACAGGTAGGAAGGCGACGCCGCACGCATCCATCCATCCAACAGGTTTTGGTATGGCGGCATGCTTCCTCGCTTGGCTGCTCGCCGCGAGCCTCGTCTTGGATGTTCTCGAGGCGCTGATAAGTCATGCCTGCAAACGCTCTCTGCCGTGCTCCCGGTCTGCCTCTTCCCTGAGCACCAGACCTGGCTTCGTCCTTCTGCCTCGCACAGTAACCCATGTGGCATGTCCCTCGGTGCAGTGGGCTGCTGAATTCACAGGCTCGAATCGAAAGGAAGCCAGGCACACAGGCAGCCACACAGAAGCACATGGTTGCGCCTCGTCGTACTCGTCGACTCTGCGTCCGCGTCCTGTGCGATTCTGCGTCGACTGCGCCGACAGTCCGTGCTTCTTCTGGCGGACTTTGCGTTTGCAAATGAATCTCAGCCGCGACGCTAAGTGTTCCACAAGCCTGTTCTTCGTGTCCCTCCGCTCCATCACGCTCCCTGCTCCCTGCTCCCTGCTCCCTGCTCCCTGCGGCTTAGCAGTCACATCGACTCTGCCCTGGCTTCTCAACTTTCCAAGAATTCTTTCACCTTCAGCCTGTTGAGCCGCGGAGTTGCCTCTTACCCTCCAACCCGTGCCTTCACGGCTCTTTGAGTTCTCGTCGGCCACCTCCTCTTCCTCGTCACCGTCCACGCCACCCTGATTCAGCCGTTGATTCTGCCTTACTCGCTGCGCAGACACCGCACCAGCATCATCTTTTCGGCCCTCGATCCTTGTCATTTGAACTCGACGTCGGTGTCCCTTCCGAACCACACCGCGCAGGCTACCGCCGACGCCCGTGTCTGGTTCTCCTCTCTCTAGACAAGCCATCAAGACGGCACTCATCTCAGCGATACGTCCGTGCCGCGAGACCACACGGCTGAAGCTCACGGAATCTCATCGTCTCCGTTCTCGCAAGCTCATCGTCTCCGTTCTCGCAAGCTCTCGTTACCATCACTAAACCACAAGGTTGCCGCAGCCAGCCAACAACCTCACACACTCTGCAACACTATCTCGCATCAGCACCCCGCTGTGTGGCCTATCGGCGATACTGCTTGCTGTCCGATACTATTCATTTCTCGACACTCTTCGAAAACCAGCAGCAAAGTGCACAAAGCTGCAGGTAGCAGACAAAGGTATCCTCCGCTGATCATTTCGCCATCTCCAACCACGGCGGCACGTCTCGAGTCCAGCCGTATTCGTAGACTCTGTCGCATTCGCGCACGTCAGCCGCGCGTAGCTTGCCCGAAGTGATGAGCGGCAAGCTGGAAGAATCCAGCCCAGATCTAGCCACCGACCCATCAGGCAACAAGCGTAAGAGGGTAAGTTGCTCTCACCCCGACCACAGCATTCCACGTCTCGTGCATGCATCTCGTGTGAGGAGATCGTTCCGACTTCTTTCTCGCGGGCAATCGAGCGTTTGCCGGGTCGAAACGTGAAACTGACACAACCTTTCGCCTTGTGTTCGACACTTCTTTTCTTACCGACTCCAGATATGGGCTGCTTGTGAGCCATGTCGCAAGCGCAAATCGAAATGCGACGGTCAAAACCCGTGCGCAGGATGCGTTTCCACCATCAAAACCGCAATGCTCCCCATTAATGCAACAACGCTCCAAACGGGCACCATCGACGAGGCACTCGTGCAGGTAAAAGCGCAGGAACTTTGCGTATTCGATTGGAATCGTAAGCCACGCGGTCCCAAGGGCAAGAAGGCCGCATTTGCCGCTGCGTTTGGTGCGGAAGCATCAGGCAGCGGAGGCGCACCTCGCAGCCATGCTAGCGCCGGTCCAGCCTACATGGAAGCGCAGCAACGAGTTCTCGACGAGACGCAACACGTACATCGCCCGGCGACCACATACGATACTGCTTTCACGTTTACAGCCCCGGACAACATGGCTTCCCACACCAACAGCAGCCTTTCGCATGCACACGCAAACGGTTGGACAGATGCGACCGGATCGGCTCCCCACGGCAATGGAGCTGCACACTACGTAGACTACCCTTCGACTTCGGCCTTGGCAGCCGTAGGGTCCAGCTCGCACAACTCCGCACATCCTCCATTCCCTTCCAACGGCAGCGGCAGACCGGAGCTCTATCAACGTAGCTCCAACGACAGTGGTAGCTTTTCAGCGTCCGAGTACAGTTCCTACACCTATGGCCCACGCCAACCAGAGTCGAGCACGTCCGTCTCGACGTTTTCGCCGCCCATCATCTCTGGGCATATCACGCGACCCATGGGTACCGAGGATCGTCCGCTAAAACGCACCACCTACGAGTACGCAAATGCTCCGGATCGCGTCAGCAAGGCGTCGTTAAGCGCGTGGGATGCGCTGGCCGACAGCGCCAGTCATCCACGCTCTAGCAGCGTTTCGAGCTTGCGGCGCTCCCAAAATTCGGCGGGCACCTCGCCCACCGAGTTGTACCGCCAGGGCGAGTCGCCAGCACACTCGCAAGGCTCGGGCGGATTTCCCGCTGCGTCGCCCCAGTCAGACGGCAGCGTCAACTACTACAATGCGGCCGCGAAGCTGTCACCTGCAGGCGGCGACAACGGCGACTCGCGCTTCCACGACCAATCCATGCTCATCAACCGCCTCAAGCCGTACTATTCCGAGAAGGACCGTCCGTTTGTGGCGCTCGCCATCTCGCAATTCGAAGCGCTCGACTCGTTCGAAAAGATGGTCCCTTCTCGCTACATCTTTGGCTCAGCTTCCGGTTCCGGCGGACGCGATCCGCCTGCGCACGTGCTGCTGGCTCTTTTGGCCTTCTTGGCACACCGTGCGCTGCTCTTGCCGGATAGCATGAACATCGAAGATCTCGACCTGCAGGCCGGCGACGTCGTCATGCGATGCGCCAACAACTACGGCCGCCTCGAAGGCGATGATCGCAAGCAGATGCTGTCGTTTGCGCGTCGCAGTTGGTCTCTGGCCAACGACCTCATGCTTCAAAAAATCCGCAGCGGTGATGTGGATCCTCGGCTGATCATGACGGGTATGTTGTTGGAGATGGGCGCAGGAGAGGATGGTGTGAGCAGCAAGGGCCTGGTTCAGCGCAAGATGTGGCTCTTCCGCTTGGCCTACTGTTGGCGACTTCATCAGCTGGACGCGAAGCCCGATTCGGAAAGCTGGAAGACGCCTTGGGATGGGCCCGAAGTGCTTCAGAAGGCGCTCGAGATATCGGGCGGCTCTACCGCCGACGATCCCCGAGCACCATTGCCACGCGCCGCAGACACGCGCAGGATGGTTCAAGATCCCATCGAGCTCGAAGCCATCCGCAGACAGGTCTCGCTCATCGTCACAGCAGCATATTGGGTGCAGACCGCAGAGATGCAGGTACCCAAGTTCGACCTCTACTCGATGGAATTCGAGCCGGCCGATGCGGACGACTACATTCACCACGGCTCCAACTGGACTCCCAAAGTTCACCCGGCCTCCAACGGCTACTTGACGCAGACGCGCGACCTTATCTTTCGCACGTACGGTCGACTCACTCGTCTGCTGCACACGCCCCTCGCCGACATTTGCACGGGCCATTCACCCGAGCCTGATCTGCAGCACGCCATCACTGAGATGGAGACGACACTCGACTGGCTCGTAGAGCGTATCGGCTCGGTGACGTACGAGGGACCCGAGATGCCGTTGCGTGTTGCGGCTTTTGTGCACGCCCGCATATTGGCGTTGCTGATGTATCGACTTTTCACGTCGATCCAGGCTTTCTTCTTCCTATTCCCCGAGAGGACGACGGCGAGGACGGACAAGTCGCTTCGGATCGCTTCTACACTCATGCCCAAGAACGAGCAGCGCTCCAACTTTGAAATGATTGCTGGAGGCGGGTGGGCGCCCGAGTCGGAGAGCGAGGATGACAGTGCGGCTGGGCGAGATTTCCAGGGGCGTAAACTTCTGCCTCGACCGCAGTTCTCTCGACATCCGATGAAGGCGTCGATGGCGGTGTTGTGGGAGACGGGCGCTTTGGCGAAGCGACTGCTGTCGCTGCATCGAGCCCGCGACGCTGCTCTGGAGCCGATCGAGGGAGGTGCAGCCGAGACATGGAAGGGTGGCGATGCGGAAAAGACGGGCAACGAGGTGGGCAAGACGATGGATGCGTCTCTGCGTGCGGTACGATGGCCGCGTCATCTGCGTCTGTTCGCACAGCACGCCTACGCCATGGCAGCCGAAGCGCACGTGGCAGGAACCTCGTGGATCGACACGTACGGCGACGAGAACCCTGGATGGAAGAATCCAGCGTCGTTCGACCTGCTGCCCGAGTTCAACAACGAGCACATCGAGAGCGGACTGTGGGACACGGGAGACGCGTTTTTGGAGCTGCTCGAGGCGATGGCCAAGATGGGAAGCACGCATGCGAGGAGCACCGAGGAAACGACGTTGAGGTATCGACAGGAGCGGTGGAATTGGGCAAAGAGGTATCAGCAGCCGCCGAGTGGGTTGACTAGCATGCCTAATCCGAAGTAGTGCAAGGAAGGAGGTGAAATCACAAGATTATGCAAGATCTTTGCAAAGTTGTTGTTTGCGTTCGAGTGCATGTGAGTTGGAGAGCGAGGTGGGACGATGATGACGTTGTGAGGTGGCGATTACGACTTTGTGGTGAGATTGTAAGATGGACCGACGTTTTGGACGCGGGTATGTCTGTTCTGCGCCGCAACTTTAACGATCTGTTGCCTCGATCAATCTCCTCGAAGAAGCAAAGCACAGCCTAGTATCAAGAAAAAAGACGTTGCTAAGATGTAGGATGCTAATAGTACAGGAAGTGGAAACGAGACATGAGGAGGAATTAGAGGCCAAGACGGCGTTCCATGACGGAGTGCATGTTGGGGATGTCCGCCGAGATTTCAGCTGCGATTGAGTCAAAGAGCAAGGTTGCAACCAAGTCGAGATCGCGATGGTCAGTAGCCGGGTCGTGATTGCGGGAATCAAAAGGGTGAACGGGACTTACAAGGAAGGAAATCGCGAGGTTCGATACGCTCGTCGTCACCGTTGAGGATGTCGAGGTGAAGCTTGGAGATGGAGTTTGAGCTTCGAGTTGGATCGAATGCTGGGTTCTGTGTGCGACGAAAAGTGGACCGGAACGAAGCGCAAAAGGTCAGTCACAGTTCAACATCAGCCGACAGTAGTATCAACGCCTCGCCGCAATACGTACGTAGCTGACGATCTTCCTCTCCATCAAGGTATGTGCTGGTGCTCCGATGCCGTGAATGTTTCGCTGCATGGTGAGCTTCAAGTTGTCCTGCGTCGCATTCCAGTACTCGAGCCTGTTCTGAATCGGATGGTGCGAGTGGGTAGATACCTGATGAAGCACGTTGTTGAGACCGTGTCGCATGGTATCGTGAACACCGGCATAGACGGGATGTGACGTCGACGAGTTGGTGGAGACCGAGGTGTGGGAAGCGTACTGCGGCGGCACGAGCACGTAGCTCGGCTCCATCTGATGCTGCTTCTGGGGTTGCGATGATGAGCTCATGTTTGGAGAAGTAGTGGCAGGTGTAAGAAGAAAGAATGGTGGTGCTGAGGAGGACGAGAGCAGAGACAAAGTGGAGAAGTTGCGGGTCCGTGTGTCGCTTCGGGGCTGCTAGACTGTCAAGAAATGTGAATGCGTGGCCACGCGCAGCAGACACAGAGAGGGTCGATCACGGAGCCCTGGGTGTTCGTTGTTAGATCGAACACGGGCGCAGTACATAAGCATGACAATTCTCACAACCAAGTCTGAGTGGAGCTGCAACCTCGAAATTTTACTCCAAGAATTTTTGTGATTCTGAAGCCAAACGGGTCCAAGCTGAGCCGAGTGACAACCAAAAAAGCAGCAACTGCGTGTCAGTCAGCTGGTCAGATGCGCTGGTCAGCCATCATCACCGTTCTCTTTCCTGCACCATCACCCACGAGCATCCTCGTCTACAAGTCGAGATGGATCCTGACGGCTTGTTCGACTTTCTAGCTCCTGCGGACGCCGCACCCAGCCCGGCAGCCTCGTCCGGTTCCTCGCCATCCAAGAAACAGCGCAAGCGCAACAAAGCAGCAGCCGCAGCTAGCTCTTCCTCTGCCTCGAAGGCAAAGGACGCATCTTCCTCTCAAAATGGGAACCCGACATCTCAGCCAGAGACCAATGGTGATGCTGTATCAGACGAAGTCGAAGCAGGCCCTTCCAAACGTCAGAAGCTCAGTGTAGTCTCCGACAAGTCAGCCCCCGTCCCTACTGTGGTCACAGATGAGTTCACTGCCGAAGCTACTCAGGCCATACCAGTTGACAATGGTCTCGCGGCTCCGTCCAACTCTGCAGATGCGGCGAGTGAAGCTATTACTGCTGCCTCGGCCACTGCCGAATCAAATGCCGCAGAGAAAAGGATGCACGTCACCCACTCGGTCCGTCACCAGGTCGCACTTCCACCCGACTACCCCTACGTACCACTCTCACAGCACATCCCCAACGATCCGCCAGCAAAAGAGTACAAGTTCACTCTCGACCCTTTCCAGCGCAACTCAGTCTCCTGTATCGAACGCAACGAGTCGGTCCTCGTCTCTGCACACACCTCGGCAGGTAAAACAGTCGTGGCCGAATACGCCATCGCCCAATGTCTCAAGAACGGTCAACGTGTCGTCTACACCTCTCCCATCAAGGCGCTCTCCAACCAAAAGTTCCGTGAACTCACCGCCGAGTTCGGCGACGTCGGTCTCATGACCGGTGATGTCACCATCAACCCTTCAGCTTCCTGTCTCGTCATGACCACCGAGATTCTGCGTTCCATGCTCTACCGCGGCTCCGAGATCATGCGCGAGGTCGCCTGGGTCGTCTTTGACGAGATTCATTACATGCGCGACAAAGAGCGTGGTGTCGTCTGGGAAGAGACCATCATTCTACTTCCACGCAAGGTGCGCTACGTCTTCCTTTCGGCCACCATCCCCAACGCCATGCAGTTCGCAGAGTGGATCGCCCACACACATGCTCAGCCCTGCCACGTCGTCTACACCGATTTCCGACCCACGCCTCTGCAACACTACCTCTTTCCACAAGGAGGCGAAGGCATTCACCTCGTCGTCGACGAGCGCGGCACCTTCCGAGAAGACAACTTTCAAAAGGCGATGGGTGCGCTTGCCGACTCCAAGGGCGAAGATGTGGCCGATCCCAATGCTGGAGGCGGAAAGCGTCGTGGTCAGGTCAAGAAGGGCGGCAATGCAGGCAAGAAGGGTCCATCCGACATCTACAAGATCGTCAAGATGATCATGGTCAAGAACTACAACCCCGTCATCGTTTTTGCCTTCTCCAAGCGCGAATGCGAGGCGCTCGCGTTGCAGATGAGCAAGCTCGAATTCAACACCGACGACGAAAAGGAGATGGTATCCACCGTGTTTACCAACGCCATCAACGCCTTGTCCGAAGAAGACCGAGGCTTGCCTCAGATCGAGCACATCTTGCCACTCCTCCGTCGCGGCATCGGCATCCACCACGGCGGTCTCCTGCCCATCCTCAAGGAAGTCATCGAGATCCTCTTCCAAGAAGGTCTCATCAAGGTCCTCTTTGCCACCGAAACTTTCTCCATCGGTCTCAACATGCCCGCCAAGACCGTCGTCTTCACCGCCGTCAACAAGTGGGACGGTAAGGAGTTCCGCAACCTCACCTCGGGCGAATTCATCCAGATGTCCGGTCGTGCCGGACGGCGTGGCCTCGACGACCGCGGTATCGTCATCATGATGTTTGACGAAAAGCTGGAACCGAGTGCTGCCAAGACCATGGTCAAAGGTGAGGCCGATCGACTCAATTCGGCCTTCCATCTTGGATACAATATGATCCTCAATCTCATGCGCGTGGAGGGTATCTCGCCCGAGTACATGCTGGAACGATGTTTCTTCCAGTTCCAGAACGCTGCTTCGGTGCCTGCGCTCGAGGCGGAGCAGAAAGCGGCGGAAGAGCAGCGCGATCTGATCAAGGTGGAGCGCGAGGAAGAGGTGGCAGAGTACTACGACGTGAAGCACCAGCTCGAGACGCTGCGTACGGACGTTCAGACGGTGGTAACGCATCCGTCGTACGTGCTGCCGTTCTTGCAGCCGGGACGACTGGTCAAAGTGTGTCATGACGACCTCGACTTTGGTTGGGGTGCCGTTGTTTCGTATGAGAAGCGTCTGCCGAACACGCCGGGTAAGCGAGGGCCGGCGATCGATCCGAACGCTCCACCACAAAATCACTATGTGGTGGATGTGCTGCTGCACTGTGCCTCCGGTTCGGGATCCAGCTCCTCGTCGGATAAGAAGTCGAAGAACGACGCACCGAGCAACTTTTTGCCGTGTCCAGAGGGCAAGAAGGGAGAGATGGTGGTGGTTCCCGTCCTGCTGTCGACGATTCAAGCGCTTTCCGGGATTCGCATCTTCCTGGCGAAGGATCTGCGCCCCACGGAGCCCCGCGAGACGGTGCGCAAGAACCTGGTCGAAGTCAAACGTCGCTTCCCCAAGGGCGTACCTCTTCTCGACCCGATCAAGGATATGAAGATCAAGGACGAATCTTTCGCCCATCTCGTCGAAAAGATCAAGATCCTCGACGACAAGCTTTCCTCCTCTCCGTTGCGAAACGACAAGGATCTGCCAAGACTCTATGCAGCGTACTCCAAAAAGCAAGAGGCGCAACAGCTCGTCGACGGTATCGCGCGAAAGATTGCTGCGGCGCATTCAGTCCTGCAACTGGACGAACTCAAATGCCGCAAGAGGGTGTTGAGGAGGCTCGGGTTTACGACGGGCGACGATGTGGTGGAGAAAAAGGGTCGAGTGGCGTGCGAAATCTCGACGGGCGACGAACTCCTGCTGACCGAGATGATCTTCAACGGAGTCTTCAACGACCTCACCCCGGCGCAGTGCGCTGCGCTTCTGTCGTGCTTCGTATTCGGCGAGAAATCGACCACCCAAACGCGTCTCAACGAAACGCTCGCCTCTCCGCTGCGCATCATGCAGGAGACCGCACGACGCATCGCCAAAGTCTCGATCGAATCCAAGCTGCCGCTGGTCGAGGAGGAGTACGTCTCGAGCTTCAAGGTGGAGCTCATGGATCTGGTGATGCAGTGGTGCAACGGCGCCAAGTTTGCCGAGATCTGCAAGCTGACGGACGTGTTTGAAGGTAGCATTATCAGGTGCATGCGCAGGTTGCAGGAGTTGATACGGCAGCTGGTGCAGGCGAGTAGGGCGATCGGAAATGAGGGGTTGGCGGAGAAGTTTGAGCGGGCGCTGGGGATGTTGGAGCGCGAAGGGAGTATCATTTTCAGTCCGAGTTTGTATCTGTGATTGCGCAGAACGGCGAAAGGGAAATCGGACTTGTGGTGCGGAAGAGGAAGAAACGCATACGGAGAACTGTGGTGTGGGAAAGAGTGGGTTTGTGTGGATTGTGACTTTGAGTGGATGTGGGTGAGACTGGCAGGGGGGATCTAGGTGGAAGATGGTTGTTGACGAGCGACGTCGATCAAGCGACCGTCGACAAGGGGTGACACGAAAGCCAGGTTCGACGTATCGTCCTCCTCCTCCTGAGCCTTTCCATTTCCGACCTTCTTTGCGTCCGAGTCCTTTCCACTGTTCCCCTTCACCTCCGTCCCGTTCTCCGTGCCCGTCGCAGCGGAAGCCCGGATATCCGACCTCAACTTCTCCATCTGCCCCTCATCCAGATGGAACGAACTGGACGCCACCGCTCCATGCCTGAAACTCCCCGATGCGATCGCCCCCTTCCCCACCTTGCGTTCGTCCTTCTTCAGTTCGGCGAAACTCTCATCCTGTCTAGCGATGAACCTTTCCAAGACCTGCAACAACCGTTCCTGCTCCTGCAGACCCATGTCCATTCCACCGGGAAGATCTTTGGCCGCTTTCTCGAGTGTTGCGAATGTGGATCTCAACTGGGTTGCTTTGTCGACGATCTCCTGGGATAGCTGAGTAGCGCTTCCCTTGTTCGAGGAGGAAGCGGTGTGGGCGGCGGTGGTGAGGAAGGAAAGTGTAGCGTCTGCATCGGCTTCATCCACGGCCATGCTGCCGAGGGCGATGTTGGCTCCGCTGGACTCCACTTCCTCGTCCTGCTGTGTCGACTTCGATCCGACGTCGGTGGGAGGGTTGTAGAGTTTCCCGTCGGGAGAAGCTGCCCGCAGGACGAGCGCGAGCAGCTCCTTGATCTGCGCGAGCAACCCGGAGGCAAGCGTCGGGTCGAACAGCGCGTTCTCCGGTGTCTCTTCAGATCGGATGCGTTTCGCTGCTGGCGGTCCGGTCTCGGTCGCTGCGTCCGAGTCGAAGGTGCGCGTCGCAGCGTGCGACGAAGTCGGAGCGACGTCCTTCGAGTCCGAGGACAGCGGTTCGTTGAACCGCCTGTGCACGCGGTCGAACTGAGAATGATGTTCGGAACCTCCGACGTGCAGCGCGTCTCGGAATCCGCCAGGTGACTGGTCGACGACCATACGCCAGGTGTCCTTGTCGAGCGAGCCGGATCGTCCCATCGGAGTTTGCTTGATCGGTGTCGTCGGCGCTTCGCCCGGGGAATGCTTCATGGAGCGTTTGAGGAGATTCAGCGAACGTGCACGTGAGATGGCGATGCGTGTACGTTTGCTCAGCGTATCGACGTCGCGATCTTTGTGTCCGCTTTCGCTGTGATGCGCGTCTGCGGAATCGAGCTGATCCGCTCCCGAACCAGGGCTCCCCGAAGCAGAGAGGTTCGCAGCGTTCTCGGCCTGCAACCTGCGCATCTGCTTCATGCGCCACAGGTAGCTCGCACCCAGCAGGAATTTCCTGACGATCGCCGACATGAGCTGCCCATTCTCGTGATCCACCACGAACTCTCCCCTTTTCAAAGCTTCGAATCCATCGTACCCTTCGGCCAGGTATTCCCTCGTCACGACTCGGTAGACCTTGTCCATCTCCAAAGGGCCTCTACTGACCAACGCGGGTCGGTGAACTTCCACATCGTACCCTCCTTCTGGCAACTTCGTCACGGAAAACCTCCTCAACTTGCCGACGTCCTCCTCACCTTCCCCTTCCTTTGGCGTATCCAGCGGGTTGTCCAACAGCTCGACACTCACCAACCTCTTGCCTGGTTCCTTCCTCGAGTCCCACTTGACCATCAATCCGGCCACCTGCGGAAATCTCCCTTCCTGCTTCGGGTACATCGACAACCCGTTCTCCAGCGCCTCCCAGATATCCCTCCCCTTCAACTCCTTGCACACCACCGCATCCTCGAACGGCAGGATCTCCAGCACATCGCTCAACGCGATCTTCCCGGGACCGTACAGCTGATCCCCGCGCAGACTTCCACCGCAGATGATGGCACAATCGACTTCCCGCGCGTGCGAAGGTCGGTTCTCGTTCAGCTCGCCTCGATTGTCGCGTTCGCGCAGCACCTCCTCGTACGAATTCATGAGCACGTCGGCGACAAAGTTTCCGAAGGCGGATTCGTCGGTCCGCACTTTTTCGGAACGCACGTCCCAGGGCGTGAGTGTGTAGGCGACGCTTTGCGATGTAGACTTGGAGATTTTGGCGAGCAGATCGTCGAGCATCGATTTGAGTTCGGGCGAGCTCGGATCGGTGGGGGATGCACGATATCGTTTCACGCCGAGTGACAGAATCGTCCTCTTGCGGACAGCCGAATCGTCGACATCGGAAAGTTCGAGACGTAGCTCGGAGAGGTCGCGAAAGTCGGTTCCGGATTTCACCACCATGGCTCTCTCGTCCTTCTCCGTACCCGGTTCGCCGCGCGGGAACTCGTCGCCGCTGTAGTCGGAAGCTCCGTTGCCGACGTAGTAGATGTGATCGTGACCACCGAGGACGAGATCGACGCCGTGCGAGTTTGGATCCGGGTTGGAAACGGCTCCGACGGCATTGGCAAAGTCGATGTCGTTGGGTAGACGGCTGTGGGTGATGGCGATGATGAGTTCGCAGGCTTCGCCTTGTGGATCGCGGAGGGTGCGACTGAGTTTGTCGGCGGTCTTGATCATGTTCCTGTAGACGAATCCTTCGGGGAAGCTGGGTACGGTAGCGATCCATTCCTTTTCCACGATACCGATGCATCCTACTTTGACACCCTGCACCACCGTGGTCCAGTACCTCAACGTTCCCTCCACCTGCGCATCGTCGTCCAAAAAGTCCTCATCCCAATTGCTGCAGTCCTTGTTCTCCTCTTCGCTCTTCGCTGAACGATCAACCACATTCGAAAATAGCCACGGGAAGTTGTTCTGCGTCATCAACGTTTGCAAGTGCGGATACCCGAAATCCCAGTCGTGGTTGCCCAGACAGGCACAGTCGAGGTTCATGGCGTTGATGACGGGGATCAAGTGCGTTCCTCTTGTGACGCTACTTTCGACCGAAGGGGAGTAGAGATCGCCGCTGAAGAGTACGAGACCTTTGCGTTGACGTGAGGTGGAATGTGATGTCCAGTCGCGTGAGCCAGAGGATGAGGGGGCTGATGGCGGTGGAGGGAGGTTGGAGATGTCGGATGGCTCGCCCCATGATTCGCGGATGGACTGAATCTTTGCTGCGAACTGGTCTGCTCCGATGGTTCCGCCCGAGGCTTTGTCCTTCTGTCGAACACGGTAGACGTCGTTGAAGTGGATGATGGGGAGTGTGACCGGCATGTTTGCGATGCTTTAGAGCTAGAGCAGGGTGAGCATGCGATGTGAGTCGTCGTCAGCAGCTGAGTCTGACAGATCAGGTGCGACGATGATCGTGATTGTGGTGGTGGTGGTGGTGGTGGTGGTTGATGAGCCGGAAGAACGTTGCCGAAAGTGTTGCAGGTTGAGAAACCTTCTCAAGGGTCCGTGCTCGATTTGTGGTGCGAAATGTGCCCACCCGATTCACACACGCGCCTTTCGCAGCATTCCATCATCGGGCTCCACCTTGTCGCACACCAACATCATACTCGACCGACATCCTAGCTGGACGCTCATACCCCATCACCGGCATCTTCTCTGCTTCTGGATTGTTGTTGATTGCACTTCGCAGCTTTCTCTTTCCCTTAAAAAGGTCTGACGGCTGGAGCTTGATCACGGATCATGTCACGAGATCCATACCACGATTTCGCCTCGGACCTCAAATCGTCGCTCTCATCAGCGCGCTCGCTATCCCAATCCTATCGACAACTGGTCTCGCGGTCACAAGCACATGCGTCTTCCTCTTCATCCGCGACCAACTCGGGAGACGTCGAATCAGCACACGACCGGTTATCGGATGCCATCGAAGGATTGCGGCAGGACGTCGAGGATGTGAAACAGAGCGTGCTTGTGGTGGAACGTAGTGGACCAGAGAGATTCGGAGTGTCACCGGAAGAGCTGAGAAGCAGAAAGGCGTTCGTTGCTGAGTGCGAGGCGGAAGTCAAGGTGTGTTCCCTGCACAGTCGCAGTTTTCAGCCTGGAAGAAAGGCGGTTATGCTGACTCTTTACGACGAATTCGCAAACAGGCACTGTCACAAGTGGTCAAAAGCTCACCACCGGGCGGAAGAGACAGATTCGATTCGGTCAAGATCGACCTCGATGACGCGGACGAGGATGCAACGGAAGCATTCGAGCGCGAACAGCAGCAGGTACGTCTTTCTCACCGAAACTTCGTCGTACACGTTTCCGACCCCCTCTGACCCTTTTGCGTGTTGTGTCAACAGATGCTCATGTCACGGCAGGACTCTACGCTCGATAAGATCGGATCCACGCTCAGCTCGCTCCGCAATCAAGCAGGCATGATGGGTCAAGAGATCGGCGAACAGATCGAAATCATCGACGCCTTCGATTCAGAAGTGGATCAGAGTCAAGGCAGGCTGGGCAAAGCGATGAGCAAGATGGACGAGGTGGTGAGAATCAGCGATGAGAGGCTGGGTGGATGGTGTGTATGGATCTTGGTGGTGATCCTGTTCTTGTTGTTGTTGGTGGTTCTGTTGATATGAGCATGAAAGTCCCATGTATCACTATGCCATTTCAGTCATACCCACTTCGATTGCATCCCACATGTCACCTCGCCAGTGGCTAAAGGGAAGACGTCGAGTGTGATTCGTGATGAGAGCAGTCGAATGAGCAAGCAAAGCGAGAACATTAAGGATCGTGTTCGGCGTTTTGGAGTTGCTCGCCTCCACAAAGACTCGCTTCAGCTGTAAGTTAGCGCATGCAAAATTCAGGGCACAGGATCAGTCTACAGCGCGCGACCCCAACGTCAACCTCGCACGATGTGTGTTTGTCCAACACTCTTTCCCTTCACACATCATACTTCATTCCTTCCAACATCCCCTACCCTTTACCATCTTTCTCACCCTCAGCCTGCAGACCAATGTTCGGCTCCGAAACAATGTATATTCACTCTCGCTGACTACGACTTCTCCCACGACGCGACAACTTCTAACGACACTCTAGCCACCGACCATTGTGCACACCACACATAGCCACGCCCACGCCCGGCCCTACGCTCCTTACCATGGCAACGCCAGACAGCCCAGATGACGGCTCCAAACCCATCAACTTCCGCGCTGCACTCGCGGCTTTCCAACAGAACAGCTCTTCTTCCTCCTCCTCCAATGCGATACACTCACCCAAACCGCGCGTCGCACCACCCCCCACAACACGACAACCTCCTCCGCGAACGCCTGCACGTCCCTCGTCCAGTCAAGACCCCGTCTCACGCGCATCCTCAACCCCACGTATCCGCAACAACTCGGACAATTTCATGCCTCCCTCGCCCAGCACAGCTTCTTCGCCTATCTTGCAACCAACTACTTCGGCATCGGGCATGCTCAGTGCACCCTCACCCGTCTTCTCGACTCCCTTTGGGCTGCGAAAATCGGGCAGCGGTACTAGTCTCAACGAGCTGATGAGCAAAACTCTACCTAGAAACATCAGTCGTACGGCCAGCCCTTTGAATCGATCTAGGAGCAGATCGGTCACGCAGCAGGAAGCAGGCAGCGGCAATTCGGCCCCTGCTTCCGGTCGATCCAGTCCATTTCCGCCAGGTCGACTTCGCGGCTTGTTCGATTCGGAAGACGTCTCTCAACGAACCGAAAGTCCCTCGTCGCAACATATGCTAGACACCAGCGCCGAAGACGACATGTTCGCGCATGCGGTTATGGAGCGGTCTCAAACGCGATCGTCCACCACCGATTCCAATGCTTCCCTTGTACCCCCGCAAGTACCTTCACGAAAGGGTAGCGCTTCGTCGACCAACTCTGCCAATTCGATCACACCCAGGTTGCCACCTCGACCGACGACCTTGGCACCGAGTCCGACAATCTCGGAATTTGGACAACTGCCGCCGACCACTTCAAAAGTCAAACCGAAAACCGGATTGGTGGCTTACGCGACCTATACACCGGGCGGTAAACGAGGTTCTCAGGGTGGGCTGGAAGGTAGCATGACCCCACCTGCGCTGCCACCCAGGAGTGCGACGTTGAGTCAGGCGGAGAGGGGGCATACTGGAGAAGCAGCGTACAGGGCGAGGCAGAGCAGCCCGATGAAGCGTGCACCTCCCCTCGTTCCACAAAAGCCGACCGCTCCGGTCCCACCTCCAAGACCGGCGAAAACGTTTGACGGAGCTGCGGGAGGCTTCAAATTTGGTACCACTGCCTACGAGCCGACAGCAGCAGCAGCATCGCCACGACAAAACACCTCGACTCGCGGTACAGCCCACCATCAGCGCAGTCTCACCGGCGGTGGAAGCACGTCCGGCTCGACCACAGGTACTCCAGCGAGCGCCCACAGGAAGACGGGAAGCAACGTTTTCACAAGCATAAGTCTTAGCGATGATGCTAGTGGAGAGTTGAAACGTAGTCTCGAGTCCGATCTGCACTCGGATCATTCGACGCAGCTTCCACCGCCCAACCGTGGTCGATCTATCACAGCGAACAATGGTGCGGCGAGTCGTGCGGCCGGTCCGAGTCCGGCAGCAGGAGGCATGGGAGCGGGGATGGTGAGCTCGCTGATTGGGACGGCTGCGTCTGCGTTACCCATGTTCAAGTCGACTGGGGCTGCAAGTGGGACGAGATCGCTGGCTGATGGCGCACCCTCGAAGCAGCAGTACATGAGTAGGAGCGGTAGTGCCGGTTCGGGGCTGACAGCGACCGGAGCAGATGGTGAGGCTTCGTTGTGGGGGGTAGGTAGGGCAGTTCAGTTGGCAGAAGTGGGTGTGGTCGCGAGTAAAGCGGTCGGCGGAGGGATGTTGAAGGAGCCACAGGATGAAAAGGCGATGAGGAGGTTTGAGGCCTTGTTCGAGACACTGCTTCGTCAACAGGAGGAAAAGAGAAGGACAAGGGGACAACTCGGTCGTGCCAAGGCGAACAATCTGAAGAGCGAGGAGGTTGGAGAGAGGAAAGCAAGTGGCGGCGTACAAGCACTGAGAGGGTGGTTTGAATCCGATCCATCTTCCACCACCACCACAGCCACCGCCGGAAGCACTACGCGACCAAATCACCCTGCAGCACAATCAAACCCGCCATCTCGGTCCACGTCGCTATCACCATCAACCATCCGCAAGATCTGGTCCCGATCACAACTACCCTTTACCTACCTTTCCCAGCTGTTCGATCAATGCCTCCAGTCTCAAACTGAGGATGTCAAGGGCCTTGAAAAGCAAACCTTCGTTCGAGCCATGGCGAGCATCGATGCCGAGTTGGAGAGAAGGAAAGCGCGTCGGCAGACGAGGCAGAGGCGAAAGGACGAGGCGAGGAAGAGCAGGGACGTGAATGTGAGCGCGGCGCGGAGGGTTCCTCCTCCGCCGCCACCGCCATCGATGGCAGCGGTGTAAGCATGACGAAATGTCTTTTCGAGGTTCAAATATCTGTATGCTGTAAAGGGTCCCTTGTCACTACACCAACAGTCGTGACGCTGCTTTCGGGTGTGTTTTGAGTCAAGGTGTTGCGAATGAGAGCATGTATTGTACAGTGTAGGAAGGAGAGTCCTAGGTCCGAGCGGACGTGGTATCTTGAGTGTGAAAACTCGTATCGTAGCAAGGGGAGATGCTAAGCGGCATCGGAGGGGTTTGACGGTACGGGCGCTAGTGTGCCGTGGATCAGATCTGTGAGCCCCGAGATAGATCGTGATGAAGGTCACTGTTCCTCTCCAGGACCTGGTATTCGAATGTTACTGTTGGTACGTACCCTGTATCGAGCTCTCAAGAGCGTCGATGCGATTGCTCATCTCGTTCACTGTTTCCATTGAAATATGAACCGTGAGTACGACTCTAATTACTCTACGCTACCACCACACGTTCGTCCGATAACTCACTCCTGGCAGTGACCTGACCATTCATGTCGTCGAACCTCGTCTCCAGCTGACCCAACACCGTGTCGACCCAATCGATCAGCTGGTGCGGGGAGGAGATGTCCGGTGCCTGCAGCGCTTCCGAAGGCGTTGGTGCCTTGTCGCCGCCCGTGTGTGAGGAGGTGCTTGTTGCGGCGGAGGAGGTTGGTGGTGCCAGTGCGGGTTGTGCGGTGGTTGTCGACATGGTGCTTGAGGGCTGAGAGATGGTGGAGGGGAGGAAAGAGAGATGGTGTTGGTGTTGATCTCGACACAAAGCGCGTTCTTTTTTTTATTAAAATTATAAAAGTCATTTTGGGAAAGCCCTTTGTACTAATGTGCACGAAGCTGTCCAACTCTGTCACACGGTCAACTCCTTTGTTCTTCTCGCACTCGCATCGTCGTCTCGGTTTCCCACGCCTGCAAAGGTCGATGCTGGACACAAAGGGAACCTCCTTGTCGATCTTACCACTCCACCTACCAAGCAACACCGTATAAAAGCATCCCGGGCTGCACTCGACCCACCCCTCTCTCCTCCACCACACCCCCCGCTCAACATGACAGCCGCAACTTCCACCAACATCATCGACACCCTCTGCGCACCCTACCTCCCCTTCGACGCATCCTCCTCAACATGGTCCGACCTCCACCCCACTCCGCAATCCGATCCTGCCTCACCGATGTGTCCGATCCTGTACGCTCCCACCTACTCCTCCGCCATGTCTCTCTACCGCACCTTGACGAGCACCAACTCGCACTCCACCCTCACCGCCCCTCTCGCCGGTCTGGAGCTTTCCTCAAGAGCACTCGCGCTCACCACGCACATAATCACCCTCAACCCATCGCACTTTAGCGTCTGGCAGTACCGCGCGCTCATACTGCTCCACTCGCCCGAACTCGAGTCCCAACGAGCGCAGGTGCTTGCAGCCGAGTTGAAGTGGTTGGATCAACTGGCACATAGGAACATGAAGTCGTATCAGGTGTGGCAGCACCGACGGATCGTTGTTTCCGCACTCGGAGATCCGACGGGGGAACTCGAGTTTGTAGAGGAGAACCTGGCAAAGGATGCGAAGAACTACCATACCTGGGGGTATCGTCAGTGGGTGCTGGCACACTTTGGCGGTCTCAACTTGGCGCAAGAGCAGCAGGAAAAAGCGGTGGGCAGTAAAGGTGCAGCTTCGTTCCCAGAGCTCTGGGATGCAGAGGTAGACTATGTCGACCGGCTGTTGCAGGAGGACGTTCGGAACAACAGCGCCTGGAACCACCGTTGGTTCGTCCTTTTCGGGCGGTACGGTCTTACCTCGTCCAGTTCCACACCGTCGACGAAGCTGGAATCGCTTCGAAACAAAATCAAGTACGAAAAGGCATACGCAAAAACATCGCTGGCTCACGTTCCGAACAACGCCAGCGCATGGTCCTACCTACGAGCACTGCACACCGCTCTTCCCGCAGAGCTGGCGAGACCGATGCGGGAGAACCTCGAGTGGGCCAAGACGCTGGTTTCGAGTCAGGAGGAGGCGAGGCGCGATGCGAGCGTCGACGTCATGGGTCGCGCATCGGTCGGTGCACTCGAGTGGTGGTTCGACTGTCTCTTCGAACGAGCGGGGCAGAACGAGGAGCAGCAGCAGGTGATGGAGGAGGCGGAACTGTTGATCACTCGGTTGTGCGTGGCAGATTCGGTCAGGAAGCGGTTCTACGCGTATCGGTTGAAATGTCTACGTCGAGCTCTCCAGCGCTCATGATCACTCGTCACTTTTCCCCAATCTTAGAACTTAATCGTATCTATTGCCAACGCGAGAGAAACTTCAGAACAGCTTGGGCGGCCCTTGGTCACCCCACACCCAGCTCCTCAAATCCGTAAAACAATTCTTGCTCCCCTCCGGTTGCCCAAAGTCCGCCACCAACACCATATATCCGGCACACAACGTCGCCAGCACTCCACCCAACACATTCAACCGGTTCTGCTGGAGCGACGGTTCCAACGCATCATCGCGCGCGACTCGACGGAAGAACTTTTCGCGCTGGCGAGGGGTGACCGTACGCATTGTCGTTGGGATCGAAGGTGTGGTAGGTGGACGCGTGTAGAAGGCGGATAAGATGTTTTCCTCGGCTGATTTGTCAGGAGGAGGTGCCAGAGGCGAGGTCGGGTGGAGGTGCGATTGAGGTGCGCTCCAGAGCGACGGTGAGCGACCGCTGGTGGTGTCTTGTGGACACGAGGTTGGGTCGTCCAGCTGTTTGCAGAAATGAAAAGCCGAGGTTG